GCAGACCCATCATGACCTTTTTAGCGACTCTGTTTGACCTGTTTCACATGTAAACATTAAAGGTATAGAGTTGCATCCTTAGGCCTGGTATGACTTTTGCGCCAGAAACCGTGAATCGCAACAACAATCGCCCTCGTTCCAAATTCGCGCGAAATTTGGAACAATAGCATTGAACTGATTCACGGAATAATCTGCTGTAGTGTTTTTGTTTCTATTGTCAAAGGGGATAAGAAGAGATTTTGATTTAAAATATTGCACAAGAGAAAGCTGCTTCCCATAGTCATTATTTGCGAATGATCCCTACTTATGTAAAGGAACACAGCATTTGCAGCTTAACACCATAATATTTGGAGCTCCCATTTCATTTGGCAGTATAACAGAAGTAATCACCTTGATGAGATACAGTTTAAGAGTTATTCGTTGAAGCAACTAAACTGCTTAGTTAGTGACGAGAACCAGATGTTGCAGCGATGTGAGCGTTTTCTTAAGAACTGTATTTCTTCAGCCCATCATAGACTCTGACTGTGTTTGTGGTCGGTCGGGAATCTCTCTAACTTCAGAAGAATTAACTACTTAGTTTGTATGATCTTACTGAAGACAAGAGCCTGTTCAGAGAATAGACGTATTGAGTTTTTATGACACACTGCTGTTGATATTCTGCTCGCGATATCCCAGGTGAATAGGTATCACATCATGAAAAATGCCCGTAGCATTCTAACGTACAGCAGGCCTAAACGAGGCCATCATCAAGTACAGACGAATATAATTTGCTTATTTTTAACACAACTCCTTCCCATCAAGAGTATGCCCAGTTCTTTAGCTGACCCCTTCCTCCTTACTACAATGGAGTATCTTTTATTTGTTTTTTTTCAGGCTTGTGCCTTGCTAGATTTAGGAGGGGGGGGGGGGGGGGGGTTCTGTCTCACCTTATATCACGAAGAGATGCTTGAAAAGATAAAAGCTGTTTACAAATGACGTCATGCGTGTTAGGTGGGATGAGGGTTCCATAGTTTTGCAATAACTGGCAGGTTTTGAAGAAGAAATGAGGTATTCTAATCATTTTATGTTTTCTCTAATGGAATAGATTAACAAGATTTGATAGACGATTTTATAAGTTGAAGAAATGGCAAAGCGTCAGGATAAAGGAAAAACCCCTTATGTTTTCAAAATGCATAGAGAGAACTGCTTTTGCAAATTGACAGTAGTTTAAACTGTGGAAACCCTAAGAAAGGCTGCTTATATTACAAAGAGCAGTATATTGTGCATAAATCTAGAATTACGACTTTGCTGTCATCTATGGTTGTGATGCGGTGCAACGAGGCATACTTGAAGGAGCTTACCATACCACATTTAAAAGGTGTGACGAGGATAGAAATTACAGTTATTTTCAGTATCTTATTGATTAGCAATCAATATCTTATGACATTCTACGTGCTCAAGCCAGAATTTACATTTCAAATTAGGTACATGAATACCAGGTCGCTTCAAAAGGGTTAGAATAGGGAACGGGATAGGAAATAGATAAAGAGAAGCATACATAGAATGCAAGTTGCCGAGGGAAGCATGAGGATAGTGAGTGAAAATGAGATTGGAGTATTAAGGCGATTGGAATTAAAGAAAAGTTGAGCTAGAAAAGAAATTTGTAAGGGTATGAATGCAGTGATGACAAAAAGGGTTGGGGATAGCTGCTTCAGGGAAAAGAAAATTGAAGAAAATAAGGAGAATGGGACTGTAGGATATAAAGGGGTAATACCATTGGAAAAAAGTTACTCTAGAGTAAGGTGGAGGGGTGTTGGAGAAGGACGAGAAAAGTACAGATTGGCGCAATAGTCTCCTACAAGTTATCGCAGAATTCTAATGAAAATGTTTATTTTCTTTTATCAAATGTCTTCACGAAAATAATTTAAATAAAGCTTAAATGGCCGGTAACTTCACCAATTCCATGAAATTTGCTTTCCTTTAATAAATATCTTTTTGCACATTTTAGCTTTCTACCAGCTTTTATATGCTTAAGCATACCTTGAGAACCCATGAATAAAGCTTAGGTAATAGTAGCACACGCTATTGTGTTTTAGGTGACAGTTACACTCATTAAAATTGGCTAGGCTACACTATACCGGATTGCTCTCTGAGCGGTGCAGAGAGGAATCACTTTTACTTCGGAGTGATCTTTGGGGTAGCATTCCACTGCATTTCTGGCACACAATGTAATGTGTTTTTGCCTTCTTATGCGCAAATTGCACCATGTTTAGTTATTTAATGGTCTAGTTGCAGACATTTGCTGTTATAAAATGGGGTGTTTAACAAAAACTGAATGAAATGGCATAAAACAGCCGTGAAGAATTATTTTTACGACGAGGCTTTTCTTTACCTGGACTGATATTTAATTTGATACTATGAAGAAAATCGTACCGAACATTATTTACAGATGTTTCCTAGACAAAAAACATGATTGCCTTTCGATAGAAAATAAGTTTGTTAAGGCAAGAGGATGTAAGTAGAGTGCGAATCTGTGCAAATAAACGATAACTGTTGAGAAATGATTTCGGAAATGCGACCTGTCTAAGGCCTAGATAAACATGGCCCTTCGGACAAGACCCCAAACTTTAAACTTTGATGACAAGTTCTGGTCTGGAGAGGATACTTCAATACATATCTAATTATTTTTCAATCCTGTTGTGAATCTAAAGCTAGTTTAGCACTATTTTGATCCGACAGCAATAATTTGCGACAAACGACCCATAACAATGATCTACATTTATATAATTTTCCCAACCAGTTTATGTGCTAAAAGATAGTTTGGCCAGCAAGCTGTAAAATAAGTTAGAAATTCTTACTATCTTCTTCTATTCCATAAAAGCATAACATTGTATCGTAATTTTGTAAAAAATGGTTAGTATCTTTCGGTGATTTCAAATGAATGATATCAATTAATCTTTTTAAGCCTCATCCCAACGTTATGAAAAGTTTATCAGTACATACTAAACTGAAGGGTCCACAGACTGTAAATGTGTGTCGCGTAAAATTTGCTGCATTATTCTCACAACAATCCCTGGACACCTTTTAGTATCTGCTTAATTTCAACATATTGACTTAGATTTAAACTTGGTTCACCATCTCAACTTTGCCAGGAAATAATGCCACTATAATGCAACGTAAAACGAATAAGCTTGTTTCAAAGACGCCTGGGTATTCCGTTTTGGTTAGATACAAGAAACTCCCTAAAAGTTTAAAAAACTCACCAGCTGAAGGTATTCTAAGATCTTTGTTTGTGCCAAAGCAAAACGCAGCAATTTGCACATCTAATATCGTTAGTAAAAAGATTTCCCCTATGTTCCACTATTGAGAGAGCTAGTGTGAGGGGAAATGAAACGCAATAACCGAATTAGATCTTGGATTATACGGAATTTAAAACCTAGCGATATCAAGCTATTTAACACTTCATCTTGCCTTCATGGGCTTTAAGCTGCTATGCATTATGGGAATAGTTAGCACAGTGTGAGCCGGCTGCTAAGGTTGAGTCTTAATTCTCCCTGCCACACAAGTTGGGAAGGATTAAAGCGGACCTTCTCAAGGCCTAATCTTTGGATGTTTTGCTAAAACCTCTAACTTGAAGCTACATATTGGAATCAAGTTGCTTTTGGTTGAGGAAATATCGATTGCTAACCTCAGGCAAGGGAAGCATTTCCTTTAAGAGGTTCTACTGCCAGAAAGCGGCATCACCTTACGGATAGACAGAAGCGATAACGTGGAGACAGAAAAACTTCCTTGGGTGGCATAGCATCTTCAGATAAGATCAGTGGCGAGATTCCAGTTGTTTAATTGACGCTAGGTTTAAAACACAACTACCAATATCCAGAGAGAGAGAGATAAAGAGAGAGAGAGAGAGAGAGAGAGAGAGAGAGAGAGAGAGAGAGAGAGAGAGAGAGAGAGAGAGAGAGAGAACTTACAAGTCAAGAGACAATTTCAACTGCAAGGAAAAGGACTTTTAAATTTGAAGCATCTAAATTTTAAGAATATTTTGAAATTATTTGAATTGACAACATGTCTAATTTGGTCATTGATAAAGTTTATCTGACCAATATGTTGAAGCAATGCTACTACATGCTGTTTCAGTGCTTGCTAAAATGTTCTAAGAGCTTTGAATGCTACGGCCGAAACGTTGCACAAATAGCACATATGCCAGTAAAATATTCCCACAAAGATTTTATGTTCCACGCAACGAGAGCAGAACGGATTCTATTTTGCGACATTACGCCTTCTTTAACCATTTAAGAATCTCCCGAGGTATTCAGAAATAATGCTTGAAAAATCACCTGTGAGAGCTTCTTTCGTAATGGGACTTAAATAGGACGGGGTGGTTTGAAAACGGTTGTATGTAGTAATTTGCTTACGAGGCCAACGAGAGCATATCATATTATTATATACAGAAAAAATGTCAAATCATCGTAGTAAATTGCTAGATAGCCAATAAATCATCTTTCAAGACAGCTAGAAATATGACTTGCTACTCTATTTGGCGAGTCTTAATTTGCATCTACATCTTCAATTATCTGTATGAACATCAGAAAAGAAGAGAGACTAATCCTATGGCAGCTAACACTATCAAATTTGTGAGCAAATCCTGTAACCTTTATTGAAAACTGTTTATTTGCTGTATTAGATTGAGCATCCTGATTTGGGTAATCAGAGTCATCCGGAGCCCTGGTTATAATGCTAAATATTTAGAGAAAGAAGGTTGGCCAGATTTGTTAAGAGAAACGCGTGTCGAAATGCCTTTCTCGAAGAATTAAGCTGTTATTAGATTTGCACCATATTAGATTTGCTCCAGAACATTATATCCATTTCATAAACTGATTTTTACTTTTGCAAACCTATTAAATTTTTTCACAAGTAAAATGCGTACTTAATAACTTGTGTTGACAATACAGGTACATCAATTTGTTATGTCTCTCGATCGGTTCGCAATGAACAAAGGATAGTGGAAATATGACAACAGATGACAGTGGAAACATCATATCTCTTTTGATAATTCAAATTCTATGCATTCATCGGGAAACAGTTACAATGGCAAACGATCCAGCATAACGATTTAAAAGACATACATTTGCAGTAGTTATACTTTGACAATAAATAAACAAACGTGTCTTGGGCTGAAAGCTAGGTCTTAATTTGGCAGTGGTATTTCAAAGTCGAGCAAATGTTCAACCCCATTCGCGGCGTAACCAGTCTTCTAGTGACAGATAACCCAAAAAGCGAAGTTTTGGGTTGTTCCTTGTGGCATAAAAAGCTCTTTTTTGCGTAAAACCCCTTGTAAACTTTTTCTTTTTTAATATCTACTGCGTAATGAAATCATAAAAAAAACCAAATAGGTCCATCAATCTATTGGTCACATTCGTATGAAATGCTTTGTGACTTTCTGCGCTGTAATAAAACTTGCCCTACTTTGTTTGAATTAAGAAATGACAGGTTAGTTTCATCTTAAATTTTCAAATTGGTTGAATTTCTGTACAGTAATAAACAGTAAATAATGGGTCTGTCTATAAAACAAAAGAATTAAAATTATAGATTAAATTTCTAAGATCTAATATCTCAATTGAGTAAAACCGAAGAATTTAACGTGCAAGACATAAAAACTGTCTACAAATCTAAACGAGTAACAGTTTCAATTACGTGGGCCATATCAGCATTGGCATTCATACTCTTTACACTCTTGTGTTCTGCTGCACTAGGTTCTCTTAAAAGTCTTCTATTACCGTAATTTCTTTCTACACCAACGCATGGTTTCGAATGTGTATCAATATCTGGGACGTTCCAAGCAAGCAAAGGTGCAGTTCTTTCGGTAGGATATCCCGTTTGTGGGCGCAGTTGTCTTCTCCTCAACGTCAGATGACTTCGACTATGCACTGGCTCTGTTTTGTTTATCATTCTTTGTTGTGGCATTAAATGACTTAAATAGTCAGCTCTGTATGAAGAAAGTGGACTAAATTTCGGCTCCGTGGACCAGTGCAATAGACCAGATGTATCCTTGTAATGCTGGGCAGCGCCAGAAGAAGGTTTTCGTTTGCCAAGTCCCTGGATCATAATGTAATACTTGTCTGGTCTGATTGGATATGATATCAGTAAAAATAAACACAAAAGAAAATCTTGTAAATAGATCTTGAAATGAATTTTTTTACTTGGACTTGCTTGGAATGTATTCGTACTTTCAATATCATAGACAAACACCATGATCTCTCTAACAGGATGAGCTTACTTGCAAAAAAATTAAACCTTTTATAGTTATATTCGTCTCACAAACAAAGACAGATTCAAGAACACAAATAGTAAGTTTTCTATCATAGGTACCAAATATTATTATTTTATTTGCAAAACGTTAATGATACATTTTGCCTCGACAATTGACAAGTAAGCGCAGCAAAGAAAATCTAGGCAACTGAAATCATCTTTTCTGATTTTGCAACTTTCTGACAGCAGGAAATAAACTGCTATTTGCTTTGTCAAAGTGCTGCCAAGGGTGGCTTGGGCCCCATGTTGTTGCAAACGGTGAGATAGAAACAAGCTCCACACAGCATCCATCGAAAGGACTTAACTTCCTAGGTATCGTTATCAATTGTCTTTTATCTGTTCAAAAATCAATTTCACAAACTCAAAGATGACTTGAGCTTAGTATGCTTACTTCCCCCTAAAATTCTATATGGATGCTAAATATGGACAAACATTTCAAAGAAACAGCTAGCAACACTCACAAAAACACTGTAAATAAATGTAAAGTTTAACAAAACAAAAGTGCTACAAGAAAAAGAGTACATTACTTATGTAAAAGAAGCTGCTTAATTGCTGTGGAAACTAAATACAACAAACTAAAAAACAAACTATGAAAAAATGACATGAATTCAATATATCACACTATGCAGATGGTGTGGACCGAAGAAGAAAATATTGAACGAGATGGTCATGAGAGAAACTTAGAGCAAAAATCATTTATACCCTTTTATTGAGGGTAAAAAGATATAATAACATATTTGCCAGTTTTAACTGCTTCAATAATTGAAGAACATGCAACTGCCCTGAAATGCATTATTCAAGGTGGGTGGTTAACGTGCGAACTGAAATTGAGGCAAGCGATGAATAGCTCGCCTTGCTAACCAAAGGCGAGCGTTGAGGCGCGCACGGGCAATCGCCTGCCTCAAACGGCTAGGTCTGATTATTCTGGAACTGTTCAGTATTGTTATCATTATAAGGTAAAACCTTGAAGGCTTTTTGTAGTGAAAAGCGAATTTAGAAAAACAAAAACACCTACATGAGTGAAATGCATCTCTAAGTCTCCCATTGTGCTTGCATGAACGTTTCTATTATCATGTCTTGAGAACAAATGGTGATTGGAACGCTCTGATGCTCTATCTAAAAACTTTGATGGAGGAGGTGGCTTGGCCCTCTGTCTGTATGGAACTGTAAATTCTTGTCTTGACTTGCTTCTGAAGTGACCATGAAAGCCAGTTGGAAACTAAAACCAGAAAGAATAGCTTGTTGCACCTTTTCCAGTTGCTATCAGCTAATTAATGGCACCCCATAATTCAAAGTACACAATTTTGACATTCAAAGACACGCTTTTTTGCTTTACTGATTCCCAATATTACAAATTTTTGTGATTAAAAAAATTTCAGAATCAATTTTGCAGGAAAGAAAAGTCATTCATTTTTGACAGATTCTAAGGTTATACAAAAGGCAAAAGAATTCATGTCAATTTTACTCTACCTTAAGCAAACACAAATTTGAGGCTTTTTATCTAAAAAAAATCTTTCAACTTCTTTGAGTTATGTAGGGTACTAGTCACCACAAACTGTGCCATAAACACTCTTCTAAGAAATAAATATGTTACAAGTGTTAAGGAGTTTCATCTGTGCTGGCCAGTCTACAACTGCATACTAAAATACTTTGTCTGAAAGAAAATGTTGCATACCCAAGTTCCAGAGATTTTCTCCTGATTGTATCCATGCATCTTTTTCTACAAAGAACAAGTTAATTTATGTGTGGTAATCATCTTGATTCTGACCAATAATAGAAAGTTAATTATTCATTTGCAAGATGCCTATAACAGTATTTTATCAACAAACCAAATGATTACTGCCACTGAATTAAATATAAGTTAAAGATAAACTTTACTGAATTTATAGGGATGTGGTCAAAATTTAAATTCTTCAAGATTTGCAAATGATGTATTTTTTATCAAAAGTCCTTATAAGAATGTTTTCTTAAAACTTTTATTAAGTTGTCATTACTGTTTAATGATTTAAATTATTCTTTTAATCGTGGATGGTTAAGAAGTGAAGAATTACTTAAAACTGAAAATTCTAGGCAGGTACCATTTTCAAAGAACGTAAAGTTGTTTTCTGCATGGGGAACACCAGAACAAGAAAATTCAATTTTTGATAACGAATGTTTCACAAAAATCATGCACAGCATTTGTACCAAAGGGACCTTGCTTGCTTGTTCATTTGTTTATTGTTGTTTATTTCTTGTATTCAGAAGTTAGAAGTTTAAATGGTGGAATATTCATGGGGAACATGATCAGAAGAACAAGAATTATGCACAGACTCTGCAGCAGATTCTTAACAATGCAATGGTGTGATGAAGGAAGAAAGTTGTTGCGCAGGAATGTCTTACCCTCAAAGACCAACTTTATAATCTGGCTATTACTTGAAATTACAAAATTATAAGGCAATTACCTAACAATCATATTTTTCTTGTTAGAGATGCAACTAAAAGTTCAGATCCTTCCTCAGAATTTTTTACCTGTTGTACAGAACAACTTTGGAGTCACTTTTGGCATAAAGAGTGAATTCATCGCAACTCAGTGCAACATTGGACCCAGAAACACTGTCATCAAAAACTTAGAAACTTACTGTTGTGATGTATCTTAGTATCTTAGTTGTAGAGTTTTGTGTATAAATTGTATTTAGGATTGATTGATAATGAATGAAATGAAATGAATGAAATATCAAATGATTACAGTCACACTTAAAAGTTAGGCTTAGAACACATGTTTATTGAATGCCTTTGTTAAGATCTGATCATTTACAATGCTCATAAACCTTAAGATAACAAAAACATAATCAAATTCATAAAGTTTCATTTGTAAAACTCATAATTGCAAAGAATTTCTTATAAAGGAAAAACTTTGTCTGTTGCAGAGGCACATAATATATCAAAAGCTATTAATAATATCCAAAACTACAACTTTGAGAACGGTTATTTTGATGAGAAAACTACGTTTAAAATAAGCACCAAAATGATCCAAAGAGAATAAAAAATCTTTCACGACACAGAGCACGTGTAAACATGATACAATAACCTAATATTGCTGAAAGTGTCGATTGCCTATCGGAATCCGTCTGTCGGAATTTCTTTGCCAATTGAATGGATTGCCTAGTGATAGATAAGTGTACTGCATACGCACCTTGTATTTCAAATGTGAACACTGTTTGCCTTTCCTTTACCAGCACTCGTTGCTCAACATCTATTAACGATCTCTAGGTTACTTCCAAAATGGCTGTATTGTTGTTGACATAATAGAGAGTCGCGCACCATGGCGATAAATCCGCGCGATTCTCATGTTAATTTCACTTTGCTGCGGTGTAGTACCCTGCGTAGGATTTAGCCTCTCTATCTTTGGCGCGAAATTAAAAAAAAATGACGTGAGCATGTTTGAATGTTGAAAAAAATTATAAAGTTTACTTAATTTAAGTAAAGATGATTTAACTCATATTTCAAGACAAGGCAGAAGAAATGTTCTCACAAAATGTTGTTGAACCAAGAGAGTTCATTACAGAACCAGGGTAAGTATAAATAATTCAAAAACAAAGCAATACGACAACGAAAGTCCATTATCTAATGGGATAAAATTTTCAAAATAAATTAGATTTAATGAATTTTGCCCTGTGATGGATAATTTGTATCAAGTGACAAGTCAATGAATCGCTCATTATAACTTGGGCATATAGAGGTATCTCTTGATTGCTTGTAAATTCAACAAAAAACTTACCTTTAATAGCTTAGAGATGATATTTTCCTCAGTTAATGATCTTCGCAAAAACCTGTTTCCTACCAATGATAATCATAATCTGCATAAACTATTTCTGCTTCATAGCCACGAAAATAATAATTTTGTTGCAATTAAAACTATAATAATTATTACTTATTTATAATTACTTTACAAATAGGATATGGGAGAGTCAACAGAACAGCCAAGTATGGGGAAATTCCCAAACATCAGCCTCACAGTATAGAAGCAGTGGTGATCTTCAATATAGACCATGGAAGGCTTCCAGTGGCTCTGACTACTGGTCACAATCACAAAACCAATCACAGCAGTTGCAAGAGGTATTAATAGGCAAGGTTTCCCTGCCCACATGTGTCTTACTCTTGAATTCAGTTTGTTCTCTGTTGCCTTTTTTTCTTAAAGATATCCTTTAGGGGAGGAAGGTAAAGAAATTTCATTCAGATTATAGTGTGGTAAATTTTTCTACAGGTTTTTGTTATCAAACTCACTTTCTGATTCTGGTAGAATTCTCCTATTTATGTGCTATTTAAGTTATTTGTTCTAATCCCAAATTTTTTCAAAGGAGGTCTACCAAAATGTCCTTAATAGCTTAAATATCTAGTTTATTACATAAATTATTTAATCACTAAATACCTTATGTTGAATCTTTATGTATTAAGTGTATCTTCTAGATATGATGAAAAGGTAGGATGGAGATACATGGCTTCTGGTGCATTGGAAATTAGAATAAAAAAATTAAGTATAAAGAAACAATACTCACAAAATTCTTAGCACATGAACACAGTAAGTGAAAAAAAGACAAAACTGAATTCTTCTCTTATGCAGAATGATGATGGAAGCAAGTATCACTTACGTTATTTGAATAAGCCCCCAATATTTTCAAGCAAAGATGACAGTAAATGCAATGAAGAAAAAGGCCATGTAAAGACAATTCAGCAATATGTAGAAATTCAAAAGAAGAAATCATATGAACATGAAACAAGGTGAAGAAGCTGTTTTTTATTTCATTTAAGAGTTTTATTGCTAATATCAACCATTAGTAAGTGATTAAACTAATATTTTCTTTTTAGTAAATATATTGTAATTATTAAACATACAACTTTCTTTCAGGGCAAAGCTGGATCACATTGTCAAAATGCTGAATGAGTATTCAGAGGAGGTCTGCTGAATGAATATTGAAGTTGCTAATTGATTCTTTAAATTTAGATATCATATTGATAATAACAACTTATTTTAGATAAATTTTATAATACAAGCAATGTATTTACTTTATTTCTTCTATCCTGTTACTGACAAAAAGTTTAAGGCATTATGAAGTATTAGATTGCAATAGCCATAAAAGCTTAACATTTCAATATCATCACAATTTTGTTTTTGCCATCTGTACCATTGTTGTCAATCGTCGTTTAGGTATATATTTATAAAAACCTTCAAATTAAATAGATTTAAAAGTATGGTTGAGGCAAATTCAAGATTGTTTGAAAATGTTTTCTCTGATTTATTGTTTCCATAGGTACAGGCAAGTATTGGGGATATAAAAACAGAGCTTGGATCAGAAATCTCAAAATCTTCTGAAAAATGGCATACAACTGCAGTGCAAATCACAAAAGACCTTGAAAAAGGCATGTTTGTATCTTTGGTAATAGTTTTAATCTTGCATGGTATTCATTCTTCAACTTTTTAACTCTTGAATGATGAATGACTCTATCAAGATTTCTACATTTAAAGTATGAAAATGGTTGGGAGAATAGATAGAAAGTTTTAGAACTTCAAGCAAAGAACACATGAATCTTCTCTATGACATTTGAATTAAATCAATAAATACTTCTTTAGTTGCTGAAGAGGTGAAAGGAAATTTTGAAGTACTTCAGAAGTCGTCAATTGATGTGAAAGAAAAATCAAAAGAAGAATTCCAACAGGTGCTTTATGAAAATAATTTTTTACGATATTTTCTCAGGATTGCTTATTTTTTTCTGGCAGATACCCTAAAATTTAAATTTTTTTTATGGGTGATAAATCTTTTTTTTTCAAATTTTATTTATAGTATTTGCCAATGGCTTTTAATGCAAGGCAATTTTTAAATTGAAGTTTCTTTGTTTATTTATAAACAAAGTTGGAAAGTTCTTTGTATATTCATTCTAGCTCACGGAACAACTTCAGACTCTTCAAAATCAAAGTGAAAATATCTTAGCGCAGCTGGTGTCAATTAAAGAAAATAAAGAAAATCAAGATGAGAAGCACAATCTAAGAAATGAAAGTCTGTTGCAAGAAATATTATCATATGTTGCAAGAAAGCCTGCAGATACAAAGGAAGCATCAGTTCAAACTGGCACCATACCAACAAGAGATGAAAGCACACAATACTACAGATTGGAAATGCTTGTAAAAGAAACCCAGACGGATGTTGTCAAAGAAAATGATCACCAGTATGAGCTGCAAGTCAAAGATGGCTATTCAACTGAAAGTCAGCAAAATAGTTGCATGCAAAAATATATGCACTACACTTTGCAGTGCCAAAGCCCAAAGTCTTCTATGAATTTGTCAAATGCCAGCAGCCTAACAAATGCAAGATGCGGTAATAAAGTCTTTATTGCCATCAAGGTTTTTGGTCATTAAAGAAATTTCAGATCTAAATTGTCGAGCTCTATCTCTTCTGTGCAACTGTAGTGATCATCAATGGTCATTGGGAAATAATCTGCATTCAACAGACCTCTCAAAGATTATCTTCAAAAGAATTCAGGATGCTGAGCTAGCATAGTAGCTTTCTTGGTATTCTGGATAGCTCTTTCATTTTACAGCTTTATATAAGTCGAATTCAGTCGGACTAGCAACATGCCTTCGACATAACCATCTTACGCATAAGTTGAAATATCCAATATTTGCTTATGGAAATTAAATACCTTTATTTTACTGCGTTTCAAGAGGTTTTTGGAATTAAGCAAGGTTGAATCGATCTTTTAAAAGCCGTACTTAATTTTCATTTTACTATTAAGATAATTTCAAAAATCATACCTAAAACTCTTTTATGTTCTCTAATTATTCAAGATCTGATTATTTTCTCTCAATAGACCAGCCAACGACCCAACTACAACATTGTCAGATCAGAAGGCCAATTGTGACCTTGCAACATCAAAGAGTGCAACCGCTCTCTAATCTTCTACCATCTGAAAGAATGATTTGTTTCTCAGAAGTAAACAGTTCTTCACCAGTTGCAGCCGTTTCTCCTATCGTTAATGGGGTTACTATCAAACAGGAGAATACACCTTCAAATGGTAACATTATATCAGAAATACTTGTCATCACCATTTGCTGTGAAATGTTTTAAATGAATTTAATTTTGTCACTGTGAGATTACATAAAAGACCAGTATGACATCAAGAAAGGGGAATAGTTGAATCCCGCCAAAGGAATAAACCAAATAAAGGAAGGTGCTTGTTTGTCTGGTTTCGAAATACCAGCACGCAGCTTTCAGCAATCTCCTCCATTTATCCCTATCCTTTTCACATAAGTTACGCTATAACCATGATTATATGTAATGTGAAAAAATCTTTGCAAATTAAACATATGGTAAGAGCCTCTGAAATACTTTTTACTTTGTGAGAGTCTGCAGTATATTTGCTAGCTATTTTATTGCTGGTTTTGATAATTTCGACTAACTTTGAGATGTTACTTGCTTGCTTTTGAAAGGACTTGAACTAAATATGAATGATTATGGCTTTGTTCCAGATAATATCAATAACAACATTATAAGAAGACCCAAAAGACGTAATCAAACAGAAAGGAAAGATGATCATTCCGAAATATTCATGTTCGATATTTGTTCAGATCTAAATGATTCACAAGAGATGTTACAGGTTGAGGACCCCAAAGAAAAACAACCTACAAATGAAACATATCAAGCTAAAGTTAAGAAAACTTCAATTCATACGGCATCAAATGAACAGATAATAAAAGAGAACATTCGTTGTGATTGGCCTTCGACAAAAGCAAGGAATACAGCTGTTCAGAAAGATATAACATCATACGGCAAAATAAAGAAACACAGTGTTGGCAACTGGGCAAAGAAGACACCATGGAAGTCTCCAAATTGTTCGATGTCTGTGTCAAAGATTACTCCTAAAAGCAAGGCAAGAATATTTCTCCTTAATCTTTGATGTGCCCTCCAATGTTTCCAGGGTTTTCGTTTTAGTCATTTGTTTGGCAGCTGTGTTTCTTTGAAATCGTCCTGTAGAAAACCATCTATGTAGTAGGTTACCCTTCTTTCCTGACGATATCAGCAGGGTAGCAGTTCATGGTTGGTGGTTCCGCAATGTTTAAGATAGTTGAGAACTTTGTAAGGTTATTCAGCTGTTTACTTTGATAAACATGAATTAAAAACGTGTTAACTTTGAGTAAGAGTCTTAAATATTTTGTTATTACCAGTCTTTTATTGTTATGCTGCTGATGTCTTCAGGAATGAAGAGTGACCTGCTATGTAGAAGGTGTTCTGTCCCAGTATATCAAGGAAACACAGCTGCCATATAAACTACAAAGCGATATAAACCCTGGCTGTGTTTTTCCAAGGCCTCACTCTATTCAACTCTCTCATAAAGGGAATGGAGGAGACGGTTTCTTTTTAAAGGCTGTAAGTCTTTAGCTAAAGCATAGACTATGGCTAAAGCAAAGTGACTCTTTGCAAAAGAGGCATTTTTCTTTTAATCGATTGAATCTCCGCCACGTTTTGACATGACAAACATTGGCTTGGAGCTGCAAAAAAATTGATGTTTTTAAGAGGAGTTTGTATTTTTGATATATGTTTGAATCAAACCATAGACTATGATTAAACATGTGAATAAAGGAAAGGCCACAAAAGCAGGCTGCTCGACGGACTCTGATAGAATTCTTGTGGTGAAAAAATCAATTAAAAATCGAGAATAAACAACAACAAATAGACGTAAATCAGTTGTAGCTAATATTTCGTCCCGTTATCTTCATATGATTAAACGCACTTCTATAACAAATTGGTCACTGATTGATTTTGCAGACAAACACAAGACTAACCTCAAGGGAATCTATTGCCCAAAAGAGAAAAGAGTATGCTGAAAGCGTCTTTTGTTTTGATGGTAATTTTGCATACATTTTCATTCATTGTAAAGATATTATGTCTTCAAAAGCACTACTGATAACAAAAATTCAGTGTTTTTAAATGAATAATTAATGTATTTTAAATTTCAAATGAAAGGTAAAACATCAGATATGATAAAACAATGAAGAAAATTGTTAAAATCTGAGGTGAACCTCAAATGTCTTTTGCACGTCTGATAAAGTTAGAGTTGTCATTAGTTTAACTAAATATTGGTTTATATGATTTTCGCCAGCAAAATTTTTTTTCTATTTTTAGTAGCATCGTCTAAAAGTTCAATTTTTACGGAATGCTTCACCCTCAAATTTTATCTTAATTCCTTGGCTGCACTTTTTACTGCTAATGGCGCCTACATCTCTTAAGCCTGAATATCACTTCGAAGAAATAAAATGATATGATAATATGACTTGAAGAATTATCAAAAAATTTGATAAAAGTTTTATTTCTCCTCTTACTACAATGCTTGCAGCTGTTGAGGACCAACACATATAACGAGAGCTGAAAAGATTGTTTAAAATTTAGGCCTAATGAATGTTTACAAACAAATAGTGAAAAGGAGAATACGATACGATAATGTATAGGCACCTAGCTGATAGATATTCTTCGAAGTGAGACTGCTTGGTTCTATGCGTTCTATGTTTTCAGTCTCTTAACATTCACTGCTGATAAACCGACTCAAATCAATTTGCTATGAAGTGACACGAGAAAATTACTTTGCCTAAATTTCAGTCACATGAGCAGTGACGCTGAAGCGACCCATAGACAGAAAAACAGGCTGCAGAACAAGGACATTTAAAAAATGACTTGCAATTCTTTCGTAGCTGTTATTTGTATTTCGGTCAGATAAAGGGATCTTGAAACTATGATAACTTTTGTAACATGAAAAAGCTAACAGGTTTTGAGTAATTTCATTTTCAAAAGAATAAGGTGAAAGTTAAAAATTGCCTGAAACCTCTTTGTGTCATTCCATTAAGGTATTTCTGTGCTGCAGCATTAATTATATAGTAGAAAAGGCTAGGTGATCACTGAAGGGTGATTAATGTCTATCCCAGGCAGGAGATGGAGACAGTATGAAAATCCATTGAACCGCTTTATTCTGTTTTTCTTCTAGATTATGCTGATTTAAAGCAAATCCAACTCCAGTTCAAGTCCTCATCAAGTCAAAAACTACATTCAAGGTGATGATTGGCTAATTGTCTGACTTGAATTTAATTCTAAAACAATATTTTAACTTAGAAGAAAAAATTTTATTGAAGTCTATGAAAATGTTGTGTAATTATTCCTAATTTATCCAATTACAAATGATGATATTTTGTGTTATAATTCTTTAAATAATGCAGGCAAAATTTTCAATGACTTTTTAACATTGAATCCGAATTAATAGTTTATGTCTTGATCCTATTATCTTTTTATAACTTTGTGTCACGATTTTGTTTTATGCTTAGCATTAAACATATTAATGGTTTTCAAACATTACTACCTTAAAGACTCATTGCTAACAATGGGCCTTTGCGAGCGTGGCGACGATCCAAACAATGGCAGTAAACTTCTACGGATTAACCAAAGTTGATTTCAGACTGTCTAAAAATGCATTATGGGATGCTTGCGTGGCGCAATGGCTCATTGTTAGCAATGAGTCTTTAATTATGTTAGAGCAATACTGTTTTACAGAGGCTGTCGATGTGCAAATCCGGTAATGCAGATAGATTACCAACAGAATAATCTTAACCTAATAAGAGGCTGTAGCGAATATGAGGCTGCTTCTCTGCTGATAGGAACAACAACCAGGCATAAATTATAAACATTGATTGCTCATAAACGGCTTCCACGGGCGGTATAGATTGTCCAAGTAGCCTTGTGGACTTAATTCTAAATATTTAACAAGTAAGAACTTAGTATTACAAATGCGCATTCTTTTTTAAATATTAAAGCAAACCACTATTTGTACAATAAACACATTTAACACAGGTGCGTAAAGAGTTTTGGGCTCTGAGTAATATGCAATTAACATTACTAAGGAGAAGGCATGCTGTACCTGCATATTGTACTATAAAGTTAATTCAAGAACTTTTTTGGCAACAACAGCTAAAGCACATTGACATCTGCACTAAACTGCTTTAGTTACGTAGAGAGAACCTTTTTCAACGAATATTATATACAGCGCTGTAAAAATAATAGGCAAAACTATTGCTATCTGTATCATGACCTCGTTTTGTTCAATGGTCTCCTTTACCCATGAATGTATTTCACTCAACCTGCTTACATCATCGTTTCCTTTGCACTGTTTGTTGTTTCGTTCGTTCGTTGCCTCCATGCGACTGCATTCTAACTCCTTATGCAAGATGGCTACCTCTTTAGAGATGCCAGCCATACAGTTGCTAGCTGTGTCTTGTTCCCTGTCCTTGTCACTTTTTGTCTCGTGTCTTTCTTCACTATTCATTCTTAGAATCGGTCGTGATATCTTTCGCTTGTTCATATTTGCGCAGTGTTCCACTGATTCGCTGCTCAGTGTTCTCTGTTCGAATGCAGATCGCTTCCTGCTCCTTGCATCTGGAAACGAGTTGGTGGAAGCCTTTCTTCGTTGGCTCAAACTTATCCGCCGAAACGTATCTCCCATTTTCAGATACCTCAAACAATTTCCAGGCCGATGCAGTAGTTCTCCAGGAGAAATCCCTTTTTCAATATGCTCATGAGCTACCCGATCGTCTGCCCTTTTTAAAGTAACACAATCCCTTCGAATCCTTTTTCTCAACTATTGCCGCCAATAACCTGTAAAGGTACATTGATCAGCTTTAAACCATTGCCAGAATACGCTCTACCTACGTAATGAATATTTAATGAGGTCTCTCAATAATTCATATCTAGCATCCTACGTTTTCAATAGCGGATCAGCGTTGAGTGATCCAGACTCAAATCTTATCGTATTCGGATAGTAAATAAGATTGGCTGAAATTTTAAGAACTAGCACCTTTTAGTTAAATATATGTACTCAATTGCAACGGGTCAAATATCTACCCACGCTTAACAGAAGCAGATGAACTCAGGAATACAAATATAAATTTGTGAATGACGTAGCTTCCTGCTGCTCATTTCTTCAATATTTCTTTAAAGTGCAGATCTCTTCTATATTTCTATATTGTATTCACTGCGCTCAAACTGCCTTGTTTACATTTATTACACATTTTATGAGCTATTCCTGTTAGAATTAACACCATTGCTGCTTGCGAAAATTACAACAAAGCTATACCACAGAATTGTGGCTATACTCTTTAACGATTCTTTGTCCAAGCAAGGAAGAGACGATGGTTAATAGGAACATCTTCGCAATTAGCAGCTTTGCTTTGAGCTATTTTTCTTCAAATATCGGGTACTATTTTATATAAGAAATCGCCATAAACATCTTAAAAGCATCATCAAATCATCAAGCAGGTTTTCCACATTTTAAGTCCTTCTGTGTGAATTGTTTTTTTGTTTTTGTTTTTCATGTTTCTACTAGTTAGCGTGACAACTACAGACCCTCATTCAATCTTTGTAAACAGAGCTGATACTATTTTTTCCTCTGCCTTGCTATATTTAAGCTCAAATTGTAGCTTAAATCTAAATTATTGTATAACTTGTGGTGCTTCACTGTCGAAGCTCGCCAAATAATTTTCAATCTCAGGCAAAAGTGATAATCATATCAAAACATGATAATTCAACATCTAGGACATGCTCTTGAAATAGATAACAAGATGAATTATCGCTGCTCTCGACACGTTTAGTCAAATACATTATTTAAAATATTTTTTACAGGTGCAAACATCTGAAAAAGTAATGATTCATTTCTTTAAATAGTTGCTTTATTCCTTGAGAGTTTTCGTGGTAACACTATCTTTAGTTTAAGATATGCATTTACATGAAAGTCATAAATCTTTACTCACCAAGACAATTATTATCCTGGTGTTTAGCTAGAATATTTGTGATTCTCTTCAACAATATCAGAACTGATGTTTGTGGAAATGTTTCTGTAGCCTGTCTGTTTCCATTGTTACTTGTTTGTGAATTGTACGATATAGCAGGTGGCGAAAACACTCGCGTTCACCGCTATAGCTTGTTCCTAACACCGCATCCACGAGTAATCAAATCCGCCTGTTGCTTTGTTTAAGTACAAGCACTTATCAAAAGAATTTGTTTTCAACATGAAAGATGCGGCCTCAGTAACTGAGTAGCATTCAGAATGATACACTTTAAGGCTCTAAGCTGACTCATCGACTTTCCTTCTCTTCCGTAAGTGCATCCGTAAGAAATAAAAAGATAGGTCTATTGTAATTTGTTATCGACATTTGGTCAGTGTTAATCCCAAGGAAATCGTTATCACATTTGTCATATATAAATTGAATTAAAGGCGAAGGTGTTTGATAATCTCCGAAAACACTTCACATCACTGACAAAACAAAGGAATATACCATACCTGCCTGCAAAGTATTGAAAGTTGAAATGAAAGTTAAGCCAAATGAATGGAAACTGTATTAGGTAGGCTACTTAATGAAGAATTTCCGACAGATCATGTGTTTTTACAGACAACAGCTTCTAAACCTTTACCGATTCGCATTCGGGTTAAAATTCAGTATTTACTTGCCTAAAAACCATTTCGATATATTTTAACACCCTCGGCGGTGCACGCGACTCCATTCTGGCCACAGATATGCATTTGGCCAGCTGAGAATAAAACTCTTATGTTTTAGATATATTTGCTTTCAAAATCTAAGGTTTGAAATTTTGCTGGAAAGCATGGTCTTGTAAAATGAAAAGATTGAACTTCTTTCGTTTTTTGACACCCTGCCTGTCACGTTTCTAGGGAGTATTCAAAAGTGAGATTGCTCATAAACAATCCACTATTGATAGTTTCTCATGACGATTACTGCAATATTTGCTTTCCAGTCTAGAATAAACGAAATGAATAGGTAGAATTACTGCTTGGCTGTTTCTTATATGCAAAGGTATCTCATTCCACCACAGATTCGCACCGGAATAGAGATAACTATTTTTTTTAGAAATTAATAAGCAGTGGGAGGGGTACTTTTATTTCAGACTCGAAAAATAGATATTTGTTGATAACACTAGCTAAGATGTTGATAACACTTATGTTGTTGCATTTGACAAGCTGAGTGGTGCATTTCTGTTGCATCAGCTTGGTTTTCTATCTGTATCAGGGCTGGTTAGCTGAGGTATGGTGCTCTGAACGCAGCTCCTGCCCTTGTAAATTCCTGTTGCTGAGCCTGCTGCTATATCTATTCTCATACAATGTTCCCCTCATGAAAGTAAGATGTTAAAAAGCTAATACGGTAAGCCATTACGGGCATGTGTCCTTTACACAGTCGAATGTTGTGAAAACAACATCTGAGTGGAGCTACAGCTGCATGTGAAGTTTAATTGCAATAAACGAAAGCTGTTTCATCCTTGTTGACAACCAAGGCAAGCAGAAAGATCGACTTCCACTGCTGGTAAAGTATTGAGACAAATAATTGAGCCGTGCTTTATAAGTAGTCACTTTAATTTACTCATTCGGGAATGAAATACCAATGCAATATAAAGGGCATAAAGCTCCCTCAGAAAATCTGCCATAGACATCAGAAGGTCGGTCGTGAGGCTACGTTCCCACATCATCGAGAGAGAGTTAGGCCGTTGGTGCATCGGCGCAAATCGCTCAACCTACCAAAAATCACTAAAAGGGGTTACTATGGGAAGCTACACAATAGCCCCCAAATATGATTGATAATTTGAAGGGAATAGACAGGAAAAGCCTCTTTTCCTCACTAGTAGCCGATGCACCAGTCCTATCTAATAGCATCAAAAAATGCTAAAAAGCATAAAAGTTGCCTAAAGGTATGAGAGGTTTTAGCGATGCCATTAGGCTTAAATACCCCTAGATTAACCAAGGAAATGAAAACGCCACGAAACACACATCTCACCCTAGTTATACAAATCAAATTCTTAGGGCGCCGAAAGACTCCCCGCATTGCCCATAAACTAGTAGAGCAGATACAAGAAAAGCGCGAAGAAGCGTTGCACAAGAGACCATAAAGAATAAGGAATAAAAACAATAGGTTTTTAAATCAATCATAGGTTTTTAAGAAATAAAAATAATTTAGCACTTTGAGTTTTATAATTCAACTGATGCAAATCCTTAGAGATTTTACATAAAGAACGTCAATATTTACAGTATAAAAGTTGTTTTAGGACCATGATATAATGCAGGAGAATTTTTAACGTATCGTCTCGTTTAAATCGTTCAACTATCAGGTGAATAATCCTAAAATTTGCATATTCTGTGCTCAAGGTGGAGAATTTGGCGCTGCATTATTAATGAGTCATAAATACTTCAAAAAACACCAAACAAAATTATTAAATGTTTTACTGGAATCCATACATGCATTGATAAATAGTGAGTTAACATGAAGATGGGGAAATGAATTAAGTATTATGAAGAGGATAATGAAGTTATTCAAATCAAAGAAAGTAATGCCAATAATTCGGAAATGGAAAAGATAGCTGGAAGGACATTCACATCCCCTCCTATTGGTGAGTCAGCAATGTCTTGGTCCAGTCCTCTGCTGATCGTAAACCCGAAAACCTCAGCGGTCCTAACTTCCTGTTGGGGGACAACAACAACCCTACTGTTCTTTACGCTCAAAAAACTTGCTGAGGAGCTGTGTTCAGTAACAATAAATCCCCATCGCGTCAGTTCATTGACTAACAAAAAGATTACATTTAATCGCCTTAGAAATTGGTGAGTAGTTATCAAACTTATCACAATGTTTATGAGACATTTTGCTCTGGTTCCAAGGATTTCAACTGGCATTTTGAAGTACCGGCCTAAATTGAGGTTACAAAGTCAAGTTTATTCAACGCCTTTGGTAGCTTTTCTGGGAATGAACTTGCTGCGAATGGTAACAACTTCTGGTACGTTTTTGAGGATAAATTACAATCACACAACTTCAAAGTTTGAAAGGAAAGCAGGCTAAAGAAAAACCAAAGTTTTGATCGCTGCCTGGGCTGGGCCGGGCGTCAAATTTTTCTATTAGGGCGTTGCAACTACAAAACAATGTTCTATTCGACACAAAACAAGGATTACTCTTGAAAAAGAAGCTGTTTCATTTTGAATTGTATCGTTCTGTAAAAAATCTAGTGATTATTTAATTTCTCAAATATGCTTTGATCATTGTAAGTAAAGAAGGCAAATGAACTTAATTATTTTTTATGAATTATTTTTTGTTACAGGAAACAGCATGGGGGAAGAAAGACCAAAAAGTTTTCCTGTCCAGTTCTCTAAAGAGGAGCTTAAAGAAAGACTGACTCCAGAACAATACCATGTTACTCAAGAAAGTGGCACAGAAAAGTAAGAACATTAACTTCTTTTAGCTTTTTTTTAATGTTGTTAAGTCTTTCTGAGGCTTAAGTTAAGCTTTGCCATGTTTCTCTGAAACCTGGCTTTATTTTAGGTAATGATTTTCCATTAAATCCAGCAACATTCTTTCAATTGCAAAGAAAAAAGTGTACAGGGGACAACAAATAAAACCCAGTGCATAGTTGATGCATTACATCAAAAGTTATACGCGCACGCCTTATTTCTCTGCAGGAGGTGACAGCTTGTCTGGAGTCAATCAGGACAAATATTTAATTCTTGGACAGGAGTAAGAAAAATGGTTATTATACCAGATCATTGACATCAAATGCGAATAATTTACAATGACGGCACAATCCCAGCAAACGGTTTTTCAAAGTATTTATAGGTAGAATATACCAGCATACTTTGCTGTTCCTTTTTTTTTTATCTCCATACAAGTAGAAGGGCAAGAGGAACATTCCTTCATGGCATGTCTGGAAACTACAAAATGAAAAAGCTTATGGCATATTGTTTCAAGCTTCTGGTATGAAAATGCGGAAAACCTATGTGTTTAGGCTTTTTGAATATGCAAGATGAAAAGGCGTATGCTTCAAAGCTTAGCCTTGTGCAGAATTTAGCAGAAGCTAATAAGTTCAGAACTATGAACCAGGCTTAAAGGGCCACTCCAGCCCAAAATTTTTATTTCAGAACACGATGTAATCAGACCTCCTGAAAACGAATCTGTTATTATTTTTTTCATATCTCTAACCGTTTTGTAGTTATTAGCGTTTGTAAAATGATCATTGAGTTGAATTGTTTTTCAACCGTGTTATCGGAGATCTTCGGATTGACGTCACAGGCATTTTCGGCCTCGGTAAGTTCGCGGCAAGTATCATCGGCTGTCCAAAGGGTCAACGAGAACCTAGCGAAATGGCAGACAGGGCCTAGCAGCGGCATGTTTGTTAGTAGGCCAGACTTTTATCTGGAATCGATATAAAGAGAGAAGTATCGCTCATCAGTCTTGATATTCTGATCGAATATGGAAGTTTTTTATCGCACGAATCTTTCTGACAGAGAAGTCAAATTGCCAAAGTAGGCCAGCGAGACAGAGACATGAGGATGTTGACAGACTTTCATGGAATGTTGCTTTTGAAGCAACTTATATTGGCAGGCCAGTTCCCTGATTTTAAAAAGAAGATTCGCGCTTTTTCATCAGCTCTTCCTTTAGTGCAACAGCTAAAAAACCATCGCGCAATTAATTCGGGAGGAAAGACCAAAGCAAAACCAGTATACCGGGAATGAAAGCTGTATGAATTGATATAACATATTCCTTAGGATAAAGAGCTTCATATCAACATGACTATGACTTATTAGAAATAAACCAGGACAATCGAGGGCATGGACAAGAAAGTATACAAACTTTCAAGACAAGTCTAAAAACCTACCATTAGTCATGAGTCAAACAACTTTTTCAAAAATTGTAAATTTGTTTTTATACAAACAAAAAAGGGATTTGAGATTATATTAATAATTCAACTTTTTCAATATACTTGTGTAAATATAATTTTTGTATTTAACCTTTAAGCTATTACAGGGGCCTTGTCAGCTCCTTAAAGCTGTCAGAATTTCAACCTGCTATATTTATGAATAATAAATACATGTTTGATGTATTTAAATACTTGGCTACATTGAATTATATATTCAAATATCTATACAATCAGGCCAGTGAACTATCTAGAAATTTGTAATTTCTATTGCACATGAGAAATGTTCTTATAAAAGTATCATGAAACAATAATCTATTGCAAAATTTCTAGAAAATACCTATATGTTGTTACTAGTTAAAAAGCAGTGGATTTGCAAACATTATATAGATATGACCAAATTATATATAAAATTTTGATAATTTTAAAAATAGTCTCCTTTGTAAAAATTTTAATACAAAAACAGAATAATGTGTTGAGGTCTTTGTGGTAACTCTTGCATGGAAGAGAGGGGCAAGTTATCACTCCCACAAAGCCAGTAGCCAGATAACAGAATGCATGTAATCTCCAACCTTCATCTAGCATTTTTTTGCAAGATCCTTTCTGCTGATCCATAAAAGAGTTTGTTACCTTTTTTATGCCTAGAATAATAAGGTTGACAGGGATAAATACTAACATACCAGTGAAATTTACTTTTGAGTCATATTAAAACATAAAATGATCAAAGAAACTTGGACACTCAGGGGCATTCAGAGTATAGATATTTAAAAGGATCAAAGAGAAATTTAGGGGTGAAAGGGCAACCACTGTTACTATAGCAAGCATCTAAGGATATTAACTTGAAGTAACACAAAGATGAATTTAAATGATATAGGCCATGCTTATATGAATCAATGCTAGAATAGCAAAGGTAATTTTAACAAATATAAACAATTCTGCCTTTAAAACATTAGAATGAGGATATGACACATCTTTTTTCCAAAACCAAGGGTGTAAATTCCATGTTTTTTCTTTGAGGTAGTAGATCTTTTGCCCTGGATATTGATCTGGCAAAATTTTGAAATTGTGCATCAATTCTATGATGAAATAGGCAGAACATGGTAGAACATGAAGAAAAAGGGTTCAGGGAAACATCAGCCAAACCCTGGGAAATTTAACACATCTATACCTCGGGCAAAGGTGTAGTGCACAGATCATTGGCAGGGATGTAGTGCTAGGAGGCTCAGGTCCCCTTATTGGTACAAAAAAGTAGCAAACTTCTACTTTTGGTACTATTTTATGTGACATTTTGCTTCAGAGCCCCTGTTGTACTTTTCATATTACCACATTTCTGAATATTTGGGGGACAGTTCACAAGACTGTTAGAAAACTTGTATTTAGAGTTCGAAGTTTTTCTCAAAGCCCGGCAAATTGCATTGCTTAGGGGGTGCGTGTCACACCATCCCCAAACCCCCTCCAAACCTCTACACTCTGCAGTTTCGCCTAACATTCAACATAGTAAAATGATAATAAGGATGAATTGTGACTTACGGGAAAGTTTCCATCTTGTGAATGGGGTTCTTCTTCTAATGCGGTGAGACATCAATTATTATTCAGCTCCCTGGAAATTCCTGAGATGACACGACGATAAGAAATGCCTTCGGTCAGAAATCCATTCACATCTGAAAATTCGTGAAGCATTCCATATTAAAAAGCTTGCTGCGTTGCCAAGATGAGGGTATGCGTTCAGGTTGAAGCTTCCATCTTTGATTTGTCGAATTACTAGTCCATGTTGGCTGGACAAGCCTCCGCTGAACATCAATCGCAATGAGGGAAAATAAATAAAACGACAGCCGAGATTCCGACATGAATCGCCTCTCCGAGCCTCTACCGAATCGTGCGAATTTCAGTGCGAACGTATAACAATAGCGCCGAATGTTGAAACAATGGTCCCTTCGTACGTCACAAGGTACTTTTTCCGAAAAAAATTTTGTCGTATTTTTACGGTGATTCTCAACTTTGAGCGTCTATATCTGGAAAACGAGTTAAACTTTTCGAAAAAAAATTTCACGATAGCTTCTTTTTCTTGACTAACTACCAATTTATGCAAAAATCTCAGAAAAAATTTTTGGGCTGGAGTGGCCCTTTAAGGCTGCATTTACGCATAAAAAATTGAACAAGTCTGTTTGGAACCATTCCTGGCCACTCCAACCCTCATGTATACATTAACATGGGACTGATTTCATTTGGAGTTTTTTTTGAAGTTGCTTAGCAATTGGAAATATGGGTCCACATAACCAAAGCATAAACTCTGCATTTCTCAAGCATAGGTTCCAAATCGTTTATTGGCTACAAGATTTGAATTCTCTGTATTTGCTGACAGAAGTTACAGTTCCGATTGGGCCCATGTGAAAGGGAATCCATTTGTGGTTGCTCTCTATGAAATGGATGTGCAAAAAGTTTTTCTTCAGTTTATGATGCTTGGTAAAGAAATTGCTAAAGATGATCAGCATACCAATATTTTAGACAAGATTATCTTTTTGTGCTATGATTTTGTTGGGTATTTTAGAAAGAGATAATAGCAAATAACATTGCAAATGAAATGAACTTGACAATTGTAAAGAAATATTTCTTTTTCAGGGCTTATACTGGACAGTATGATAAATTCATGAAGGAAGGGGTGTATAATTGCGTTGTTTGTGGTGAAAATCTTTTTGACTCAAGTACAAAGTTTGATTCTGGCTGTGGATGGCCAGCTTTCTTTGATCTTTTGGACAAGGAGAAAATCAAGTATATAAAAGATACATCTTATGGAAGGATTCGTACTGAAGTTGTGTGTGCCAATGTGAGTAAATTTTCTAGATTTCATAAACTGCAATATTTTCAATTTATGATTCAATCTTGAGATTTTGTTGGAATTTCTCAGAATAAGAATCCGTCTAAAATTTACATTAATCAATTAGATTTCTACCTATATGCATTTTTTTTCTTTTATGTGTAAGGAAAAACTACTTTGAAGCTTTTAGTTCATGAAACTGAAAACCCAACTTTGTGATAACTCTAAGATTTCTCAAAGTTTGTTATCTGCCAAAGTTATTTATTACCTCTTTCAAAGTGATAGTGTTGCTCAAATAATTTGTTCAAACAAACATTTTCCTGATTGTTGAAAAACTACAATGCTTGTCTCTGTTTCTTTACCCCAAAATTCAGCCCTCCTTTCAAAAAAATGTTATCACTTCCTTGCTTGAATGCGTGATATGATGCATTTCAAGAAAGACATACCCCCAGCTAGTGGCTGGCTAATAAAGAGCCGGTAACTTAGCAATTCAGCCCAAATGTAAATTAAAAAGTTTTCATTTGATTTTCGCATTGATTTCATCAACATTCGCAGAGTCATTTGCTATAGCTATTTTTCAATTTCATAAAGAAAATTTTTATGTAGTAATTCCAGAGGGCAGCTAAGCTAGCTGGTTAGCACTTGCTTTGCTAACTTTGCCACAAAGAAAAAATTCCAGAACAACCTTGCAGGAAGATGCTCATTTTGTTTGTCTTTATATCAGCTCTTAGTTAAAAAATTGAGGCAAAGCATCACAATCTTATTTCACTTGTACTTTAGTGTAAATATATTAACATAGCTGTTATATATATTGCAGTGCGGAGCCCATCTTGGGCATGTCTTTGATGATGGTCCTCGTCCTACGGGGCAGCGTTATTGCATCAATTCAGCTTCACTGAATTTTAAAGGAAAAGGTTTGTTTTCTCATATTTTTTGCTTTTGCATCTCCTTCGTAAAGTTGAAAAATGGCATACTTAAAATTGGAGAAAGATATATTGGCAAAAATATCAAAATTCTTTTTGTAGATTGTAAGATGTTACAGATTATATAAGTTGAACAGAGGTCTAGGGTCATTCATTATATAATTTATCATAGATAAAAAAATTACAAAATCATGTAATAAGATAAAAGGGAGCAAAATTGATTTAGCTATACAAGTTATGATTTTTTTTAGTAAAGTTATAACCGACTTTAGTATATTTTTGTGATACATCTAGTTGAGAATTTGCTTTTGAGAGTAGTCTCTAACATCCTTCCCAAGCATGTGAAAATGCAAATTATGTTTTGTATTAACATTCTCTGAATGGTGACCATAATTGTTCATTGTACCCAATCCAAGTGTTTTAAAAACAATTCATTTAAGCAAGGGAATTTATTTAAGCAGATTATAACCAATGCTTCCAACTTGCAACATTTCAAGTGTATATATTGATAATAGAATGCTGAAAATTCTTTGTGGGGGGGGGGGGCTATTACAGAAGAAACAATCTGGCTATCCATAAGATTCTGTGATCAAAACAGTCACAAGAATCCAATATATCGAGTATTCCTTTAACAAAGCCCTGTATGCTGGGTCAAAATATTACTTTTTCAAAATATTTTTTGAATTCCCATATTCTTTTTACTTGGTACCAGCCTTTTTGTCTAAGGAATGTTTATCGGTTTAATCAAACTACAATTTTCGATAGTTTATGTCTAGATTAATATTTCTCGGAGTCTCCCTTCAAAGTTTATAAAATTCATTTCTCAATACATATTTCATATTTCAGATAAGAAAGATGAACTTTGAAAAGGCTCATTTTGAAAGGTATCTGCCAGGAAAGCAGCTTAGTTTGGATAGAAATCCTTTTAGAAGATCTCATCATAATTTCATTATCAATGTATTTATCCTTTTTTTTATTTTCTTATAAAATATTTTCAATGAGATATTTTCTAAAATGACTTTTGTTTTACTACAAGACTCGTGAGATTTTGGCCGTACTGCCATTGTTCTCTTTGCCAGTAATAAATTTTGCTAGTTTGCAAGAGGTTTATAAAACTTTCAGTAAAAACTTTATTCATGAAAACATGGGTAGTGGTAATTGTTGGAGATTTGTGCTACCGACATTTCATTATATTATTATAATTGTGATTATATCAGCTAAAATCTTTTTTATCGGATTGTTTATCGTCTGTTCTTGGTGTACTTTCCACATGCACACCTTTGCTTCCATTACTGCTGCCAGAACTCATGTGTAATTCTAAATGGCCATCGTCAGGTTTCTGTTCATCTTCAGACAACAACCCTTTCGTTTCATCTAAGCTTCCATTCGAGTTATAGCGACTTAGCACTGAAACAAAAGAGTGTAACAAATTTGTAAGTAAAAGGACTTGAAATTTAAGGTTAATGCTAAGGTTTGAAAGTAAACGATTTTAGGAACATGCAAGCAAAATTCTACGAGAAGAAAGGGGCTAATTTACAATGCCTTTTGGTAAAAGAGCCCTGTCTCACTACAAAAGCATCAAGCATCCGAAAACCGGAATGTTTTGTTTGTATGCTACTGTCGGTCTTCATCAAAGATTCATTTGTTAAAAAGCGACGAACAGTAACCAAACGGTTTATACCCTAATGCAGAGCATATGAGCATTCTTATAGTGTTTCAAAGTACGTTAATTTCATTAAAGAGCTCTAAAACCAGATCATTTCTATGGATTTGCTTTTGTGTTTAAATTGGACAGTACATGGTGTAATCTCATGCTTTCTACTGGACTTGTTACAAGTCTCTCTCTCTCTATTTAGTAATCTTTCTACCTCACTCTGTAAAAATGTAGATAAAGTTAAGCTCTTCAAGTAAAGGATTTTATCACCAACCTAGTTCACTTTGCTTCCGGGCTAGGCCTCTTCCAGTAACAATCACTGCTACATAAATCCCAACTGCAGCAAAACACAGGATGCAGCTGATACCAAGAAAACCAGATGGGCCTATCACATCGAACAGTTTTCCTATTATCAAAGGAATGGTCATTTCGCCTGATCCGGAACATACCACAAATATGCATGTTATGGTACCTGGAACAGAAAACGTGATCGATTAACAGTTTTCTTATTCGTATCATTGGTATGGTTAAAACAATTGGTCTGGGTACAACCGTTTTGCCTCGTGAAAAACAGCCAAAGTTCCTTTTTATCTCTTGGAGACAGTTTATATATCTGCTAATCGTTTTCCTAAACGTTGTCGTAAATAGCGGGTTTTTAAGCTGCTAGCATGTTAGCTTATCTAAAGCTTTCTACGAAAGTTCAGGATACTGTTGGTGGATCAATTAGGTAATTTATTGTCTTTCCCCTTCAAAAAAGTTGTCCAGCGATGCACTTTAAAAGTCGCTGTTACAGTTAGAAGAGTTCGTTGTACAAGTTAAAGGAAAATAATTCAAACCTGTCAACCGGAAATATCCTTCTGCCATTGAGACACTAGTAGGGAAAATGTTGCTTAGGCAAAGCCCAAAAGTAGCTGTGCCAACCCACAGCGATATAATTTGATGCCGTAGCACATACATCACTATTGTTGACGCAAGACATCCGACCTGTAGTAAGACAAGATCTGGTATAAACAATGAGCCTGGTATGATCATAGTCAAAACCTCATACTACGGATCTTTCCTTTTAGAGGCGTCCGTTTTTGGGAGGCATTTGCAAATGAAGATACCCTGGTAGTGATCATGTTCGGGTGATCAATTATGTTTAGGTGATCGATCATGTTCGGGTGATCGATCATGTTCGGGTGATCAGCCATGATCAGGTAATCAATCATGATCAGATTATCAGTCATGGTCTGGTGATAATTTTCATGTTGATAATCAATCTTTCCAGTTAACGATCTCTTTATCTCAAAACACTAAAATTCAACTGACATCTAGTATTTGCAGTTAATGATTGCGACCATTAATCAGAATTTGCTTGTTATCTCTGACTAGGCAAGAAAGCTTCACATCAGCATTTTGAAAGATATCATTGAAAACTGAGTCGACAGAAACCCGTTTTGTCAATTTTGCAACTCTTCATTGAACCTGTTTATAAGACTGAAGCAAATGAATATGTTTAAAAGCTACGTATAAAAGAAATGAACTTACTATGTCAACGAAAAGCATTATCTTTGGTGAGACATAAATTGATATGAATATAGCGAATAGCCTCCCCAGTGCCACAGCCCCCTGAAAGTAGAAAAAACCAAAGTTACGTTCAGAGAATCGGTAGAAACCATTATCAGCTGATTGCTGATTCATACATTAAAGAAAATTTCGAGAATTGTATTATTTAGAGTGAGGGAATATTAGCGTTCACCACTCCGCGTATACATGTAGCAATCAAAACCAACGTAAATTTTGTTCAAGACTTGTCACTTGTGTTGTTTACAATCTTTATCCTGCCCCTCTGCATAAAATTGGAACGTGAAAGGTCGAGTTAAAGTTATGATAGAAAGCAGGCATGATGACAAATGTTGTTGTGGTCGATCACTGATTGATTGAAAAAATAATTATGGTTATTGCTCATCAGGATTTCTGGTACAAGGTTTCTAGTGCTTTTTTGTGCCAAAATAAAAACTGAATCATCGAATTTCGTTTCTTCGCCACCAAGCAGCTTATTATTTGCAACTTCACATGTGCGATCGACACGTCTCCTCAGCTTCCTTTAGCAATTTATTTAGCATTAAGGCTGATTTCCACTCAGTGGTTTTTGTCGCGCAAGACTTTTTGCGATCGCTTACATGGATGCACGTGCGTGCAACGATGTTTTTATGCGCTCAATTGAAGCGCGCAATTGCACAAAAAGAATAAGTCTATCCTACTTTTTGCGATCGATTGCCTGACACAATTATCACTAGCCAATCAAATTCCTTAAAAATCGCACCATGACGAGCCAGTCCAACACAAAAGCAACAAAAAGTTTTCAAATGACCGTCAACATGGCGTCGCAGAGAATCCTGCTGGGTGTCTTAGCGCAGAAAATATCGCGAAAGAAACCTTATTCACATCGAGTTTGATACTTAGTGTTTGTGGAACGAAGTTGTCAGAAACGAACCCTGTTTGTGGAACACTGGCGCTGGTTCAAGGTCATAAAAAGAGCAAGGCAAAAAATGATATGTTGCCACATGCCCTAACAAGTTGGTTTGATGGCATAGGGCCGCAGATAACTATACCTTCCCCTCACATGTTAGTTTGCTTTTATGCATATAGGTATGCTCACCATTTAAGTGAAAAGGTTTTAACTTTATCATCTTGTTTACAGCTATTTCACAATGAAAATATAATTCGCATTAATTTGATTCCATCTCAAACGCAGACGTAACAGAAGCAAGAGCTTGAGTCTCCTTAAAATCACGGGCTTGCTGTTGATTTCTGCCATCTTTATTTGTGGTAAATCAAGCGCGCGAATTGAGTTACGAATGGAAATTGAAACTAGCAAGCGTACGCAATAGGTCGATTGCACTAAGTCGCGCGCGCAACAAAAAGCTCTGAAATCAGCATTTATGCTAGAGTAATACCCAAGAGTGAACGCTTACCCAGAACAATGAATTAAGGTAGGCTGCGTCATCAGGGGTCACATTGTTGCCGCTTTTGATTGCATACGTGTATATGTATGCGCCGAAGGAGCCTTGTAGACCGTCTGAAATGAAGACCATCATTGCTATCCACACTGTGATGCAGATGACCGGTCCTTTGATCTCAGGGTCGATTTCGCTTCTAACAGAACTCATTGATTCATCCCCATATGACACTGTATCTGCAAGGACAATCGTCACAAGGGTCAAGAGCTGCAGGATTCACTCAAATTTTCCGATGACATGGAAAGGTGATTCTTGCTGACTTAGGTCTAAGTTTAATTGCTGGGTTTAGGGTGAATTTATTCGAATCGGTGACTTTATTTCCTTCTGGCCTACAAATATTTACGAGAATTGTCTTAGCCTCTTCTTGCTGAAAACTGCTTTAATATCTTGGGTGTGTTGATAATTAATACTTTTGGTCTGGTCGACAAATTTTTTTCGGTCTAGCTATTGCATTCATGTTCCGATAAAGCTGAGTCTTACATTTCCAGATGTAAAAGAACATATGGCAAAGGTTATTTCACTGCACATGAAGTTTTGTATAATGCTTCTCTGGTTGAGTACCTGTGTTATAGCTCTACTATGAAGATTTGGCGATTTATGGTTTAGCAATAGCAAGGAGATTGGCAGTTCACATCAGCCGTCCAGCAGACTCGTACAAGAAGGAAATGTTTACCTTTCTGACTACCGTCATCAGATGCGACAGAATTAGACATCTCCCATTCCAGTCGCCTTTGGCGTTCCCGTTTCTCCGAAAAGTAGAAATATAGTAGACTGATTGCGACAATAATCTGTAAAGCAGAAAATTATGATCTTAAAAGCAAGCGTTGATCAGCTGACACGAAAAATAAAACACGGGTTTAGCATGATATTGTGGTTGGGCGAGGACATGGAATAATTGTCCTGTCATTCTTAATATAAATTGGTCTGGGAAGATCAAGCCTTAGTAGATTAAGAAGAAAGTCATCTACTGCATCCCCCTTCTGTATCTTCCTCCTCCCACAAGATCTATGCCCCTGTAAATCCTTCAATTTTCAGAATATTTGTTGTCTTTTATTGCTTCATATTTTCCACAGTCGTTAACAATATAGACGTTGCTGGTATCGAGTAAAAGTCTAAATTTTTACAAGATTCTTAAAATGCCTTAGATTTCCAATGTTGGAAGAATCCTAGAAATCATTAGGAGAAAAGACACAACTGGTTGAGCAAGCCTGTACTGTGGTACCGTTTTTCCGTTTTTCAACTTACATGCAAGGCTGCAATTATCCAGTATGCATAATGCACATTGGAAGAGGTGATTCGAATGATGTCGTGTTGATTCGCATTTTCAGCGGCCAAATGAAGCCCATTCTCGGTGTTTCTGCTGAACCAGTGGGCCTTTCCCATGCCATTGTGCCTTCTTCGTCTTGCGAAAGCAAACTCATTTATAGCGTCAACATCTCCTTTATTGCACTCGTCACTTAGAAAATTTCCTGCAACCAGTGGACTTAGAAACGCACCAGCACCGTAGAAAAAGAACAGCGTCTGTGTACAAAGAAACAAGGAAATATTTGGAAATTTCTTTAAGAGTTACCAGTACCGCTTTGCTAACGCAATTTTTGTACATTTGTTATCCTATTACAGTAATGCTTTTAAAACGAATTCTTCTTCAGCAAAATTTCTCAAAGCCAGATTGTTGTTAAGTTTACAAAAATCGATGAGTTTGTCAATGAGATCTTTCAAGTATCCTAAGTCAATGAGATTATGTTCTACTTCTGCGTGTCGATACACATTTTCAGCGTACCACAGCAGTACCTCACGCATAAAACCTGCTGTTCTGTATGATCCGGAACAAGTCATTCGCATTACTAAAGAGTCGTTCTATGCTATTTTACGCTCAAAATTCAGAACAAGATTAACAGTTTTCAAAGTGCTATCTGATCAGTGCAAGAATTCTCACCTGAAGATATGGAGGAACCTACAAAGAAAAAAGGAAACAGATAAAAAATTTTGCAAATTTCAAAAAAGCATATAATGATTTCTTCTTGTAAATTTGCATATTATTAAGTCTGTAAACAAAAAAGTATAGACTTTTGAAAACAGAGGCAATTTTTTCTGCTCAAGGTTAGCGCTAAGCTGGCTCTCTCCTCAAAACAACTTGCTACTGAATGAATGAGATACTTCTGTGTTCCTGAAGGCAAATGTGTGATTAAAGAAGGTCTTACCTCCTGACCATGCATAATAATCATCCTAAGATTGGTTGCCGTGTCTTGGAAACCACCAAAAAGGCCGTGAAGACAAGTTAACGTTAGAAGAGAACCAAGTCGACGGGCGTAGGGGAGGACTGCTAAGGCTGCCGCGTGGATAGTGATGACAACGGCCAGGTACATGCTGTAATTTATGTTATACCTGCAATGAATAGGTTTTGGGTGAGTAAATATTCAATAATAATTTTCAAGGTTTTAAGTAATTTTACGGTATGTATTTTAAAAAACACTAATCACTGCTCTTAGCTAGCCCCCTTCCATTTAAAGCTTCTTAACAACCTCAATCCACAATATGCTTCACGGCCCCTGTGACTTCTTTTTGTTTTAACAGTTATCTCATAGCTTCCATTACGTTTTTATTCCAGGTGTCAGGACAATTGGGTTTCCAGGATTCTCCCCCAGAAAGGTTGCATTTTATACCTATCGTACGGTCTTGTTACTGAATTATTTTATATCTTTCTTTAATAATGTGCAAATATTTTAGCTCCTTTAACTTACCAATTTAATGTCTTTTTAATTCTTAAAAGATAAAACATTTTTGGACTAAAGTCTGCTTGCCTAAAGCAATTTTTCACATACCAAAGCCTCAAAGGGTCAAAGGATCTGGGAACAGAGAAGGGAACCTGCCAATGCCTTTCCATTCTACTTGGCGACCCCCTCTCCTGTGTGTACTTCATTTGAATGTCTAATGACCTGATACCGAGTCTGCTTGTGAGCTCGATAGAAATATATCAATTAGCAAAATAATAGCATTTAGAATTTGAGATGCAAAGACAAGGTAATAACGGACAGAAGAAAAGAATAGAAGGGAAGGGTTGCTGGGCCTACGGGTCTTGAAGACCACAGGACCTCATTGAAGATATAATGTTAGTAGCATTTCAGTGTCTATGTATTTGTACTTGTTTAAGGAACAAAGTAGAAATCCAGTCTGTAGAGGTACAAATTTGCAAAAGTCATCGATTTCGAATACCTTTAAAGTTTGAAAACTGAACTTTTGCTTCAATTACAATTTAGTAGATAGAAAAATAAGCCGTACCGGTCAATGATGAACCCGCTGCAAATGGCTCCGAACAGGGCAGCGCAAGACTGCGAAAAGAACACCCAACTCATTGAACCAACATCGCTTCCAATAAGGCAGCCTAACTCTAGAATTGTCGGACCCATAATAGCCATAGATGCACCAAAACATAAAAATCCACAACAAAGGATAAAACTGTTCCGTATTTTATACGTGCAACAGCCTTCTCTCTCTTCGAAATCGGATACATTAGAAACGGATTTAACAGGAGAACTTTGCTTTGTCGTCTCCGGGTTTATTTGTCTCTGATCAATTTGCAAAGTTGCAGTACCGGCCTGCGAAATTTCATTATCAGCTTTCTGATGTTGTTCGTTAATCACATTAACTTCCTTATTTTTGTCCAATTGAGCAACGTGCTCTCTTCTGTGCTCTTGTAATTTGCTTTGTTTTCTTTGCCTTTCGACTTTCTCAATCGTTGATGATCTAATTGGAACTTTGGGAGTATTTGCAGCTGAATGTGGTCTGGATTTACAAGGCGAAGGTTTCTCCATTGTTCTATGACTTGAAAATGAATCAATCCTGCAGGAAGCAATGAATCTTTCTTTTTGTATTAACCTCTATATCGTCCTTTGTTTCCAACCCAACAATTTATTTTCTGCTGAAGTCTTTCTGACGGGAAATTTTACTTTGATTACCCGTGCTTCTACCTGATGCCGGTACTTTAGGCCGCAGTTATTGGACCTCTCTGCAACGGTTTGGTAACAGAATTTTGGTTAAGGTTGAGATTAATGCTGCTTCATAAGAACCTTGGGTCTTTCCCAGTCTCTTCATAGCCGCAACGTTCTGCAATTAATAGCAAAGTCGCATTCCATGATAAATATGAACATCTAATTAACGAAATCTTCTCTGCTTCGAATGAGACATCATCAGGATGATATCGCTTATAAAAGTGTCCCTAAACTATTTATACCAATACCATTCGTTTTTCTTTCTTTATTTTGAATATCTCTTCAATTTTTCTTTATTTTCCGAGTATACTTGTTAAAGTTTTCTTAAGTGTTATTCCGTAGACTGCAACTTGCTGGGCATTAGCAGGTCATGCAATGCAACATTTTGAACTTGCTCATTCAAATTCAATCAAGCGTGAGCTCGTCTCTCGTAGTGAATACGAGGTTTTTTTTCAATTCACCATTCAGAAGCATTGCGGTATTGCCAATCAAAGGCACTTGTGTACAGTCCTTGTTATAGGTTGATATCGTTTCCGCTTTAAGTTTCTGTTTAGGAAAATTATCTCGCAAAGGCTATTAATGATGAATAAAAACTGTATGATTAAGAAAATGCTATCAAAACGACAGATTTATTAATCAGTCAATATAGAAAAGCCAAATGCTGAACAAATTTTCGTCACAGTTGGTTAAAAATAACTATGATTTAAGATTATCATTCAGACACCAGGATGATACATATGATCTGAAGTACAAACTTATCAAAATGTACGAACTTCTGTCTAGAAAACCTGCTATATGTCAATAAAAATCAGTAAATGTGCTGTATGTAAGAATTTTCATTGATTCTTTCGGTTTTAACAACAATGTATAAACAAACTGCGTGCTATAAAGTTCAGCAAGTAGAAATGACTTTGAGTTGCTCGGTCTAACCAATCAGCAGATGTTTCTGTGTTGTGGTTGAAGATTCCTTGCACGGTAATTTAAATGGCATTAATATTTAAACAAGATCAGAAGAGCTGAAAATAGTTCAACTTTTTAAGCATTCTAATGGCGAGCACATAAAAATGAATTCTCGTTTTTTCAAGATATTTGATGATAAAGATAGAAATTATTTATAATTTTATGGTGTTAAGACGTCTTCCTGAAGCAGGCAAATGTCATTACAGCAATCTAGGGTGTACAAACTGCTTGTAATTAGTTGAGCTCATGGTCAGATGGTTCTTAACAGATGGTGGATTACACAAAAGTCAGTATCTTTGGGAAAGTTTGTCAGAGGAACCAGGCTTTATTTTGGACGCCATTGCAACGTTGCAAGGACGAGTACCAAAGGCAAAATTGAGCTTGCTCTACCGAAATGATGTTGAAGTGATTTTCAAAAAGTGGTTTATCAGCAGAAAATCTGTTTATCAGGTGAGAATATTTTGAAATCGTTATCAGCACAGCACAGGGAATAATTTAGAATTAACATAACAATTACTTTGGGTTTAACTGTAATGCTTTCGTTTACTTACATAACATCCTCTGTACACCGCCTATTTGTTACATAAACAATCTTATTCTGTAGGGTGGATGTTATTGTCAGAAACTTGAATAGTTTGACCTGATTTCTCGAAGCCACTTCATAAAGATTCAACCATCAAGCATTCGAGGCTTTCAATACTTAATGCACCTGGTTTTCGATTATCATTTAATTGCGTATGACTTTAAAAAATGATCGATTTGCGTCAGAAAATTATTTATGACCTGAAATTTAAAGAAGAGCATTCGGAACAGATTTTCCAAACTTTCATAGCTCAATTGGCGGTTAACAGCTTTTTCTACTTTGTTTGAATCTACAAGAAAAAATACATGTTTGAAGGTTGGTCATGAATGAGCTTATTACGAGATATAATGGGATCATGGAAATGTGTACTCTAGGGCTTTTACCTGCTTTACGTATTACGAGTTATGTATTGTCTTTTATGTGAAAAAACTGTCGTGAACTAATACGAATACTAGCAATTATCTTCATTGAATTAATATTTTTAATTATTTGGCTTAAATGTGCAAAATAAATGCTCAAATTCTTAATCAAATTGCTATAGAAGTTTGCAGATCATTATTCATCAATTTGATGATTCGAATCATGATATATCTTTTTACATCATCGTTCTCTGTTGCAAACAACTTCTGAAAAGTAAGTCTCAATCAATGTTCCAATTACTAATGTGTTTTGAAAATACCTGCGTGTAAGGCTGAAGATTTTATATAGAATTTGCCAGTCGAATTTACTCGTCCAATTTGCTTGTTTAAATACTTTAAGTTCAAATATTTAAATTTTCCTTTAGCTTGTCAGTATATAAATCACTAGTCGAAAGAAACTTGAATTTTATAATATATAGATTGTAAATATACTTGCATTATATAAGTCAACTAAAAGGCACATTGAAGTAATCACATGATACTTAGCTAGTCCATTTTTAAACTGCTAATAAACAGAATAAAAAACAGAGCGTTTATAGGGCTAACAGAGTGACTTGAACTGTTGATTTGAAGTAACTTTATTTCATTTTATTCAGTAATTTTAATGTCATTATCTGAATCATGTTCTCTTATAAATTGATATATATTGATATCCATACGATATTTGATAATAATGTGATCGCTACACATCGTTGACAACATGGTAAAGATATACAGCTAGGCTCTGGTACATAGGGCAGGATGGTTCTAAGGACTGTTGGTTGGGCCTTATTCAATTGATGCTCTGTTTAATTCTGCACATAACACTACAACATACTGAGGATGCCTATTCCAATTTCAAAGCAGTCACTTCGTTTGTGCACAGCTCTCTCTCTGTACTTAAGATGTAGACTATTTGTAAATTTTTAAGAAAGGTCAAATTTATAAATTTTCATTACTACATTACTAAAAATTGCGTAAGAAGAGATATATCTTAAGTTCGTTGGTTTTAGTCTTAGAGTAACCTGTTTGAAACTGCTTTTACTCTGTGTGGCTCTTTTGCAAAGTTTTGTTCAGCTAGACCTTGATGCAATGATAAATCAAATCAAGTGAAGCAAAAACAATTATCAATGCAGTTAGCAATAGCACTCATTGTCATTAAGTTTAGTGTATAGTCACTATTAGGTTTTGTACTGCATTGTATTTGACATATTTAGCCTGCAGTGAATATTAGCCTGCAGTGACATGTATAGCCTGCTAGATGGCGGAACTTTGTCCAGTAACCTCTGTACACGGCTGAAGAGATTTTTGTGTTCCCATATTCATTACTTGTGTCAATGTCTTTGAATGTCTTTAGTTTTATAGATTGCAAAATCTCTTCTTTAGTCTCTTTTTTAGTCCTTTTCGATGTTCAATAACTTAAATTCTTGCTATGTATTTTTTTAGAATTAGAATCAAGTGGTCTGATTATCTAGTTGGATGTTATGTTTACTGTTGTGTTCATTCAGATTTCTTGAATTTCTAGCCAAAGCAAAATTGAAGACCTGAGTGAATATCTCATCTCATCTAGAAATGGAGGAAAAGGGGAAGAAAAAGCGTTCTGCATCCACCAGGAAGCGTGAGCGAAAAGAAAAAATACGGCGCCAAAAGACGGTCTGGCAGCGATTGGTTGACAGTGAGAAACATACTGCATTGATCTTATGCTACTGTGGCATTTTCATGCTCTACGGAATGACAGATGAGCTAATAGGCCCAACGTTGATAGAACTCAGCTGCCTCGTTATGAAGCCATTGAAGACAATGAGCTGGCTCTTTTTCTCTCACGACCTTGGACTTTTATTTGGTACTTTAATTGGTGGATTCCTTGCTGCAAGGTATCAATGAATCTCAAATAGCGTAATAAATATTCTAGCATCTAAAAGTCTGTAAGACTTCTCCTTTGTTCTGAATTTTGCATCTGTCACAGATGCGGCTCATGCCTTGCAACAGAATAAGCACCAATATCAACGAAAACCAACCAACATGCAAAGTAAATTTTGACATGCAATCTCATGGTTCTTGTAAGAAAAGGCAGTCAACATTTAGAACTACATTTCGTTACTTGTTGCTTGCATTTGATAAAGAGACTTGCACGATTTAGTGATTTATTTGAACAATAACGCATTTTGTGACGTAAGCATTTCAATCTGAAACCATCTTTGAATGCTACAAAATCTTAACAGGAAAGAAAGCAGATCACTGGATTTGCGCTAGAGCACAATAGATGTTTTCCTTCTTAGCTTTTGCACAGAGGTGTACAAAGATTGTTCAAAGCTCAAAATACAATACCACAATCAAACCTTTAGAACTTGATTTTTGGTTTACATTGAGCAGATGTTTTTCTCAAGTGATATCTCTGGTCTTGTTTGTCTTTATACTAAGTTATAGCATTGCTAGCTATAACTTAGTATACCCATTGTAATCAACGGATTCCCTGCAGATAAATTTCCCCACCAGCGCTTTAGCAATGTTAAAATCAGCTGGTCGACATACAATTCATATACTCCGCATGAAAGAGCGTCTAGACCTCCTATTTTACTTATTAAACTGCTTTTATGTCTTTTCCAATTTAGCGGATGAATCTTTAAAAGAATTTCCAAGCTTTCTTTAGAAACTTTATTTTACTTGCTAGGCTCTTTTCAAGGTGAAGGAAACTCAGCTTATAATTCTTCCAACGTAAAACCATTTCAAACAAAAAGTATTTTGTAAGAAGAATAACCATATTTTCAGATCTGCTGTTTTCTGAGTTGGTTTACAGTGGAGCTAATGAAGCCAATATTTAGCTTAACATATTGTCCGTCTTTGGCATGGCATTCAAAATAAAATCAAAGTTCTTCAAAATACCAAATAGAAGATTGGAAATATCACATTGCAACAGTGTCTAGTTAAAAATAACTTCTTCGCAAGCATACTCAGTAGGACAGTATTGAAGATAATTTTATCGTCAAATTAAAATTAATAAATTTTATTTTGATTTTATCTTGTAAAATAAAGGTAAAAATCTTCTTACTACTGTCCAATGTCTTGCTTCTCTTGCAGGGTTGACACAAATCTCATCATATCGATATGTCTTGTCAGCAATGCAATGTGCATCACCTTCATACCTACAATGCACGATTTTGCTACAATGGTTATACTTGTCTTGGGATATGGTCTCTCACTTGGTATACCAGATTGTTTAACAAATGTCATGCTTGTCAAGATTTTTGGTCGTGAGGTATAGTTTCTGTAGCTATGCATAATGCTTGTTAACCTTCATTAGATCCTTCTCTCTTTCAAACACCGCAAATATCTAGTCTGGTCTTTTAATTAGTCCTCTGACCTCAAACTAGCTTGTTTGCAGTTAATGCTTTGAAGAGCAAGTTTTATACTAAGCTGTCCAGGCTAAATTATTGGCATTCACAGCTAGAGGACCCAATGGAATATCAGAAAACATCATTTTTTCAATACTGAAAAGTATTTTTCCAACCATAGGTTGCACCATTTCTTCAAGGGGTTCATTTCTTTTATGGCTTTGGAGCTTTCGTAAGCCCACTGGTGGCTAGGCCATTCCTCAGGCCTGGCTGCACGTTCAACTTGAACACGACTCATTACGTCATCGACCAGAATTCAACTATGAACACGTCGTTCGATAACTCTAGTGGGTTTTGGTATTACAATACAGTCGAAGAGATTGCTGACATGACAAGTGATATCTGCTATGCCTATTGGGTGATTTCTGTCAGTCACGTGAGTATTCATACGTCAGCCTTGCTCCATTAGTAGTCAGTTCCTTGATAAGAGAAACTTCAGCTATATTTCACGAAAACCCATCTTCAAATTCATAATCGTATAACTAGCATTTAGATAGCTCTGTCATATCATAGAAAATTGTAGCGCTTCATAGCAAGTCTCCTATGAAAGAATCCCTTTGAATCAAATAACATGCTTGGTGCACAAATTATATGTTTTGGAATGAATGTATGAAATGTATGAGATTTTTATTTCGTTACAGATACCAGTCATTTTTGGGATTTCTTGGTTGTATTTTCGAAAAAGGCTGGAAAAGAAGCAAGGAATGTATACTGGATCCATCGATAACCTGGGAGAATGCTTCGACAATGTCACTGCGGAGGAGCCTGTCCGTAAGTGTTAGTCTACCTTTACTTAACTAAAGATAGATGTGAAAGAGTGTTCTGATAATCAAAAAATAAATGTTTAGTTTAAGTAATACACGACAAGAAGGAGCATTTTTTAGACATAAGGCCTCTAAGGAGGAGTCCTTTCACTGAAATCTGGAAACAGAAACAGCATAAACACTTTTTTGATCTTAGTTTCATATGTTTGAAAATCTTAAAGGGCAAGGTAAATCTGATCATTTGGAAGATGAAATCTTCCATTGACTGACTTATGTAGCGTCAGTGTATTCAAGGCGCATGCGCAGTAGTCAGCTCATGTCATTTCTAATCAATAAAGAATTATAAAATAACGAACGAGGCGGAATAGCGGTGTTATGCCTGTATAATTTTATCATGGTTAATTATGCAAATCTGTATTTTTCTAGGCAATAGATACTACATAACCTGTTTAGAGACGGCCACATATCTTGAATAATTATTTTATATCACTTAAAACTCCGGATCATCTCATCGTAAAAGTATTTCTTGCTCCTGCATAAAGTTTCCAGAATCTTGACATTTTTTCACTATCAGATTTATTAGATTATCTAGTTTTTGTTGTAGCCTCTTCATTGGACATGATTTTGTACGACCCTGAAGCAACAGTGCTGGAGAAAATACGCAAAAACGAGAAGAGGAGGCTTATGGCTGTGACGTCACTGTGTTCAGTGTTAATCTACCTCTATGAGGGAATGATGGTAAGAGCAGTCTTAGGGACAGGAGAAACTGAAGTGCACGTCCTTCAATTCGAAATGAACTTGTGCTGTATTTTGTAACTTTTGTTTTCTTTCTTTTTCCTAAAATAGAAAGGGTGATTTCCTAACGACTAGTTTCTCAACGCACTTGTACAATTTATCTGTTTCTTAATTAAACAGAGTAATGTGTGAAAATTCCAACCTTGGGCCAAAAATGATCTAGTAGATGTATCTACCAAAATAGCAACATGAAAGAAAAAACTTGGATTATCATTTCTTATTTGTATTTTTCTACAGGCAAATATCGAGAAAGGAAATGTTTTGCATTTACTTACTTGCTCATTTTTGGCATTTTAGGCTCGACAAGGCTTCCTTCGATGCACTTTTTGCACATTCTGTGATGCTACAAGGCATCCAGATATATGCACACAATTATTTTGAGGCACAGACTTGACGGCTAGATTGCATTCTTTGCATAGATTGTTAGTCATGACTTTCTATCATTTGTAAAGGGGCTTGTTATTTCTTAATTATTGTTATGCCTTTCTCTCACAGAAGGTCTTTGCCATGACCTTCTGACATTCGCAAAGTGCTTTTAAGAGTATTCAATCTTCTATTTGGTGCAGTCCACTGTGCGCATGTTTTCTTTCAGGCCATGTTTGGAGGCTACGCATACACGTATGCTGTCAAAGGAGACGTAGCTATGTCATCAGATCAGGCTGCCTATCTGACGTCATTCTATTGGGTACGTACTCTTTACATCTTTACCAAACATTTTTTCAAACTCTCTCACTACCTTGTTGTAAAGGCCTAAAAAATATACATTTCTGCATTAGCTATTTCCAGCAGAGAGCCCTTGGCGGAAGGAGAGTAGAACACCAAGCCATTGTTTGTTATTTTTTTTATCATGATCCACCTTTAAATTATTTTGAAGGTGGTTGGTTTCCTAAACATAGAATACGAGTTCTAGGCCACTAAGTTAGCTAACATCTAATCAATAGAAAACTGTAATTACAATTAATAGTAATGTACAGTTTTGATTTCATCAGTTCTCTGTTAATGCTCACGGAGATAAGGGCTGAAAAGCCTGTCGTTTAGTTTTGACCTTTGTGAATTTTTGACCTTATTGACCTTATTGACCTTACACAAACCTTTGTTTTGTACCATTTTTTATAGTTGTTTATTTTTCAGAGTTTTTAGTTTTCATAGTCTCTTTTCTTTTCAGGGTTTCTTCTCCATCGGGCGTTTCATTTGCATACCCATAGCTTTCTTTCTGGCATCAAAGACGATGCTATCTGCAAATGTTGTAAGTTGAATTTGTGAAAAAATTGTAAGTCAATTTTATTTAGGAATTCAAAAACTGTCTCTTTTCCCAATATGACACTCGATATCCCACGATATCACAAGATGTTGGTATTTTTAATCAGGGAGCTGATTCGTTTAAAAATTTAGGACATATATGCTTGAAGAATTATAATATTTGCACATATGATAAAATCTCACACAAAATTCTTGTTTTACTTCATTAAACTTTGGCCATTTCATACGGGATCCAATGTTGTTTAATACATATCAAGGTGTTGAGTAAAATAAAATGATTCCTGCAAATTAGTTACGATATTTAACTCTACAGACAACATTGTTTTAATGGAAGAGGGGGGGGGGGGGTTGGTGCCAGTCGTTTCTAACTGAAGCTCAGTTTTTAAGCAAAGGACTTCCGAAGGGCTACTGATGTGGGTTGCAGCTTAGGTGATGAGCCATGCCTTTCATCTGCAGAGAAAAACTCATTTAAGGTCTCATGAATATATTAGAATACGACATTTTGAATTTCAATCAACTTCTTGCAGATTGGATGTTTCTTGTCCGCATTTATATTGGTTGCTGGACACTCAAATTTTTATGCGGTATGGATAGGGTCTTGTGGCTTGGGATTCTTCTTAAGTAGTGCTGGACCGACAATTATTTCCATGGCCAAAGAGTATGTCGACCTATCGAGTAAGTTCTGCTCTTTGCAATCACTTCATTTCATCTTTCACCTTTTTGGATTTTGCTCGTTTTTATCAGTTTTCGAAAATGACAGTTTTTCAGGAAGGAAGCTTAAAATTTAGAGGTATTCAAGCCTTTTCTAATTATGTATAACTAAATATTGTACATGTTTGCAGTTCACATTCACTAACAGCGTAAGGAAAAAGAGTTTCATTCCTTAACCTTCAAATTATTTTGCCTATTTTTCGAAACGTTTTTTATGTGGCATTTTTTTACAGCTCAAAGCACAAGCACACTTGTTGTGATGGCAGCTCTCGGCGAACTTACGATGCCGGTCATAGTTGGCCAGGTAAATACCAATGTTACTATACCTATGCGTATGAATACTTAAACAAAAACTCCTTTGCAGCTAGTCAGAATCTTGAAATACCTAATTGCATAGAAATGTTATTCCACTGATCTACCTTTTTATCATTTTCTGAAAAACCTTAGAGAAGTCTGTAATTTTTTCTTTCTGAAACTAAAAGTCTTAATCTCTACAAAAAATATTTGTGCTGTATATCTGCTCTTAAAGAAAAAGTTTTATTTCAAAAGCAAGTCCGTTAAAAACATAAGAAAATGTTCAATGTATGTAGTTGAAAAACGTTTCCTTGTCATAACCGCGAATAAGCTCTTCTTTTCCAATACATTTTAGTCACACATTACCTCTAATTGTTAGTTCCTCTTTTTTGTAGCTTTTTGAGAAGCTCGGTGCTGGTGTTGTCCCTGCAACTGTCTTCCTCATCTGCCTCTTCGGATTCGTAATATTTTGTTTTGTGCTGACATTAGACAATGACGTGGCATATGAGCATGGTAAGTGTGTCAAGATATTTCTGGAATAGAAGCACATGATTCATTTGCATTCAGGTGTATGCCTGTGTTAAGTTGAATTTAGATTTATTTATGCATTCTTTTTCCTTGTATCCGTCACTTCTCTTGTATCTTTATTTTCACTATCTTTTATCATTTATCACGTGCCTTCATCGCTCTTTTCCCAGCCAATAGTTTCCTGCAGATTGTGCTTAAGAGCCTCCTGACATGCAGAAACAATAAATACAGAGGCTACACGAGTATGGAAACATCGTCTGAGATGTCATCAAGTAGCGAATCCATTTCAGTTTGTGAAGAAGAAGTTCTTGTGAAGCCAGATGTTCTTACTGACCCTGTGCAGCCAGAGAAAGAAAAAATTGACAAGAAGGGCGAAGTAATTGACAAAAAATAGCATGTTTAAGACTTAATATGATAAATTGTAGATTTGAGATAATATTGCTTGCATACATGATTTGAAATTAACTCTAAGGCATACATTTTCATTGATCTTTATAATGTCGTTTAGAAGCGGAAGCATCATTAACTTGGCAATAAAGGAGAAATGCACAGTAACAATGATCACTTCAGAGGCAAGCAGCTCGCACCAACTCAAAAGTGGGGGCCCAAAGTGGGGGCTGGGGGCTGGGGGCTTGCCCCTGAAAACCTTTCGTAGCGACGCCCTTTAGAACACCAGAAAACGCTCCTTTCAAAATGCTTGCATTCTTTCGTTCTTAACTATGCACAATACGATTCAGAGAAGAATTCAATCGCTATAAAAGTACGAAAGGGAGTTTGACAATACAACATATCATTTAACAAAATAAGAGGCCAAAATTTGAACGAAAAGGGTTCCCAGTTAAGAAGAACTACTACTTCTATCGATCCATTAGAGTAAACTTTCCAAAATTACGTTAAAGGAAATTTTTTCAACGTTTTCTAACCAATAATTGCAAGGGAGATGGAGGGGGGCTAGAACCCCTGCTCGCCCAATGGCTGTGTGGCGCTTGTCACTTCAATAACATGTCCTGTAATTCAACTTTTCACTCCCCAACTAGTTGCACCCTCTCAGTATGCATTGCATAAATGCATGTGCAAGTGCTCTTCTACAGCCCATTTAATCTGCCTTTTTATCGTTTTCTGTCATTAGAGGCATTTCAATGATTAAGTGATAAATAAAATAATAAGTGCTTTTTAACATGCAATAATCCCTTCCCATTAAAAAAAATACTCTCTATTTAATTCGATTCTAATTGGTGTAGATCGTTCTAGTATAATTTTAAACTGCTCGATAACATTTTGCAAGCATTGTCGCCTAGAGTAGATAAGTAAAATTATGTTGATTAATTTAAAGCATTTAATACCATATATCATTCTATTTTATTGTACACAATCAATTGTACACACTTGTAGCTTTAAGAGCATTATTCATCAACTTATTCAGCAACCTCTAAACAGTGTTATCTTCAGTGGAGCCAACTCGCCTTCCAAACGTATTAGAGAAGGAGTTCCACAGGACTCACTACTCGACTCGTTACTTCCATATCGAAGCTTACATGCTCATAGTGAAATGTCTAGTTTTATCAGTAAATTTATCTATATTCCATGATTTTTAAAAAAATACCTAAATTCCACAACTTTTGGCTAAATTTGAACAGTTTGAACCATTCTTCAAATTTGAAAGCCAAGTACAAAAGGTCATATACATTTGTTCTTCCAATGCGACTTTCATGTGGTGTTTAGTATTAGGGTCATGCTTCAAAAGGAATCGCGTTCCTACCAATCAACAAAGTCAAGTATTTCATGCCTTTGTGAACTTCGGAATCAGGGCCAATGAAGGGTCTGTTGTGCTCAAAGGGAGTGCTCCGATCCCATTTGCCGACAAAGTTGGTCAACCATCATTTATTTGTCAACCGAAAAATCTGAACATTTTCATAAAAAGCACCCCTAGATGGTACACCCCCCTCCCCCCACGTAGCGGCCGATAGCGACAGCCCTGCTCGGTATCTAGGACGAACTGGTCAGAAACTAGTAGATAGAATTACAGAGCATGTTTCATGTTCCTTCGAACATCAGGCTAAAATCGGTTCCGAAAGAAGAACAACCACGGCGCAAAAGAAAACAATTGCAAAGGTCAACATTTGGTCAAAAATTCAGTATGGCAAAACGAATAGTGACGGAATTTTATATCATTTGGCAAACAAGGTTGACTCTTTATTAAAGTATTTTGGAATCTGTCTGTGTCAAAGCATAAAATTCCGACATGCGTAGCCAGAAAGAATAATTTTTATCTGTAGGACTCTTCAACTAGGTGAGAAGGTCAATGTCGCCGATTAGCAAAAAAGGAACCAACCAAACTCGTCGGTCTTCTTTACACGTTTCTTTTCATTTGCTTCCTCACATAATTTCTGCTTGCATTTCGTCATTACTCATTATCCAACGTTTTATTCTCAGGACTGAAGAAAATGACTTAAAATACTTTATTTTCTCTCTTCCTTGCTATCTCCACATTATATTCTGCATGAACCGAAATGGAGCTGATGCCTTTTATTGTGTTTTACATCAAGTATCCCCAGAGATATTTTTCTCGAGCAGACAACATCTTTAAGTTTTGACAAGTATAGCTTGAATTTATATTTAAATTTTTTATCACAGAGGTAGATAAATTTGCTAAATATTTGGTAATAAAGGGGTTCCCGTAGTTGGTGTATATCTTTGAAGACAATTTGCACCAGGATGAATGGAACCCATTTGATGTATCTCTAGACATTTAAAAAAGTATCTTGCATCGCTTGGAATGAGAAATGAGAAATAGCATCAAAATAAGTTTCTTCCCAGCTTTAGCAACATACTATGCAAACTATTGTCCCTAAACCAAGTTTATTGTGTACTTGAAGAAATTAAAAATAAAAAACAATTTAACAGTGATTTCTCTATCCGGGCAGCCAGATTCAGCATAAATAGGTCATAAAATCTTTAAATACGGGTCAGACTAGTGGTCAAAGTAATGAAAAATGTGACAACAGACAGCATGCGTCTTGAAAAGTTTTGATTCACTCGTTCCCAGGCCCTTGTCAGCAAAGGCGCAATTTTCATTCATAACAAACTTATTTGACCACGTTAGGCCATACACAAAGGATAGGAGACATTGGTGTGCGTTAAAGGTAAAAGATTTTCCATTTGGTTTATGGTATTGCATGAAAACGATTTATAAAGGTTATTTATACGAGTTGTACTTCGAGTTAGTTATTGTATGATAGGTTTTACTTTAATCAAACGGCAAGTTTTGCCTTGATTTTCACACTAGCAGTAGGCCAGGTCAAGAAACAACAAAGAAACATTTCGGTCCACGAATTTCAAGAGATTTATGCTATGTTCTATTTGTAAATATAGCAATTTATGGCTTAATTTTTATTCACAAGATACTTTATTGTGTATAGATATATAGTCTAAATAGTAGTATTTATTAGAAAAATTCACGATCAGTTCAATCTTAAAAAAGAACATGATCTTTCATCTTTCAGAATATTATGACCCTATCTTTTGGGCCATATCCTTAGCCTACTCGTTATTTTTTATTTTGAAATCAATCTTAAGTCAATTTTTAAAGCCATATTTGTCTAACATTAAAATCAAATCTGGAGCCAATAAATGTTGTCTTTCCAAGACAAGTTTTTGTTATTTTTAATAACTCTGTATCTTCTTGCTTGAAAGCTTTTTCAATCATCTGTTAATGAAGATGATGCCCTGTTGAAACAGTATTGAATTAATTACATTACAGTCTTTTCAAGTCAAGAACAGTGTTAAGCTGGACTTTAATCTTTTTTATCTTTTGGCATCCTAGTTCAAGATGAGCAAACGTAAAGTCAAGCAGGAGGATCTTCATGATACAGCTGACAATAGTGATAATAAGAGACAACATTTGGAATCAATTTCAGAGGTAGTGTGCAAAAGAACTTATTTTTTAAAGGAAATTTTACACATCTCATGTGTCTCAAACCTCTAGTGATGACAAACCTTTTTCTATCTAATTGAGTGCATTGTTTTTTAGTTTGTTATTTTGGACTTAATGAAAAGTCTTCATATTGAATCAATTATTTCCAATCATCCTGCATCTAATCAATATTACTTTATTAGTTTTATTTCTGCAAATATTTATAAATATTAGTATGCTGCATGAATTAGATAAATTGAAATGGACTGGAATCCTTTTCCTTTAAGGAATCAAAACATATACCACTCCTGGAAGATTGGCCTAAGCAAGATAAAATAAGGAATTATAGTTTCTTATTTTTTCTTGGCCTTAGGTGTGGGTTTACTAGAGTTATATGAACTCAACTTCCCCAGAAGGAAAAAAAGGTTGCTTTTTTCTAAAGCCATATGTAAGGTTTTCAAAACTTCTGAGGTGATGAAGAATTCAATAATTTTCCTTTTTAGGTGGAGCATTTACAGAAAACCCTAGATTCATTTAAGAGCTTCCAAAATGAGTTTGGTCGCATCCCTTTCTGGGCAGTAGAAAAAATCTCAAGAGATAGGTTAGTAAAAACCCAAATCTTTCCTTGGTGTTCATTATTGTTTTTTCATAATCATAATCAATTTCATTGTATTTCATTTTGAAATGATAATATCAAATATCTATATACAAATATATAGCTTTATGTTTATGATATAATATATATATAATATAATGTATACTAATGTCAAATATATACATATATAGATATGATTGTTTATCACCTTAAATTGATAATGTTATGTATGGTAACTTCAACCATTTTTCTCTTGATGGGTGCTATATATTGTAATTTTTTATATCCAGGTTATGCCAAAGCAAACTGACTGGAAAAGACCTCCCGACCTTAAGCAAAGTAGAAGTAAGAGCCATTACAATGAAATTAGTTTATGAACAATGCAAGATCATTGCCTCTTTTGTCAACTAGATGCTTCAATGTTATTGCATTCTGTCTCTGATAATGTCTCACTGTTGATGAAAATGGTCTTCTCGCCAATTTTGAAGATTATGTATTCATTAAGTTACTAAATGGCTATCAACTGGTAAACAAAAGAAGAGTTGTTAGATAAAAAAGAAAATGTAGAAATGGTACCTTTTAGTAAACCAGACATATTGTTACAATACATTAATGAATCTTTTTTACCCAAAGGAAAGAACACGAAGAGGTGCATATGAAAATGTTGATGTATTGCTCTCAGATCTAACAGTGTTAGTTAGAGGATACAAACATGTCCTTAACTTCAAGGTATTTTTCATATTTGTATGGATTTTTTTCAATTTTGAAATGATCTATAGCTTGTTGAGATTATTGAAATGTATTTTTACTGATATTGTTGTAATATCTATGACAAGGATTTTGTTAATCATAATTTATTCTGTTTCCTAACTGAAAAATCCAGCTCTGTGTGTTGGTGCTGCTGTAGCAAAGATAGAAATATAGAATGGAAGGTGAAATATACAATGATAATATCTGGTTGTTTCTCAGATCATTGTTCTGAGAAAATTTTATTTGCTTGACCACCTTGGCATGCACCTTTCAGTGCTATTGACCAACCTCCGATAGCAGGAAAATTATGATTTTTCTAATCTATATGTTTGGGGTGAATGTTTAGCACATATATTGTTCTTTTTGGTACAGAAGTAAATCTTGCAGCATCCATCAAAAACTGCATAAAATACAAGACTGAAGCTAAGAAAAAAGTATTTATCAAATATTTGCATTTCAAGTGGAGAAATTTGATTTTTGGGTTGTTTTAAATTTGTTTATGATTTTCTATGTTTTTCTGTTCCGCAGCTCAAGATAATAATCAATCTAATTCTTGTTTTCTAGCCATCTACTGAAGAACATCAAGACCTCACTAGTTTAGAAATTCATTTGCAAAATTTGAAAAAGGCACAAATAGGAAACGATTGTAAGTTGGTACAGTTTAGAATCAATAATCTCAAATTAGATTAATTTAATTTTTTCAATGTCATTTTTAAATTTGAGTAGTTCATTAAAATACCTTTGCTAACAAGATTACATCCACACAGGTCAACTTTACATTGACCAAGATTTTAAATGTATTTTAAATGTTCACATTTTAATATCTTCTAGTTAAATATTTCTCTAATTAGAGTCTGCTCTCTGCAGTTTCAAAAAGAACTATTTTTTGGCAGAATGTTTTCTATAAACAGTTTAGCACTTGTGATTCTGGTCTTTGATTTCAAATTTACCTAATTTTGATTCTAGCTGCAAGCCCATTTCGAATTCTGTTGGAGGCTGTTTATGAGCTGCAGGATGGTGATGGTAGACCTGTTTGGGAAATGTTTGAAGAACTTCCCTCGCGAGATGTAAGATTTGACTTTTTTAATTATGCATTTTCAACATTGATGCAATTTCATCAAATGTATAGATACACTCGGTTTGTAGCATTTCTGAATTCCAATTCTTATCCTCTTATCAAACTAGCGATTTCTACTGTTTGCAAAAAACAAATCTAGATTGAGCTTAAAATTTTGATGCATCTTTTACTGTTTGTTGAATGAACAGATACTGAACAAATAAGTGGTTTTAGCTAGCATTACAAATTCGTTAACAAAAGTCTACATAGGAAGCAGAAATGACCAGAGATAAAAATTTCTGGTTAGCTTTGTAGATAAAACCTGTGATTACAGCAAATTTGAGTTTACCAAAGGCAAATTGGTCAGGCTTGTTTTAATGTGGGTGATTCTCATAAATATTGATGCTGTCCCGGTTTCAAATAGAAAAAATCATTTCCTAGGACTATCCAGAATACTACCAAGTGATAAAGGATCCCATAGACCTCCAGTCAATTGACAAGAAAATCAAGGTAAGCGGAAACTGCTAAATTTTCGTATATAAGAAATGGGAAACATCAATGACTTTCTGCTTTCAAATTTAATAACTACATTTAGTTTGAAACCCATTAATTACAAAGCATTAATTGGTTGTCTAACTTTTTCTGTTTATTCTGGTTTTTCTTCGATTGTGTGTGTTTACTTTTCTTATTAATTAATGCAGGAAAATCGATATGGAGTCCTAGCTGAAGTAGAAAAGGACGTGAGTACGATGGTGAAAAATGCTCATACGTTCAACGAGAGGGGCTCGCAAATATACAAGGTAATAATTGGCGATAATCCTGACTGCTGCTTTCAAATTTAGACGTATTTAGAAATGTTTTGTCCATCATTTTAAGTCTTATTGCCTGTTCATTTGTCAAGTCGTAAAATGTTCATCAATTTTAGGATGCAAGTTTAATCAAGAAAACGGTGTCAAGCAAGAGAGTTGAAATTGAAAAAGGGCTTTTAGGGGCCAAAATAAGCGACAGAATTCGGTGAGTCAAGCTATTGGCCAAGTTCCAGCAAAGTTGTATTTTTGTTAAAATTATCTTAACTTACTTTCATAAGGTCGTTAGATATTTCCACTATGTTGTTTATGAAGTAGTTGGGAAGTTAGAAAGATGAGATGGCAATTAATTGTATTAATCAGTAATGAAACAATTCTTAAGGGGTTCTGTGAAAGAAAAACCCAAGAAACTTTCAAAGACGTCGAGAAGACGCTTGGGGTGTCGTTTCTAAAGCTTGGAAACTAGCAGACTGTCATTTATGTAATAAGTGTAGGGAATAAATGTGAGTGAATGGAGTGAATTAATGTAAAGAAGAAAATAAGATCATTCGGATTTGCCAATCAACTCTTTCGAATCAGATTTCTGAATATTCTTTATTACTTCAACTATTTTTTGCTACTTTAGATCCCGACAGATTGGCAGAACGTTTTCACACCAGTCTCAAGACTCCGATTTAGAAAGTGTTACAACTGAAGATGACAATCCTGAAGGTATCTTACCAATATTTCTTTTCCCTCTTTTATTTACGGAATATTGGTCCCAACTATGGAATTTCTGCACTTCCTTTTTTTAAAAGTTCCAAGACATTATCCATTTTAATGAAAAAATATAGAATTAATATTATTTCAAGGTATCCCTCATTTTATTGGACATCACTCTTTCATAAAGCAATGACAAACAACCTCTTCGTATGGGGTTCTGTTGCATTGTCTTGAATTTTTCGTTTCGGAAATAAGTTTCCTTTTCAAGATGGTAATGCCAAGGTTTTGGTGAATTTGTCTTTCAACCTGCTGCCAACTTGGCTTTTGATGCTGGTAAAAATTAGCTGAAAGTCTTGGTTTTATTTGAAAGAGTTTTATTTCTAGGTTCAGGTCGTCGCGATGATCATACCATCCGAATTGACGCCGACGAAGAGAATCTTGAAAAAATAAATTTGTATAACTCGGTCACGTCTTTCACAGACAGTTATGGCCGACTTCTTTGTGAGCCATTCATGCGACTGCCCTCAAAACGGTAAGTAAATATTTGAAAGATCTCGCCACAGGCATTCAGTAGGAGTCATCTAATGTGTAATTTATCAGAAATATGTTTCTTTTCCCGCTGCGGAAAAGTTTAAAAAGCTTTTTTTCTGATTGGCCTATTTCGATCCACAACTGGGTATATATTTTCATTGTGTTCTTTCGAACCCTTACTCTGACGTTAAATGCTCTGAGGAGTGTCAGACGAAAAAGCTTCAAGTAGTATGTTGTGAAATATTTGCTTTTTCAAAGCCACTTTCAAGCTATATACCGCCAAAAGATTGTTCAAATTAGTGTATCATCAAAAGTAAGCGTATCTTTTTTCTGTGTCTTAACCATCGACTCTGTCAAGATATGATCAAACAAGAACGAATATGAGAGTAATATGGCTCGAGAATGACAATAGCACACAGTCATATTGTTTTTTTCAACCAAATACTTTTTTCACTTGAAAATACATTTTAATCCTTTTAAGGGCCTATCCTGATTACTATAACGTCATAAAGAAACCGCTGGCTCTTCTGAAGATCAAGCAGAAAATTGCAGTATGTTCAATACATTCGTTCTCTTATGTTTTGTCAGATTTCTTCTTTTGCTAAAAATCTTTATTTGCCTTTTGACCTTTCTAGTAGCAAAAGTGTTTCTTGTAATATGCGGCAGTAATTTTGTCTGTGCAGTTATTAAACAGCGTTTTGTAACGGAATAATGCTTTACCCTGCTGTATTCATTTCCCAGTTGAATGATGATGCCATTTCTGTAAAGGTATTTTTGGCACCGTTCATGCGATAAAAACTCCTCCAGAAGTAGCCATTGAAGACAGTTTGTCAATGAAGTATCCAGAGATGTTTCACAAACCAATTTGCTCCTCTCGCATAACAATGTTTATGATTAAAGAAAACTAAAAGCACTCTGCTTTCTGTCTGTAACCAATCTCATTTACGAGGTCTTATGTATATAGGTTTTTCAGTTCTTTTTTGTGAAATTCTTTCTTTTAACGGGCGCTACGTTATTTGCAGAACCATGCTTACAATTCTCTGGACAGTCTTGAGAAAGATTTAGAGCTGGTATTCTCAAATGCCAAAATATACAACGAAGAAACCTCTTTGCTATTTAAGGTAAGGCAAGGCTGTGCTACGACTTATGACTGGATAAAACGATCATGATTTGTTTGAAACAAAGTTAGATGTTTTTTATTGGTATCATTTCATATTTTCATCGTTGTAGGACGCCGTTACCTTACAAAATTTTGTGAAAGATCGAAGGAAGGAGTTGCAAAAAGTTGACGCTGGAGTTGCTATTGTAAGCATCTGGGCCGATTCATATTATTTTTTTATAAATAGCTTGATATATCATATTATATATTGCATTATATATTATATTATGTACTTTTTTATATTACACTATAATCTATAGTACATTAAACGAGTAGCAACTTGGAGTAGCAACTTGGATTAGCAACTAAAGAACTAAGGACCGTCCTGTTCTTTACACCAAAAGCGTATAGTTCATTATGAATACTTTGCATTCCATTATCTATATAGCCAAAGGCTGGAAAAGTTGAAGAAATTGTCACCCAAGCCCAGAAAAAACGCGGCAAAAATGCTGAAGTTGACCCCAAGGTTCTGAAGAAAAGGCTGAAACAAATGCTCACTGCTGTTAAAAATTATCAGGTTTGCAGGACCATTTACTGATATTAATTCTTTTCAACCAACCTTTTCGTGATTTTTTCAACCTTCTCTTCATTTCATTGATTATGTTCATCTTTTTAGGACGAGGAAAGCCGGGTTCTGTCAGATATATTTCTAGAGTTGCCGTCTGAAGAAGTACGTGCGTGATTTTATTAATTTTGACTCTCGTATCGAAATTCGACTGGTGATCATTTGCTGCGTTTCCAACTTGTGCTGTTGATATAGGATTGTGTGTCTCTTTGCATCATGAAAGTAGGGCACATGCAGCTAATTTGTTATGTATACTCGATTCATTTCAGCTGCAAAGTGATTTCAGAAACATAATAACTTGACTGTGCTCGAAGAGTCACATAAATTCATCAAATTATAAGCTTTGTGAATTCGTTGGTGCTTTTTGAAAGATTTAGATACTATTGTTAATACGAAAATCGGAAAATATGTTGATATGAATAACAAGTATCTTTACATGGCAAACAAAAAAAGCGATTTTGCTTTTATGTTCGAATCGATTTAACAAATTGCTACTTGTTAAAGATTACCTTATGAAGCTTGGTTGGATCTTCATTTATAGTTTTGCAGAAAATGACGATCAAACATAAATGCATGTTACCAACAAACTTTGTCTTTCTTTTTCAAAAAAAGATGGTATGGCTTCTTCCTCGTTTCTTAAGTAGATTATCGAGCACCTCGTAGGACCTATGACGCAGGTAATGCTAACTTAAAGTGTTATCAAACACAACTTGTATTATACAATAACTTTATTTGTTGTCTTTATTCAAGGAATATCCTGATTATTACAAAGTCATAATGCAGCCTATTGATATGAATACGATTGAAGAAAATATCAACAAAGGAAAGGTACCTAACATATTTCTAATGTCTTGCTATAAGTGATTTAAGTATGAACTGCTATGAGCTGCAATGTTTAACAGGAAAGCTTTCTATATGACGTAATTGTTGTTATTTCCTAATGCTTTGAAGTTCTTCTTTTTTTAGTAGTAATTAAACATTGAGATTTTCTTGGTATAAGTTTTAAAAGTGTTCTGTCAAATTTGAAGAGCTGTATGAAAAACAAGGCGTCTGCTGCCTCACAATCAGCATGTTTTATAAAAGAAAAAGGGAAGAAAAAGTGCATAATCATTGAAGAAGGGGGGGGGGGTGGTTGGCTTTGATAATTTGATTATGGTTCTACCCTTCTTTCCAGTACACGACAGAAGAAGCATTCATGCACGATTTCGAGATCTTGTTCGCGAACGCGCGTCATTACAATGAAGAGGATTCGCAGGTTTATCAAGATTCAGTTGTTTTGGAGAAATTATTACGAAAGAAGAAGAGGTCTCTTGGTGCTATTAACTCAGGTTTGATCATATCTATAATTTTTATAATTGAGTTTCCAATACTTTTATACTCTTACTATGAAAGCTCCAATTAGCTATTTCTTATTCCAGCCACTCTTTATCACCCCCTATTCGAAGAACATTTAGAATAAGCACCCCTCTCTATTAAGCCCCACCCCCTCCCCCATCTCGTACAAGTTGGGCCGTATAGATTGGTTTGTTCGCGAAAATATTACCGACATCTAACGTTAGAAACTTTTTCAGTCAAACCTTTCTCGAGCAGCAAGTTCTTCTTCAAACATCCTTGTATCAAAGCAAAATTGCAGTACGACTGGAAAATGGTCAGTCAAGCTTGCGGTACAGTCTTACAAACTGATGAGATCCAAACTCTAACTGTAGTTGCATGATACCCGTCTCTTTTGAGCCCCCTCTCTTTGAAGCCCCCTCTCTCTGAAGCCCCCTCTTTATAAACCTCAGGAGAAAGAAATATATGTAGCTTGGTCTGGATCGTAGACATTTTGTCTAAATGCACTGTGATATCCAAATTCTGCTGTTCAGCTTTTTATGCCTTGTAAGTTCCATATATTAAATGTATTTAAATTGTGTAAGGACTTTGAATATGGGAAATCTTCATTCGTTGCTGCAGTTTTATTCTGACCTACTAAGAATATTTCGCAAATGATTGGCCAAATTACACATGGCCGGTTAGCTCAGCCGGTAGAGCGTGGTGCTAATAACGCTAAGGTCGTGGGTTCGAGACCCACACTGGCCATATATTTTTTCCCCGGCCCGCCTCTAATTCAGGATCTCTCTTTCTCTAGACGGAAGTGTTAAGCAAAGCCCAGGGAAGAAGCTTGTGTACGTAGTAAATCTGTTTTTATTTCTCTTTCGCATTTTCAACCTACCCCCGGAAAAGATGCCACCTTTATTTAGAGGGAGCATCTAACTCCCTGCTCTGGCTTGGCGATTTTCCCTGTTACCCCCACTGTGCTTTGATTCACTTTATTAATGTTTTAAAAATTGTTTTCTGAAACCTTATCCAATGCCAAAGAAATCAGTGTAACTAATATTCATATGTTTGTTTTTTTATTATTCTCTGCTTTGTGTTCTCCTGCGCAGCCTCTTTTGTACCACTCTTCCCTTAGAAAGTAATGAGTCATTTTAAACTGTGTTTACTCCATAGGGAACAAAGTAATGATTATAAAGAGATTTTATGCTAAAATTATAATATTAGCTGCTAGTTAGTTAGCGATAATCTTGCACGTTCGTTCCATGTTCCTGTTTGTTACAAGATAGCGTTATTATGAAATCCACAGATCGTCGCCAGCCAGCAGTGTCAAACGTCCCTCGATCGCCTCAAGCCCTCCTCCTGCAAGTGAGTGCCAACGGCTTTTGCATCACATAAAGACGTACACAGTGAGTACAAAATACATTTATGTATTCGGTTTTAACTTCATGTATTCGGTTTTTACGTCACAAGACCCATGACTTCCAAAAAAATATTCTGAAGTAACAATTTGAAAGAAAGGATCGACAATAATTTTTTTTCGTGTTTCCGTCTTTTTTCACACAGATAGCTCTTTTATTCAGTTTATTTTAGCTCAATTGATGTCATATTTTTCAGATCATTTCATTCAACATATATATATATATATACCATCATTTCGTAAGCTTTACATAATCTTTTCAATTTTCAAGTATTTCAACGATAGTTATCTTGAATTATGCTATTATTTGACTTAAATAAAGCGATCAACAATCCTTTATTTTGCAGGAAAACAGTGGTCGTCTTCTTTGCACTATTTTTGATAAATTGCCAACAAAAACGGTGAGTACTGCAGGGGTCATTTTCTAGATTCTATTTTCAGTTGCATAATTATTTCAAAGTAAGGATTTTCGTAAAGAAATATAAAGTAACGTGTTTAGGAAGAAACAAGAATGAAATTCAATGGCAACGATATAATCACTATATTTTTGTCTCCGAGCTACCACTTCAGCACAATTTTAGAATTATGCTACAAGGAGATTGAATTTTGGAATTTTGCAAGTTGAGGTTAGAATGATATCATGGATTGGCTGATAGAGCGCAAAGTAAAGTTAAGTCATTTTTTGTTAGATGTATTTCTTAGTGATTGTAGAGAATTCGAAGAGGCTGAAAATTATGCAGATTTAGCAAACGGGTAATTTTGCTCCACACGAATATTGAATTCATATGAGGATTTTTGCTTCTCAAAGGACTATTTCTGCATAAATTTCAGTATTGAGCCGTATTTTTTGCACAATTCTTCACGTTGTTTAGTGGACTAGGGAATTTTTATGTGGAGACTCTGCTCTTGATAACCCTAGGATTATCCTGACTACTACGTGTTGATTAAAAAACCAATTGATTTACTGAAGATTTCGGCCAAAGTTGAGTCTGGACAGGTTAGTCTTTCTGTTTTTAATTGGTATTTTCTTGTTGTCCTTAATAACTCTTTTTTTACTTTAAGTTTTCTGTTTTTACCAATGTTTACAAGGATTAATTGCAAGCAGCCCAAAGAAAATAGGGATATCTTGAGAACATGTGAAAAAGGTTTCCGTAAGAATTGAATTTATATCGAGAATGTTGATTGGTATAGTCTGACGAGACCCACAACAATTAAACATGAAACAACCAACATTTGAAGGAATGGATATTGCAGTTTTGATTAGGAAGGAATACAGGATTGGTAAATAACAAGAGGGTTGGTTAATTGCATATTTAGGAATCGCTGTTGATGAAAGGAGATTTTATTTTCAAATGTATTCGGTGCTAAGTTTGATTTCTCCATCTGTTTTAGTACGCTAATATGGACGATTTAGAACAAGACCTCGTTCTCATGTTTGATAACGCATGCAGATACAACGAGCCAGATTCACAGGTGTACAAGGTACGTCTGCCGTTTCTTTTCAAATTATCAGAAATATCGTTTTGGTGGAAGATTAGGCTGTCGCTATTCTCCGCTGTGAAATTAACTCACAATAGTCTACAATCTCATTACTTCTTTTTAGGATGCACTCACGCTGCAAAGGGAAATGATTCGAAAGAAGGCAGAAATAATAGGCAGGTGTTTCTCTTGTTTTGCTTAAAGAGCGAGAAATGTTTCTTTTTCTAGTTCCTAGAAAATTGCAATTTCATTTCATAAAATCTTTACGTATTTTCGTCTAGGTGAAGCTGGAAGCGTCGTTCCGGTTGTTCAGGACATCGTCCAAAAGCTGTTGCGTGCATTATTCAGTAGTGTTATTGCCCATAATGTAAGTCATTTTCTGTTTTTCTAAGCTTTCAAACTGGATATTATCACTGTTATCTGGATGGCAACGATGTTTGTTACGATGCTTGCATTAACATACATTAGCTATATGTGGAAATGTGGAAGTCATTCGTTCGTGATTGTTTTTTCCCTAGAAGAGAATAATTTAGGCCAATCACAGTGAAACCTTCTTACAGCGGACACCGTTAGGACAATAGTTTCCGTCCTTCGTGCGATAATGTACGTTGCATGAAAGTGTCGCGTTTTTGTTCAAGAAGGATTTTAATATGCGAGGAAAAGATGAGAACGATAAAAGATAAACTTTTGGTTTATAAATACCAATTTTTGTTGACGTTTGGCAAACATTTGGCTCAAAATAGGGGCTCTCGTATACTACTACACGCATATTGCCAATGTTTATATTGCTGCTTGTAGGATGAAGAGGGTCGATGCTACAGTGACTCTTTGATAGAGTTTGAAGTGATGTCAGATGAAGCGGAGCCCAGTGGTGGTCCGAGGTAGTTACGATCGCTTTTGTTAAAACGACTTTAAGAGCTGCTATTTAAGAATTTACAAAAAATTAGCAGTTAAAGGCATTTCAATATTTTGTTGAAATGGCTTTATGTGAAACTGTTTTTGTAATTTGTAAAACTGTCATATCTTGCTTTTCCATAATTTGTTATTTTCTAGCCATATCAAACACTATGAAAAAACTGGTAGTTAAGCGTGTTGTACATCGAGTAATGAAAAAAAATTAATTATGCTCGAAACGTCGCACTTATCTTTCATTCGTGTACAAAGTTATTTAGTTGTTATAAATTTTTGCTCATTATGAAAAAACGTTAAGCTGTATTATAATTTTTATCGATTCTCCTCAGCAAACCTCTCTCGTTGGAAATTATTGGAAAGTTGCTGGAAAAGAACTTCTACACAAGGCTTGATCGATTGCAAGAAGACATTTTCACAGTTTTGCAAGGAATACAAAAAGCGAGTCGTACTGATTCCGAGGTGAGTGTTCGTTTTGGAATATGTTGAATTCTTACCAGTGAATGATACTTGCGTTTGTATTTGGAGATTATTTCTATCGTTTCAGGCGTAATATGAATGGCCTATCTTTTCAACTGATTTTAGGCCTAAATCTTATCATGTAGGTTTGGTCGTAAACTCGCGATTGCTTCTACTTGTTGTTTTTGCAGATGTACGAAGATGCTACCGAACTCCAAGTTTTCTTTGTGACTCAAAGAGACACGTTTTGTAAAGACGGGCAAATGTTTATGTCACCTGCACTGAATTTCACGAAAAGGAAGCTGTTGAGTCAAATAGAAGAAGAGAAGAAAGCAAAACAAAAAGAGGAAGAAAAAGATGACGAGAAAGTTGGAGTCGACGATTCAAGAAAACAGTCACAAAAAGATGAAGTTTTGGTAAGCCGTTAACGGAGAGTTTTTCTTGATAGTGCAATTGATTTTGAATTAGATAAGTGATAAACTGTTTGGAAGACTGAATAAAAATTTGAATGAAGTAAATTTGATCTGTCTGTTTTAACTGTTTGCCCAAAGCAAATGATTGATAAGGTTTTGTAATCTTTCTGTATATCTAACAGTAGCATTACTTTCATTCAGTTTCTATCCAATATTTGCACTTCTTTTTCAAAAGCTTAAAATTGCTTGGAGCTAGTTCTCAATAGAAACAACGAGCTTTTTCAGATTTCTCAAAAGTTGAGAGTTTTTTTAAAGAAAGATGTAAAGAAGTATTGAAAAACCGTGAAACGACGTTAAATTGGATGGCCATTTTAAAAATGTGATAATCAATGTAGTTAAGCGTGTTGTATGTCTAGTAATGAACAAAAATAAATACAATTAAATAACGACTATGCACTAAAATGAAAGGTAGTACGTTGTTTCGAGCATAACTCTTCATCAGGTAAAAAATAATAGCTATCAAAACGTCGTACATGTCTTTCATTCGTGTGCTAATTTGTTATTTAATTGTATTAATTTTTGTTCATTTTATGTGCCTGCTAATTGTACCTGCTATTTATGAAACTTTTCACTGAAATTTGATGAGAATTTCATCTGATTTTAAGATGTCTCCTGAAGATGAGATGGAGTATGTTCATGATATTGTCCTTGGTACAGAAATGTACAGACCTGGAGATTTTGTGTATGTAGAAACTGGGTAAGTGCGGTCTTCTGTTGTTGAGTGCTGTCATATTGGGCCTTGAAGTCTTTGATCATCATCATCATCATAATCATCATCATCATAATCATCATCATCATCATCATCATCATAATCAATGATAAATCTGTTAATGATATGATCTTGTCATCTGCTGTCTTCAACACTTTTCTCTGCTGTCTTCAAATTGTTCATGTCTTCCTAGATTTTTAAAATATAACAACGGCAGCGAACAACGAATATCTATTATTTTTCAGCAAGGAAGAACCACACATTGTTTTCATTGAGAAGTTATGGAGAGATAAACATGGCAACACGGTAACAGTTTTAAGATTTTTAATGATCTTGCAATGCGGGGAGATTTCACAGCGATCTCCAGCCACTTCCCTTTCTGAATTTATTTCACGTTGTTGATTGAGTGTAGCAAGACATAGGCTGATGGGATGACAGATTGATATTTGGGCGCGCATTTAATTTCTTTTTTGTTGTGCACGCTATACTTTGCTCTTTTCATGACTTTCCTATCATTGTTTCATTACTTTTTGTAGATATTCAATGTATGCTATTTCAAATAGTGTTTCATGTGTATTTCATTAACATAATTATTAAGGTAAGAGTTTATATAGATAAATCCAGTAACTTAAGGGATGTATCGACAATCTTAAAATCCTTGTGTTAAAGAACTTATTTTAGCCCGACAATTCTCGAGCCATCCATTGCCCCAAAGATAATTTTATATTGCCGAACCAAGTTCATTATCTATAAGTAAATAAATATACGTTTATATGAAGCATAATGTAAGAGGTTTTGACACTATGACCCCACATACACCTTTAAGCAAGACCTAAGAAAAGCTTTGAAAAAATAGGCTCTTTCTTGCTGGGATTTCCTGCAGATAGTGACTTGAAGCTGATATTTTGCACCTCTTTGATGTTTAATTTTAGGGAATGTATTGCTGCTGGTTTTATCGTCCTGAAGAAACTTTCCATCTTGCTTCAAGAAAATTCTTGGAGAAGGTATGTTTAAAGCTATGCCTTAATGATATCGATTTTTCATCATTGGAAAGTATTTGTTTTGTGATCTATTTATAGTTGCAACTTTGTCTGATGCTTTTCTGGTTTTTCCAGGAGCTTTTTAGAAGCGATCACTACAGCCACATATCGCCAACAAAAATCAGCGGACGATGTCATGTTATGTCCGTCAAAGATTATTTCAAGTTCCAGCCTGAGGTATCATCACGTCATTACTAAAGACTTCATTCATACCTAGTGCCAAGATACGTTCGGGCCTGTCGTGCTTCAAGGATTATTTTTATGTTCTAAAATCGGATCTAACAAACTAACATCTTATATTCTTATTAGAGAAATGATATTGTTATGGAATGAAATAATAAGAAATAGAGACTTATTCCCTGTTGTATTTAAAATTAAGTTGCGTGAAGATAAAACGAGGAATCGTTATTGCTTCAACCATGTTTGCCTGGCCCGGTTACATTTTTATTGGATATTCGTTCTGTGTCCAAGGCTTCGTGAAAGCTATCTTAGTATATCTGTCTTGGGAGTGTATATTCTTATGGTGCATATCCAATGCCATTTTAGCAACATTTTAATGATCTATGTTAGGGCATCCCAGAAGAAGACATCTATGTTTGTGAATCCCGCTACACGGTACGATCAAGGAATTTCAAGAAAATTAAGGTATGCGTGTGACGTCATCACTTCTTTTAAAAACGTTTTTCTTTCTCAAGGGACTACTCAGTCAAGAAATGCTTCAAATGTTTTTGACCTTAAGAGCCAAACTATTCAAAAACTTTTCAGTAGGCAGAGTAAATGCGTAATTCAATTGTTATTGTGATTGTTAAAGTTTTGTTTCACCGAGTCATTTGCATTGAGTCAGAATGGTCAGTTAATGATTAAATTAGCTCTCTGCCAGTGTGAGCTACAAACAATCGAAAAGTTGTTGACAAATTGGTTTAGCAAGCAAACTTTTCTTAAGAAGACCTTATTTAGATTAACTTGATAATTTTCACCCATAGCCTTTCCGTTTGTGTTCATATATTTAATGTCCATCTTTGAAATCTCCTTGCGAATCATCTTCAGCATAACTGCTTTTATTTTTGTCGTTTATTTGCCCCCATTTCCTTCCTACTCTCTTCAGCTAGAATCTCGTGAATTATTGAATGGAACATAATTGATCAAATGCCGACTACATAAGTTGCAAGGATGTTCCAGTTTTCCGAGGTTTATGAGAAGCCTATTGCCAGTACTTGAAATTTCCTTGAATTTTTCACTATATTCTGACATTTTAATATTTTTTTCCCCAGACATGGCCATACTCGAGTCGTTTAAATATGATTCCGCGTGCCTCGGCTCCGTCTTTGAAGCGAGTTGCCTCGGTCTTTGCCGATGCACAAAACAGAAGTTCCAAAAACGACAAGGGTGCTTTGGCTGAATTTGATGAGACCACTCTGGAGGAGTATGCAGCGATTGACAGTCCCAAGGTAAGGGTTTGTCGTCAAGTTTCTTTCACTTCACTTAATAGCAAGTCTGTTTTGAGGAAACAACCTCTCGGGCAAATGTTCGTTTTCTTACTCTCTAGAACGCTAAAGTTCACAAAATTTTGGAATCGTCGCTGTAGTCTGCCAAAGCTAAAGGCCCTCTATATCAATTTTGCTTTGCACTCGTCATAATATTTCTGTTTCTTTTTTACATGTAGAACGTGGAAAGGGAAACATCAGGTGGAGACGAAGGGTGCACATATTATGAGCAGTACTGCACTGCAACGGGTTGCTACAAAATAGGTAAAATGAATGACATTGTGTATGCAGTTTTAATTTTACAGAAATATTCTACCGACAAATTAAGAGGATATAGTGTTTTTATAGCATTTAACTGTGACGTTAATTCGAATCGACTTTCTCACAGTTTGCTGAAAACTGCAAAGTGTCGCATAAACATTATAATGTTAAACTATTACCATTATACTCAAAATTCAGATAATCGGCATAAATGGCAACCACGCACTTTCTGAATCTTCTGTAATTTCAAGGCATGCTTGAATTTGTAGATCAAATACAAAATAGATGAAGCAATTTAACAATGAAGTTGAAAGAGAAATTTTGATAAATTTGTAGCTATCATTTCAAAACACGATGGTGCATCAATGGATAAGGCTTTATTCTCGTTTCATCTTTTAGCGTATTCTAAATAGAAGTGTTGCCTTCATTGTCTTTTCTAGCATTCGCTTGCTTAATACATTACAGAGTTTTTCGCTTTATATATGTTCACTCACTTTTTCCCCATCTAGGTGACAGTGTGTACGTGCGCTCGGACGAAGAGTACCCTTACATGGCCAAGATTGACAAAATATGGACGGATAGAAGGTCTGTAAAGTTTTTGGGCATTAGCAAACTGCATCCTATGTTCAGTATATTTGTAGTTTTATTAATCTCTGGAAGAAACATTTTTTTATAAGAATCTTAATATTGTAATTTCTCTTTGCAAAGAAGTCGTATTTCGTTCCGGTTTATCTTTGTTTGATGAGAATTTTTTGCTTTTTTCTTGCAGTGGTGCAGCCTGGTTCCATGGAAACTGGTATCTACGCCCAGAAGAGGCTAAGCACATGCCAACAAAAATGTTCTTTGAGCAGGAATGCTTTCAAAGTAACATTGAAGACACGAATCCAATGGCTAGTATAATGGGCCTATGTTTCATCATGCACATGAAAGATTACGTCGCATGTAAGCCCGTTTGCCTTTCCATTTAGTTCAGCAAATTAAATTAGGTATTGTAAAATAGGTATGCCTTAGTGCCATTCCTCCATTCTGTGATGCTAGTCAGCATTTGTCCTCAGAGATGAAGTTATTAAGGGTTTTAGATGGTAAATCTTGTGTTCAACCTAGCAGCATTCATTTGTCATACAGCTTGGACTTAATTTTAGAATTAAGCTCCTGAAAATTGAAATTAAGAATTTAGCTTCAGCCTGAAAATTGAAATATATTTCTATTTCTAGATCACTTATAAAGTTTTGCACCAAATGTAATATCAACCTTGTGCTGTTAGTTTGAAGAATAAACAAGAAAATATTAAGATCTACATTAAAAACTCAAAAAGCCTCACTTTCCATTAAACTGCCAACGTGTGAGAACCTGCTGTTAAGTTTGAAAGATTCATTCGCCGGAGACTAGCTACCAATTTTCTAGTCTGCTTCTCACCTTACCTTGAATGCCCTCAAATCTTCATGTTCTTCCACTCTGCCAGGTCGCCCAACGGAAATCCAAGAAAGGGATGTCTATGTTTGCCAATCGAGATACGATGAAGGTGACGGAACAATACGGAAAATGAAAGTTATAAAGGTAAAAATGAAATTATTCCTGATACCAAACATTTGTTGGATTTCATTTCATATTATTTCAAGATGTTGCCTCTGGTTTTCGTAACATTTTATTCCCTCAACGTACTGTGGGGAGATAAACACGATAAATGCATAGATTTGTTTTTTAAACCTGGTTCTTGATGGTTTAATCTTTCAAATGTCTTTTGCTCCCCATCATGTTTTCATTAAGCTTGTTCGCAATTGCTACCTGCCGACCCACTCAGCCTCTGATTTTAAAATTCTTGCTTCTTTTAAGCCCCTTAACTACATAGCCTTATCTCCATAAAAAATCTTTTACTTGTAAAAATATCTTTCAGAGACCAATGCTGTCAAGTTTAGTGCGTGACTATGAATTCTACTACTTCGATCAATCATACTCACCTAAAAAGGTAAGTCACCTAATTTGCCAATGAACCATTACGATCTAAACATATGCCACTTCTTCTTTGATTCAAGCTAAGAAGCAGAGAAAATTTCCATTGTTGAAAGGCTTTGTAATTTTCACAGGAGTGAGAACTTTAAATTTCCCAAGGTTTTAAAATCTAGAGATAGAGAAATATTTGGCAGTTCAAACACTGACTTCATTGCAAGTTGTCTTTGTATTCCTTTTTTGTGTTCATGAAGCATCACAAATTGAATGGCTAGCAACACCTGTATTGTTGAGAAGATTTAACTCTAAAGTTATTTATCTTATTGTTTATTTTGGCTTTAAAAATGTAGAATAGTTCGACTTTTTTTTTCTTGTCCAAAAATGATAACTTCATAATGGAACCCCAGTGGCCCCTTTAATGAGTTCAATATTATCCTCTTTAATATTTGTTGCTATGATATTTCTTGATCTAAATGCCTTCTATTTTCTCCACGTGACCAAACATTTTGCGTCTAGAATCTCTCACAACTGTTGGTTTTTTTAGAGGCCTTCGCCATTATTGATGGCCCGGCCATCGACAGCTCCATCAAATTCGGTTGAGGAGATTCCAGACGAAAGCGAAAATGAGCTTAATGACGAAGCAAAGAAGGTGCATTGAAGTTTTTTTTAATTTCTTGTTCCTTGGAATTCAAGTTTTAAGATTATGTTGAGCTGTCTGTAGTCTCTTTCTCTTTGATCTCTAAAAAAGTAGATTTTTACTGTTACTTACAGTAAAAGGCACATTCGCACCCAAGGGAAAGCTTATTATAGAGCTTATAGCGTTGTTGAGATCCGAAGTTTAACTTGACTAGAAAGGAATATTCTATCCTTGATAAATTGGCCTTTTGATTTTTGCAGGATAACTTAAACATAGAAATTTCTTCTATTCACTTTTCGTCTTTCTTCAAGTAAACACCCAGGTCTTTCTTTAATGAATGTTTTTTATCTCGCAAAGTTTTAAAGATAGCATACCATAGATTTATACCGGATGGTACTAGATGAACACCTAGTGTTCAGAGTTTTATCGGGGAAAAGGGAGTTTATGCTTGGTATTTGTAATTATAAATCAAATTCAAGGTATGACCGCACTTTGCAGGGTCTCAAAAGACTTCGAGAGCAGGCAGGCTTCGCATTGTTTGTAAACGAAATCGCATTGATGATGCGAAGGAGCAACCCGGAGGTCAGCGACGAGGAAATTCAAAGAGTTTCAATTTCTGAGGTTTGTCATTTGAGCAACTGCAGAGTTTGGGGTGAGGGTTCATCTGGGAAGCAAAAATAGGCCGTGATGCCAACGATCTTGACCAAAGATGTAATTTTTCAATCTGACCTATCAAAGAAAGAAGTGTGAAAGCGATTTATGCTATTCATCTTGTACGGGATCTAAGCAGCCATAATGGTGTTGATAGAAGAGATGCAATCTTCTAAATGTCTCTGATGATGGATCTTTATCTTCTATTTCAATGAAAACTTGTAATGGCTTTCTGTTCTGTTTTGTCACTTTGCTTTTGTCTTTTTCAGTGGCGCAACCTCACTGGCGCCAAAAAGGCTGAGCTCGAAGCAAGAGCAAGGGCACAGGGACTCCAGGTAGTGTTTTGAAAGAAACTTAATTTTTGTGCCTTAAAAGATATATGCACTTAAAGGAGATAGTAATGCTTTTATGGAAAGATTTGTCATTGTGATCATAATTGTGCTTATGACAATGGTAGTATTAATCAATGAGTTTTGCGTGCCCCTTTTGCGGTATTTGAATTTTTAGCCAATACATTTAGGTAAATCGAGCTTGAAATGGTTTTCGTTAAAAACGTCAGTTATTTGACAAAGTTCATTCAAGTAACATATTGATAAGACCATCTGAGAGTCTTGCAAGAGCTCTGCATAACGAATTTATCTGACGTTTGATGCCTTTGTGAAGGCGGAAGACCCCAATGATGGCAGCTTGCTCATCTACGAATGCGGTTGGTCTGGTTGTGACTACCAGTACGAGGACATCCAGGATCTGATGATTCACGTCATGGAAAATGGAGGACATCTTGGCGGAGGTGAATCTCGTTCTTCGGGAACTCTTATTTCTCAAAATAATTCAATAAGTCAAGTTTTAGATTAATCTTGGATTGTTGCAACTGTTTAGATCCGAACTGTTAGCAATTTTTTTTGTTCAGATTGTTCATTCTTGTTTTCTTAACGGGTAGAATTGTAGCATTAGCTCGTTTTATTTATCAACCCGTTGAAGTTCTTTGGGAGCCAATATTTCAACGATATATCATTTCTTACAAAGCAAATTCATCCATGATCATTTCTTAGGGCTTAAGTTGATGTGGCTTTTTGATTAGAGGTTTTCCTATGCTAATATTGGTTTTTTTGTTGATTTTATTGTTATCATTATCATTTTTATCTCTTTCATCGACATGTGCAACGCTCTAGATATCAGCGAGAATCATATCCGCTTCATCATCTTCAAACTATCCCACTTAACTATCCGTACTACCTATTACATTTTCTGCCGCACAAATAAGTCTTTGAATAACCCTGAACTTCTTCAATTCTAACGATCTCTGCTACTGACGACTTCTAAAACAAACAATGACGAACACACTTTTTCCTTTTTTTGTTAATTTCTTTTGTTTGTGCTTGTAATAGTCTTTTTCTTTGTAAACACAGGCTAGCCAATTGCAAATTACCTTTGTAATAGTGAAATTTGTAATTGTAGTTTCAATTGAATTGAAAGTGAAAAGCTTCCATCATAATTAACTTGAATTATTTCAGACAACAACGAATTCCCTTGCAACTGGATTGACTGCATTCGCAGCAAACGTGGTCTTCCGTGAGTCATCTTTTTCAAATTATTTTAAATCACACGCTTTTTTCTTTCATGTTTTGATTGCTTTAAGTGTAAACTGATATTCTGAACTGACAGCTCTTGGCCTTGAAGTGATCTGAAATGATAAAACCTGTAGCTGATGAATTTTTTTAAAAACATTTCTTCGATGCTTTTGCCCAAATTAGATCTTCTGAGTAAATGGATTTTCACCAATTGCTAGTTATTCTAGATTTGTCACTGAACTATGTTTTCTGTTGGTCTATACTTCCCTATTCTGTGACATTGACAACCGTTTTGTAGAATGCCTGTGAAATTTGCTTGAAACACCCAGCAATTTGCGTTGTGTTTTATATCTTTAATTTCTTTTTCCAAAAAACTACTACTTCTGCTCCCCTTTCACTAAGAACAACGCTGATAGTTTAGGCATATATCATACAAGTAACGAAAAGTAGGTACTTTGTAATCTCCTTGCCGTTTAAAATAGTAAATCACTGTTTCCTGGGGGGAGTGGCTTTGCTGAATTTGACCTTGAAAACTGACGTCAGTGCTCTAAGGCATTGTAGACGACTTGCTTTTGTTTATCTTCATCTATGATATAAACCACATTGTATTTCATATTCGCATGTTAGCTTGCATCCTATCTTGCCCCCTTAGGCCATTCCCAACCCACTCAAAGCTCGCTCGACATGTACGGGAAGTTCACTTCAAAGTTGCCGCCAAGCGAATTCAACCTCATCAAAAGAGCAGGTTTGAAATTATGTTGTTTCTGGATATTCTAAGAACACACTTTATTGCCTTTCGGTTTCTGATATCTTTGAATTGAGTAAGATTTTATGGGAAACCTTAATTGTTTCTTTCCATCTGTCTATCACGACGGATTGCTAACGAAATTATTTCTGTCAGAACTAAAAAATGCCCTTGTTTGTTTAACTTTGATTCAAATGAAAATATTGTGTTGCGTTGGCATAATGATCCGCGACGGCGGTGATTGTCGACCATCTTGGGAGAGTATAGTTGCCTCGTCGCAAATGGCTACCGTTTCACGTGCGAGTTACAGAGGGTGGTTGGTGGGGGTGGGGCAAAGTGTCCCAACACCTTAGTATTCACCAAGAAATGACAGTTATAATTAAAAGTTAATTGTTCATTGTTGTTAGAAGTGTTGAGATATCAAGAATAATTGCTTACATTCCTTTCTTCTCTCTAGCAATTATTTCCCCAAGAATCAAGCAGCCGAAAGCCGAAGTACCCCTCTTGGTGCAGACGATCAAAGCTCAATGGATTCGTTCTCATCAAGGAACCACGTGGCCCAAGCAGCTTCTCCTTTCTCATTGCCAAAACCCACTGTCAACAGACCTCCTTCCCAAAGTGGCCTACCATTTTCGAGCGCCTTTTCTACTGAAATACAACTTCAGCCTTCAATTTTACCCTTTTATGCTAACGCAGGTTTGATTTGATTTTAACTGTATCTTATCATAATACTTTTAGTAACCCCCCCCTCCCATCCCCTTTCCTTCTCTCCCCTCTCATCCCCTCCCCTCCTCTCCTCCCCCATCCCCTCCTCTCCTTCTCCTTAAGCTATATCAACACATTTTCTCAAGTACTTAACAGACTGAAACAACCCTTCCACAGCTGCCTCAATTAATCCACAAATGCTTCTTTATAGTGACACCCCACCAGCAGCTTCTGCAACAACAACAACAGCAGCAACAGCAGCGAATGATCCTTACACGCACCCCGGTTCCTGTAACCACGGTCGGTTCGCCTGTGCAGCCAGGGATACAACAAACAGGTACCACCATTTCCATCACTTTCGCGATTTTCCTTTGTTTTGTAAGAATGTTTTAGCCTCAAACACAGAGCTTTTTAAACTAATACTAAGATATTGCTGTTTTTTAGGCATGCCGCTTCAGCAATCATTGACGATAGAACAACAACAAATGCTGCTGCAGCAGATTCAACGGCAACAGCAACAAATTCAAAAATTGCAACAACAACTTCAACAAATGGCAGCGCAGCACCAGCAGCAACAACAACAGCAGCAACAACAACAGCAGCAACAACAACAAAAACAAGTAGATGCTGAAGAAAATCCGTTATTTGTCGATCCTCCGCCAAACACAACAAAGCTGAGGCACTCTGAAGCGTACTTACGGTGAGTGGATTTCACGTTCGTTTACTCTGCACTAATTTCGATTGCTATTGATCATATTCTAGATTTCATAGAACTGCAATGCAGTTAATTATACTGTTAAGATAAGGGGTGAGTCCTGTAAATTATCCATAAGTAAGAAAAATGTTAGAGAGAGCACTTATTCCCGCCTTAGGGCAACCCACTGTTACGACAGGGTGTTGAATTGAAGCTGTTAAGTTGACAATATCCTACACTTCTCGCATTCTATATGAGCTGAGATCAGTAAAGCCTCCTTACCTTTTTACCAAACGTTAATCCTTCAATTGTCTTTATTTACCAATGCAGGTATATTGAGGGATTACGTGACGGTAAACAGTATTTATCTAACTGGAATGAGCTGAGCGAATCCCAGACGAGGTCATCTCAACAGGGCGCTTTGCCAGTGCATTGGCTAGGTGGTCAGACCTTTGGACATAGCAGCGCAACCGACGCTCTCTGGTCTCTCAGGGACCATCTGCTAAGAGACGCTGTCACTCTTTGATTTTTCTCAGTTTCTTGAACTGTTATCGATACTTATCTTTCCGTGGTTTATTAAACCTTGTCTGTTTAAGATTTAATAGAATCTTCATTACTTTTTGTTCAGCTTAATATGTTAACGTTACTCGAATACAGTAGGTTCCCGCATATAAGAAACCACTTTTGAAATTGAGGCGTCAGAACGTTTATTATTTTAAGATAGCTTTTTATAATCAGGGTTAAAGTTTCTTATATATAGGTTACACATTTTTTAAGTAAGCAACTAAGCTTTAAGTGTTGAACCGTGTTTGGTTATGCCAAACTATGTTATTTATTATCAAAGGAGGCATAAAGTAATTTATTTCCTCTGCAAAAGGTGTTTTAAATTTCTTATAAATATGCACCTTATAAGTATAGAGTGGTTTTTAGGATACGGTGAGATACGCTGTGGAGACAAGAGGTAGAATACAGTTACAAAATACATAATTCAAAATTTAGGGGATTATTTTTTGGCATACAGGAAAAAAGTATGACGGATCTGAAAATAAGAAACATTTCAATTTCAGACCTAAAATTGTTTCTTATAAAAGGAGCCCTTTGGAAAGAATTTGAGGCTGGTTTCTTATACAAGGGGGTTTCTTATATGCGGGAACCTACTGTATTTTATGTTCTGTTTTTGTGAATGTTTAAGTCAGATGTTTCGTGTTGCAAATGCATTCATGATTTCATATCAGCAGATCTTTGGTAGAAAGGGCAATGTTTTTTAGCCTTTTGTTTTCTCCTTTTTTTTCGATGACAATATCTTAGACCTTTTCAGACACCTTGCAATGGTTGTAAAGATAGCCAAACTTCTACATCTAGCAAGAAAACCTCGGCAGTTCCTAAGCGTAGCAACAACATGATATAACTGTCAGCTGATTTCTAAGCATTTATTCTAAGACAAATGATGTTTTAGACGAAAAAAAGGTTTTAAAGTCTATCAATTACTCTTTCAATATCAACTATGAATGAAATTTAAAATATTAAGAAATGATCTAGAAAATTTGAATAGAAACACTCTTTTTAGTATTTTGAGTGTTTCTGTTGAGAATTCGAATTTTTTCCAAGCCTAAACACTTAATTTTCTTGCCATAATTAACTGCAAGTAAAATTTGAGAAGATAAGAGATAATCTAGAAACGTTAATAGTAATATTTTCTAAACATCCTTACTTCAAATTGAGGTATTTTTCAAATTTTTCTGATAAAAATACTTTCAATAAATATCGAATTACTTCAAAGCCTATAAAATGTTTTTTTGCCGAAATCGACTTTGAGGAAAACTTTAAAAATTGGAAAAGATATAAGTCAAAGAAGAACATTTTTGAAGTCCTTTTTTTCTTTCGAGTAATTTCGAGCAAAGAGCTTCTGAGACAAAAGCCCGTACACTTACTTTTTTGCCAAAATAATCTGCAAGAAATATTTTACAAAATAAGAGAAATTCTTTGACAGTAAAATAGAAATTTATTTGTAAGTAACCTAATTCCCACTTCAGATTATTTTCTATTGTTTCTAAGGCAATGTTTTTCGTGCAAAAGTATATTTTTTTCCAAGCCTATGCACTTACCTTTTGCCAAAATAGACTGCAAGAAAATTTTTAAGAAATAAGAAAAATTCTAGGATAGGAAAATTAAAAATACATTTGTAAGTAACCTAATTTCCATTTCAGATAATTTTCTCCTGTTCCTGTTTCGGGAAAAAATTCGAATTTTCTAAAGCCTATACACTTACTTTTTTGCCAAATTATTCTGCAAGGAAAGTTTTACAAAATAAGAGAAATTCTTTGACATTAAAATAGAAATTTATTTGTAAGTATCCTTATTTCCGTTCCAGCGAATTTTCGAGTGTTTCTGATTCAAAGATCTTTGGACGAAAAATCTATTTTTTAAGTCTATACACTTACTTTCTTGCCAAATTCAGCCAAGAAAGAAAACATTAGAATTTACAAAAAATATTGTAAATCAAAATAAAAACATGTTTCTAAATATTCAAGCCCTTGTTTCAAGGAGTTATGAATAGTTTCTTGACCAAAATTATTAGGAAGACAAATCAATTTTTTTTCTTTAAAAAATACTATAAATGGTTAAACACAGCCAAATAAAGTTATTACAAATAAATACATCGAATCATTTTAGCCTCGTTTCAAAGTTTCTCAACTAAAAGAATTTTGATCAAATAAAAATTTGTAGTACGGCTATAGAGCTGGGCCTAATACGGCCGTCCAAAAAAGCCCCAAACAATTCAGGAAATTCGGAACAAAGGAATGAAAATTATCCTTAACTTTTCTTTTCGACATATGAAATAGCTTTGAAGACTTCAAGATGAGTTTTTTGAGGCAAACGATTAACGTAATGTATTTGCATATTTCATATTTCATTGTTAGTGTTAACGTTTGTATTTTCTGTGGTCACTCTTGTTTTGGTATGTAGTCCCTGTTATATCATACTACAGACCTGCTGGTCACATGCATTTTATTAACAGTCATATAATCCAAAAATAGTCAACAAGAAAAACGATCACTTAGCGTCTATGCATTTTCAATATAATGATTTCAAAAAGACAATTCAGTAAATTTCAGTTATTAATTCGAAAATAATGTTTATGTGAAATATTGCTTATATTATAGCTGATATTAGCAGTAAGGGATCACTAACATTCCATTAAGAATATTATACAAAATTCATGATAATAAAGAATTGAAATTGTAGAGAGCATAGCAGATATTCGATACTTCTTTTGCCACAACCATGTGTGTCAATTTAATTGGGTTATTTTCTACCAATTCAGTTTAAATACATCTCTGTGTATCGAAGTTTCATGAGAGACATAAGCATTTTATAGCTCGTACGCAGAAGTCATTTTCATTAATCTAAAATACAACTCCAACAAACGATGCTTTTACAGACTGACAAAATATCTGCGAAACTAAAATCCTCTGCAATTTCTGTACAAATCCATTAAAGATTTCAAACTATTAACCTAGATTAAAGAGCAAGCCTCGTCAATGGAATCCTTTCTTTTCTTCTTCTACCTTTTGACTTGCTGCCCTGCGTTTCGATAATATGATCGGCACTGCGGCTCCAACAACAATAGCTAGTGATAGCAGCGGTCTGTAGGCGAACCATCCAACAGCGATAGTTAGTAGGGCTAAGGACGTTGCCAGTGTGAAGGAGAGCAAAAGAGTAGCCAAGCCAACCAGATCACGAATAATTGGGATGAATGAAACTAAAAGAAAAGGGTTCCGTTGATTTTAAAGTAGAGAATTTTAAAAAGTGGCAAGATTTTGGGAACCTTTTCCTGCTTTTCAAATGCTTGGTTTTAGTATGGGTTCTTTACTTACATTAACCAAAATACGCTGGATATGAAATGTTAATTTTTCATACAATTGGCTAAATTATGCATAAAAATGTTACACGAGTTACCTTGGGTTCTAGCACAAAAATCAGTATAAACTCATACGATTTCTCGATTCAGACACCCTGGCTAGAGCAGCTGGGTTTCTTCCATACTTTTTTGACACTTTTTAGGCTGCACATTCAATTTCTCAGCCTAAAATCCCTAAAATCTAAATTTAATTTCAATTACTTTCAAAATCGATGTAAATTCATACCAATCTGGCGAACAATATCTGTAATCATTTGCATTCCAATGAACATCAGAAGCCAGCCTATGCCTCGCACCAGCCAAGTTATAAAAGTGTTTGTGCGATGCTCGTTTTCAAAGATTTCCTGCAATATATGCATAACATCATAAATAAAAGCAAATGTAACATCAAACACGAAGCACAAAACTGCACCAAAAAACTGCTTTGCGGCATACTACCTTTAATAAACATTCGCCGACGTTTATTCGGTTAAAAATATAATTAAAAAGTTGTCTGTTTTCCTAACAATTGCTCCTTTAATCAATAGAACAACATCCATTGAGCCATCAAAACGCTTGAAGACAAGTTCGCAAAAGCGTAACAGAAACAACTGGGAAAGGCAATAAGACATATTCACGAGGGATTTCTTCTGTTTTTGACCCGCATTCGGTTAATTACGATCTATGCTCCAGGAAATTACACTTGAGAAATCAACCTTTCCCAAGCACCAATCAAGTTAAAAAAAGCTTTACCTGGCCAAAACTCCTGCAGAGGGCCAGAATAAAGAAAGGTGGCCAGGGAACAGCTTGAGACTGAGGCTTGTAGAGGGTGATTATATCTATATAAAGTCAACTTAACATGGCTCGCTTCAAGTGCAGCGAATGGGGGCCTTGCCCCACCAACTTTTTCCGAGAAAAGATTTTATCATCACCTTAAAATTGTTTTCTAATTATATACAGTATCAGTCACTCAAAATTTATTCGGAAAAAATTATTACAGGTCTTTGCAGTCACCACTGTTTTGCGAACAAACATATCATAAGGTCATTCAATGCCACACAGCTTGCCTCTGTTCCTCGTCTATTCTTCCATGAAGCGTCAAAAAGACGTTTTGATAGTAAACACCAATTACTTCTCTAACTAACAGGAATGTACTTTGGACATGATGAATGAACTCGATTGAGTGTAAAATAATGCTAAATCTTGCCCCACAACAAAAAAATTTTAGACGCTGTTAACGCTAGCAGGATTCTGTTTCGTTTCAATCTAATTTTGATGGCTAATAAAATTGATGATACAGGAAAACCAATGTTAAAAACACAAATTAGACTGATCCATACCTGAGCAGTAAAGTCACCATCATACAAAATCTCTAGCCTGTCACCTGCTTTGGTTTGGTAGTGAGATAGAAACTCTCCGTTTTGTCTTGCAATTATGCTGACCTGAAAAAAACAAAAGAATAAATCACTTTGTTGTTCGACTCGACAATCTGGATATCTGAAAACAGTCTCTCTGTTACAAGATATATCTCATTCAATCTGAATAAAAAATTTATGATCATTTTAAAAGCATCTTAAGATAAAATCTTTCTTTGTCATTTATGATAACACCTTACTACTTTCTAAAAAAGGAAACTTGTTATGAAGATCAAAACAAAATGCTAATATGCATTACCCTATCAATGCCTCCGTGCCTGCTCTCTCCACTGATTCCAGCAAACTGGAACATCACTCGGATATCCCCAACCTATATGGAAAGTGGGTTTCATGAAATAATAACTTTGAAAACCCCTCAACCTTTAAAGCAAACAATACAGATTACTACCAAATATATTCCTAGAGTGAAGAAAATCGGAGTTGGCTCTGAGCACACTTTTCCAATATAGCAAACAAGATGTACCCCATGAAACTTACAGTGTCTGTGAAAAAGCTTCAAATTAGATGTTTATTGTATATATCTGACTATCAGAAACCAACAGAAACCATTGAAGACCAAATGCAAAAAGGAAAAGCAAATAAAACTAAACCTTAATTTGACACAATTACAGAGTGTTAGGTAAGCAAAAGCTGAACAAATGGCAAGCAGTAGCAAATAAAAAGATCCTGCAAGTGCTGCTAAGCAGGACCAAGAATTTTTTGCTGGCTTCACCACTGAGACAACATCAACTAATGATGAAGGTAATGCCTGGAAATCATGTCTTCCTGTAAACAGCTTTGGAAAATTAAAGAACCAACCTTTGCCCTAAAAGGATCAAGAGAGTGATAAAAATATTCCCCTTGGATCTTCACGTCACTCTTTCCTTCTGGAACCACCTTTGGGATGTAGTTCCTGAAACTTCCAACTTTAGTTGCCAGACCCTTCGATATCCTATATCGCCCAACATAAACTGGATCTGCCTCTTTGCTGAATGCCTTCACAAGCATCGAATTTGGGTTCTGATGGCCTGATGGCATATCAAAACGACCGCTATTTATTACATCTGATCTCCATTCCTTAGCTAAAAGACAATGGAAAGAGATAAAGTTTCATCTTGAATAGCAAGGGTTGCTGCACAATTTCGAATTACCTATCTCCAAATCATTATAAATTCCATTCATATATCTATGTTTTGAGGGGCAACACATAAAGGGTGTAGCGCTGCAGATCCACCCTAATAGCTATTTTAGGTTGAAAATTGATTGTGAAAATATTGTAAGAACTTTTTTAAACATTCCTTTCATCTGCAGGCAGCGTGATTGAAGTGCACTGTTCTTTTATCAAGAAGTGTGATTTGTCGGGCTAGGGGGGTCAGGGAGTCAATAGCGAACGATTGCGCAAAGAGCAAAAGAGGCACAGCTTAGTGCCAGTAAGAGAATGTGTAAAATTTATTGTTCTTTATGGGTACAAAATTTTTTAGTTTTTGCCAAAGTATGTTTCGTCATACTTTGACGTCATACATTACAGTCAGATGACGCCATAGAAATAGAGCTCTCTGATTGGCTAGTCAAGTAAATGTAAACAGTCCAAAGCTCCTATTGTTACAAAATCTGCCCTTGCTATCTTGGATATAAAGAAGATCAAATAGCAATGGTTCTACCAAAGCATTGCAAGTTTATTTTGTGACATGTATTATGACTTCAAGCAATATGCAGGTTACAGAATCAATAAATTGACAAAAGAATTATTTCAGTGTGAATAAAAAGCTGTTTGCCTTCCTGTCTTACTCTGATCTTCACAGTATCAAAGTCTAGTACCTTATAAGCAAGTCACAAACACATAATCAACTTCATCTTTCCACCAAAAAAACATAAAATCATCCATTTTCACAAACACCAGATTAAATTAATAAGGCTTTAGAGAAAATTTACTCAACAGGCCATTAATACAAATACTTCTGACAATTCATTGGTTCATATGACTTTGTGTGGTCACTCTATGATAACAACTGACAACATATAGAAAAAAGAGACATGAAAATTTCTATAACTTTGCCCAACCAACATCAAAGTGGTTTTTTTCTCCCTTATATGTCTTACCATATTCTTAAGACTTTTAGTATGAAAAATAGACAATACTCACAATATGAATATGTTGTCTCCACTCTTGTCCTGTCACCTTCATTGAATTCTCTATAAAAAAAGGTTGCAACCTTATTAAGATGATATAAAGATGTAATACTATCAACTAGTTTAAAAGAGCATATAAAAAATGAGCAAAGGCATGAACTTGGTCAGCACTCATGGTGTGGTGAGTATTTTATGATACTTGTCACAGTTGTCCCAGTATTGTCACATTTGTAATGGCCGGTAACTGAAAACTGTTCAGACCCATAACTTTCATAATACATGAAGTACCTCAAATATTATTACATTAATGAAGGCCTTGTGAGGGGAGGCACTCACACTCGTTCGAGCAATTCCACAAGCAGCTAACTATTCTTCCTCACCCAATTATTACAGTGAATTTATGTTACAGTAATTTCAGTTTCGAAAATAGGGTCCATAAATCATTATGTCTTGTCATATTTGTGTTACCATTACTTTCCTTCACTCTATAAACTAAGTTGCAGATGTTCATGAAATTCTTATTGCTTTTGTTTGCCACATGGTGGCAGCGTCTCTTTCACAGTAGTCACCCATTCCTCGTTTACCTGGTGTTACATTTGAGTGGATTCTTTGGTTGAACGTGGACATGCAAAGTTTTTTGTCTTGTTGTCAATTGCGTTTGCATTATGAAACAGACCATGATGATAAAGAACAAAACAAAGCATTTTTTATTGACTGAAGAACTCTGAACATTTATGTGACTCTTTTGACAACATTAAAATTTTTAAAGGCACAATCCTATTGTTCAAAGCATTTGATGCATTTGACAAATCTTAATATTTTGTAACACTACATGTAACACTACAACCAAACAACCCTCATTTTTTCAACTACTACTTAACACTTATTGAACTAGTAGGCTATTGAATTTAGCCATACATTTTTCCTAGGAGCTTGATTTGGTGCCTAGAAAGTTTAAGGTGCTCAGTTTTTCAAGCGCCTGCTTTTATACTCATCACAATGCCTGGCACAATGTAAATAAATTCTGGGGTGAACTTATCCTTCAGTATCATTTAGGGAATGATGGCTTCTAAAATAAATAGTCAAAAATTCACCAAGTAATGACAGACACCATAGAGCAGTGGGGGTTGGGGGAGCTTTAGCAGAAAAATGGAAAATATTAAGAAGTGAACCACCAGTAAGCCTTTTTTAATTCGGTTTTCCCAACTTTTCTCATTGTCTGCAGTGCCTGAATAATTGACCCTTTTGTAAATACAATTCATGCTGAGGCTTTGCATGGGGAGCAAATATCTCACAATCATATTAACTTGACGCCATGATCTTTTCAACAAAGATTAGAAAGACACAAACCCAAATTATCAAAGACTTTTAGAAGGCAAATGACAGTACCTCTTGGATTCATGCTCCACCCACTGGTACATTTCAACTTTCCTGTGCAGTTTCACAGCATAAATTGATACCCCATAATCATTGTCAGAAAGAGGCTGCAAAAATTGAATATAACAATATTAAGGACCAGAAGTTATATTATATACTACATTTGATAAATTTTCAGGTAACATGCAGGTTATAAATTTTCTCTTTGAAAACACTTTTCAACACCATTTGGAGATAAGCTTTAAATGATTGACTGACAGGAAACTAATCCTTATCAATGTAGTATTACAACTTTGCATGCAATCTTGTGCTTGACTGCTCATTGAATCAAACAATGAAAAATAAATGTTGTTTTAGGTTGTAATAAAGATACAACTCTTTCAAAAATGAGGCTGTTCGGTCACAGAATCAAACATACCATGTCTGTTTTGAGCAAACCAGTTAAATGCACCAGTTTGTTGTTATTTGATTCAAAAACAGCATCAGCTGACTGCAAGGAAATAACTGCCCCAAGTCCTTCATCCAGAGACTTAGCAGTCTGCACAGCTCTGCCCTGGGTAAAAAAAAGACAAATGATAAAATTTAACAAGCAGTGTAGGCAAAATGCATCAATATTACTAAGACGCAATTTGCATCTTTCGCAATTAAATCAAAATCTTAAGGCCATACAGTGATTAGAATGTGTTTCGGTGAATGACTGTTTGGCATTGTAGTCACCATTTTCGTCTTCCCCTCCCTCTCAAGATTTAAAGTTCTAGGCCACTTACCTAGTTTTTCTGTTTGAACGTCTATGGTTAACTGAATCTTGTTAAGAATAAAAAACCCTTTGACAAGTGAAAGGTAATGGAATGTGCTTGCAGCTACCACTTTGGATATAAAACAGTTCTTGAGTTTGTGAAAGGATAAGATGGACTGAGCAACAACAAATTGCAAGATATTTCATTAAACCAAATTTTAAAAAAGCTAAGGGAAAAAAGCTTTTGAACATCACCTAATAATTTCACCAATTATATAAATTAAGCCTGTTAATCAAATAAAGACTAAAATTTTCAGACATGAAAACCAGTTCTATAACCACAACATACAATTTTGAAGTGGCATTCAAATGAAAAAGATTGCAAAGGAACTTCTTAACTTCCTATAGCTGGTAATGTCATTAATTGGAAAATTGTGAATAGGTCAATGCTTGGATTCACATATGACATTAAGCAAGATGAAAAATCATATTGACTTGAATAAGGAAATAACTTTATGGCAAATAGAATAAACAATTCATAAATGAAACCCTTACCTCATTCCAAAAAAGTAATGGAAATCCAGACAGGAGGATGAAGATTCCAACAAATGCACCACAAAAACTACTGCCAACTCTCTCAAAATATCCTGCATTTCTTCGGTAGGAAACTTTTGTGTGACTGTCAAACCTTGACCCAGCAGTGTATCCACCAGCAGAATTATGCATTCCTGGCGCTTCAGGGTTCTTAAACAAATAAAAAATTATCAGGTCAGATTGCGAAGTATGGCAAATACACACCTGAGATATCTTCTCTAAAAATCTCTGCACATCTGACAAAGGATGTAGCACTGTGAGATCTGGCTGTGACAAGAGTCTGTCCCATTCCAATGAAGAATTAGGACTCCTCAAGATTGACATAACCTTGCATTTCTTTGATAACAAAAGAAATGTCAATGGCATACATTTTTTTACTTTGCTCATTTTCTATTCTTATCTTAAATCATTATGCTATAGTAGAGTTGGCTTGGCTTTTATACTAAATCAATTTAGCAATGTTTAGTTGTGTGGTTAAGTCACATGTTCTGTTAAGTCCTGTTGTGTTGGTGAATGCCTTTCGTGGCAATGTGTTTACTGTCAATATATAGTGTGACATTTGTAATTTGTCAATTAGTTTTTGTTTATCTGATAAGTGTATTGATCACATGATAAGGTAATCCTACTTCTTTTATAATAGTGATAACATCAACGAAGGAGTACCTTTTGCATGCTACTTATTCAGGGCCTAGGCCCATTGACTTAGCCCATCAGTCTACTTTACTGATAGAGTTCACATTCAAAAGAAGACCCCACAATTGTTACACTATTGTGCATGAGAAAATTGAACACCTTTACCAAAGTGCACATTTTCACACTTGAAATTTTGCTCTTGTGCACCCAAGTATCTTGTTGGAAACTGCCATTGCAGTCAGACTGTCAGGATGATTTAATTAAATCATAACTGATTATTGTGCCATTAAAAAGAAATTGGTGGCAACATCTATACACAGTGACAGCATCACAGCACTTGGCCATCTTACTCCTAAATACTACTTGACCTCTCACAATGCAAGATAAAATGGTTTCAAGGCTATGAAGTTTTTGTCCTGATGACACACAGATACACTTCCTAATAAGCAAAATCAATACCATGTTTTACTGTAATCTTTTAATGAAATGTACTTATCTTCATTTCTAGGTGTCCGTGGAAGACTTTTACAAGTTGTGGGATTTTCAAATCAAAAGGTAACTCAACCGGATCAACGTAATAATCCACTTTTGGAGCACCAATTAGGTAGAATTTACCTAACTTCCATTTGGACAAGCATTCACGGAGAATTGCAATCAGAGGCTAGCTTCCTTATCTAAAAGCTACTGACATTAGGATATCATCAAATGGCATGAATTTGAAAAGAAGGAAAAATAAAAACAAGCCAACGGTGGAGCTAGACAACACTGAAACTGTGCGGACTCAAAATGGAAGTCATACTTACGTGCGCACGATACATTTTCAATGAGAATTTCTCTCTCCAGCAGACCTTTTCACGAGTACTTCAACAATTTAAATGATTAATAGACTTGGTGGACAACCTGCTTATCGCCAATGATCATTTCATCAGTGCTCTCTTGATGTTACGTGCCTTCACCTCGTTGTTGCTTTTCGAAGAAAACAGGACCTCGATCTGCACCAATCTCGTATCCACGCAATATTGTGATTGCGTCATAATTATGAAAGCAAAAACCGGGATGGGACGGGGAGAGGGTTAGTACAATCATGTCGTCACCACTGGGGTTAGAAAATCAAAAACCCTCTGATCAATAAAAGCCTAAATCCTATCTCATTCTATCATCAGTAAAACTTTAACTTAAACTGTGAACTTTAACTTGAGTAAGCAAATAAACCGAGACTGTGTCGAAATTCACGGAGAGGTCACAAGGCAATGCATAAACAAAGCTTGATCGCTTGGATGGGTTGACCGTTAGTAGCACCGAAACCTCTTAGCATTCCGGGGAATAACGTGTGACTTGTCATTCTTTGTTAAATTTGTTTCTTTCTAGCATCTAAAGATAGTTCACAGGACACTGAGAAGGTATGCTTATCGAGCAATGGAATTGTAGAGAGCTAGTAACTCCCTTCACTCTTGGACAAAGTTTGGTTATTCAGGGACTCCAACCCCACTCCTTGAATCATAAGTGCACAACCCTAAACATTGAGACATCCTTGCACCAAATGACTCTTGATTGCAACACAAATTTGGATGGTTTACCAAAGTTTGCTTGAAACAAATGAATATGAATGTTAATATTTGTTCTAGGTTATCATACAAAATGTTAACAAATAAGGGTAAGAAGGTTCTCAGAATTATTGACCATTTTCAATCGGAAGACTGAGCATAGTTAATAGAGACTGTAGGTGTCGTTCTCTCATCATTTGGAGCAATTATTTTTTGGGCTGTTGGTTCGCCAATCACAAAGACGGACATAAATAAATCCCTAACCGTTGGGGGGGAGGGGTGTTGAGAAGAAGAAACAATGGTCTCTTCCTGCATGCAAAAGTTGCAAGCCATTCGGCCATTAGCAATGACAAGAAGAAAATAAATAGTGAGTAATACTAATAAAAACCTGAAAATACAATGACATGGTTGGGTGGGTAGGGCTGCAAAAGCTTCCAACTTTGAGTTGTAGTGCATCGTGTGAGGAAGAAGCTATACCATTATTAAGTCTTTATAATCAAGGCCAATGCACACTTGCACGCTTGTTGCTTTGGTCTTTAAATAGACACAATGTAATGGTTACTCAAGCACAGCTATGAGCATAAAACTCTACAATTGTACAATCTGCTCCCTAAAAAGCCCAAGGGAGGCAGAGAAAAAGGCGTACCCCGTTACATTTTATCAAGCTTTTACCTTTGCAGGAGCCTCAGCGCAGAACCGGCAAGAGTGTTTTTGTTACAATAATGTCCAACCAAATAGATAAGGTATTATTGATATTTGGATGATTTGTTTTTCTATGTGCGTTTAAAGTTTCTGACATCATCTACAGAACATAGTATTTCAAGTGAGCACAATGAAGTCTGAGCAATAAAGACTAAATTTTTGGGGAATAGAGACTGCTCAGTCCTCAGTGTGGGTTTTGTTCTGCTGAGTTTTTGCAATGAAACTAGATTATGGTTGAAAAACTTCTTATTTAGCGCTGCACAGTAACCAGGTTATAAACGTGAACGTGCGTTCTTAGCTAGGGAGGGGATGAGATTATATGGTTTTGGCCTTAGCTAACGAGAAGTCGCATTTTCAAATGTTGGAAGATAGCCGGTGGTCTATGATTGCGAGTCAAATCAAACATGACCTTCTATTACAATCACACCATAAGTGTTTGACGCAAGAGCAAAGGGTGCAGTGTCAGAGAGCGAGGGCTTTTTCAATTTCGAATTCTTTGTCCATATATTACACTATTAATCTAACTGTGGCAAGTACAACTGATACCACATTTGGGATCCCTTTCTATTCAGCAAAAGAGTTCTTAAGTGATGACGTCACAAAACTATAATTCTTGAATTCTTCAATTTGGATCCCAAAACCTGAAAGAACATCATGAATTACCTCTAAATATGCAAAATCAGTTAAAGATGTTACCAATTGGCTGAGATATGGCTAGTTGAGCAAAGGCTCTTTTTCAATCGATCCTCTGCAATTTTGTCTCTGTTCATAAATTTATGAATAGAGCCAAATCAACAATCGTCAGCAAACTTTGAATCTTTCATTGACCATATCTTACCCGATGTATTTAACTGATTTTGCGCATAAAGAACTATTTCGTGGCATTCTTTTAGGTTATGTGATCAAAATTCAAATTTCTAAGAATGGATTTTTATGACATCAGAATTAAGAGCTCTATAAAAGTACAATAAGCAACGGATTTGAGCAAATTCTGATTACAAAATCTCTGAAATTTGCAATATGCTACTGTAAACATTGCTGCAATCTTTGCATTAACTGAGACAAATCGAGCCTTTGCGCAATAAACAATTGCATCGGCATAATTAGATGATGAGAGCAAAACAAATAAGAATTGAAAAAACTGACAGATAATTAGATGAGATTTTCTCTTTGTCGTCTCCTAATGAACACACATTCAGAACATTGAATCAAAAATTAGAGTTTTAATGCAAAAATTGCGAATGTTTATCCAAACTAATTTAAGATCTGTGATAAAAGACCATTAAGCAAACCATTTCTTACAGCGAACAACTTCGCTCGCTGATTCCCTTTTCAAGAGCGATTTGACATCTGGTTTAAATGCAGTCTCTTTTGTAATTTGGCTTATGATTCAGATAATCGGCTTAATTGAAGTGAAAGTTACAAAGGGCTTTTTGAGGCCTCCCGTGTCCAGTTACAATGAAGCTAGTTTAATTGGAACGAGGTCGCTATCGTCTTTAATTAAGAAAGGACGAGATCATCAACATAAAAATACGGGTACATCGCGCTGTGAAGACTGTGGAAGAGATTTTAGCTCTCTGAAAGATCAATTCCATTATTTACAAAATGAAAGAAGAAGGAAGAACCGGGCATTTTGTAACTGAAGACACAAAAATGGAAGAAGTCAATTCATTGACGATACATGGAGTGCCTAAAATCTTCACAACAAAGTCATACTTCTCAAGAGTGCTATGGGCCTTACTATGCACTTCAACCGTGGTATTTCTTATATACTTCATGTTGGACGCAATGCGAAAACATCTGAATTTTGAGATTTATATAAAAGAGGAAAGAATTCCAAAGCATGAGATGAGCTTACCAGCTATCACGATTTGCAACACCAACTTTTATTCTGGTGATGATGATGGTTATGCTGTTGATCAAGTTCTGCCAAAAAACTGCTCGTACACTGATGCAAAGTATTTTAAAACCAACACTAGCAGAGAGAATTTTCTGGATATCTGCCGCTGGTTCTATGGTGGAATTATGGGCGAGTTCAACTTCAATGGAATAGAATTCCCTCAAAATGCTTCATTACTGCCACATGTCTGGCCATGCGTAACATTAAACCAAAACAGTTCTCTTGCCCAGAAAGGAGAGAAGCAAAGGTCTGGGCTAAAACTTATTATGGTGTTTGACGAAAGGAGACGAAGCAAAAATCCTTTTTATTTGGATCCAATGTACGAAGATGAGAGAGACGGATTGTTTGTGGCAGTTCATGACCCAAGAGAAGTCATTCCCTCTTTTTCTGGAATTTCCTTACCTCCTGGTTATCATACAATTGTAAAACTTCGAAAGAAGGTCATCCAAAGGAAAGAAGCTCCGTATCCTTCAAAATGCCTTCATTCCGGTCCAAATAAAACTTTCAATCTTTTCCCTGGTAAAGATCGTAGAGATAAATGCCTATATTCGTGCTTTGGCTTGAGACTTTATCAAAAGTGCAATGGCACAGAAGTAACAATGCGTCAATTTATGAACAAAAAAGAATTCCCGAATATCCTAAATATGACTGATGGGAAAACGATTAAATGCGTGATGGAGGTTGCTGAAAGTGTCGACGCTGTGAATTGCAAATGCGGTATTTTTTGTGACGAAGAGGTCTACGAGACTCAAACAAGTCGGGTTCCATGGCCGCAACAATGGAAAGCAGAGGAACTTACGGGCATTTTCCCAAGTTTAACAAGTTCAACAATAAGGCAAACGTTCATTAAGCTGACTATTTACTACGAAGAAATCAGCGAGTTTAGGTACACAGAGGAAGAAAAGTACAGCATAATGAATGTTTGGACTGATTTTGGAGGACAAATGGGCTTGTTCATTGGCGCATCTTTGATCTCTTTTGTAGAGATTCTGTTGTTGCTGCTCGGTTGTCTTCAAAAATGTTGGAAGAAGAAAATTAATGTAGCTTAATCTTAATGACTGTCTTCTAGTCGTAAAAGGACCAAGCCAAGATTTGCTATTCTTTCCCTTGATAAGCACTATAAAAGAAGAGAGTATCTCAAACTGTTTAGGTCCTGCGTCCTCCAGTAATAGAGGGCCAATCAGCGTAATGCCATTGAATCGGTATCACAGCTGTGGGTGCTTGCAGTCTGTAAAAGTAACCAAAAATATCAGACTATAACAAAGGCTTTTTTTCTTCATCTATTAGAGATTCCTCTGAAAGTATCGAAAACCTATGGCACGACTTGTGATTTTTAGCGAGATTCTTCAGCTTTCTAATCTGTTTGCTATCACAGATCATGCTGACTGATTTTTATTACTGATGTGTTTACTATGATAAAGCTACTATGACAACTGATACCCTTTTGAGGTCATGGCAGTCTGTGTCTATTTTACGCTACGATATCAGCATCTTGTGTCAAATGATATGAAATACCATATAATGCTTTTATTGATCTTAATTGCTGAAAGTGTCTTTTTGAGTTTTACGTTCTACCGTTTGAACATTTGAAAGAGTAACCACTTCTATGTTAGATAGTGATATATGAATACAATACCGTTCTTAGCGCTCTTATCATAGAGGAGCTGTTATGATGCCATAAGAACAAAAGTTTCAATTGCAATGTAAAACAGCCCTCAAAAAGTTGGAAACATAATTCAGTATGACCTGTGTTTTGTGTCTTTTTACATGATTGTTTTTGCGTAATTTTCAGCCTCAGTTTCTCCAGGTGTTCTTGATAGCAAAGAAACAGCTTTGAAGAACATTTTACTGGCTTCATAACCAACTTTTCAGGCCACTTACAGTCACCTGCCTCCACAATTCTCTTCAATTTTTTAGAATTGGTGCTACTGCCATCCAAATGATACTTGCAATATCGCTTAGATAACCTTTTTTTCTCTGTTTAAATCGTCTGCGTCCTCTTTCCATTGAAAGTTGTATTCATTAAGTGGTCTTCTTAGACCATTTTCTGGCTACCATTCCGGCAGCATGGCCTGTCCACTCCATGTTAAATTTTTTCTACAACATCAATAACTTTGATGTATGATCTTAAACTTTCATTTTTCTTTCCTACTGAACTAGGCGTCTGATGTAAAGCATTGCCATGTGATTGCTTTTGTACGTCTTGCCGGTCTATGCCTCTATTTCTGTTAGTGTTCATGCTCCAGCACCGTATTTCATTGCTGGCACACGTCTCTGTATAAATCTTTAAAGCAAAAGCTTTTCAAACTGAAGGGTATTGACTTTTCACCATATTGCCGTTTTCCGCATCTTGTTGTCATTCTGCTGTCATTTATCTCTTGGAGATTTCTCAATGTGCTTCGATTTTGGATATCATCAGCTGACCTACGTTGCATATTCATTGATTTCGTCTATGACCCCATTCTCTATTTATGACTCATGTTCCTTGAGATTTCCTTTCCATCACTATTGCATCTTTAACATTCTTGATTCTATTTATACTTCATATTCATTCCATCTTTCGAAGGAGTCATGAGGCGTTTTTGGGCACTTGAGGAACAGGGCAGATGCAATTACAAAATACCAATGGGAGATTTAATGCAAAAGCAGGTGAACAAATCGTCAGGAAAGAAAAAGAAAAAACAGACGACTTGTCAAACCTTCTGAGAGTTACAGCTTGATAATGACAAAGACCATGATTGAAAAGAGGAAAGTCGCAAGTAGACACGGAGAAGCCCCAATACCACGGCAAAAATAAAATAAAATGCTAAAAAACAAACATCAAATGTTTCTCAATGCTAGAGTAGTGAACAATTAGGAGTAAGAAGTGCTCATCGATTGGATAGAAAAATTAGATACAAGAACAAAGATAGGAAATAACTTTAGAAGAAACACGACATAGGTCAATTTGAAGTTATCTTGATATTGCAAAAATGCTATATTCTTACTCCTTTATTGATTTCACCATCGCCATAACATACCGTTGAGTCATCCACTGCTTTGTATACCGCAGAACATTTCCTCTACCAATTTTATCAACTCCACTCATCTAAGTCATGCTGACTCTCTCGCTCCCAAGCCTAGATCTTTCCTAATCACATTGCATCATCATTGCATCTTCATTGCATCATCATTGCATCATCATTGTATCATCATTACATCATTATTGCATCATCATAACTTATCCTTGTTCGGCACAAAAAATCTTAGAAACATCACATGTATAAAAGTGTATTAATTTGTAAGTTTACTTCGTCAGTGGAAATCAAGACACGAAATATGCATATAGTCTCTTTACTGGTTCCGTATTTTGTGCACGTTAAGTAGGACTTAATCACGGTAGACGAAAGATTGATAAATTATTGACTACGTTGATCAATGTTCCAACGGCGCTAGAAATTTAAAAAAAAATTCCTTGAGAAGAAATAACGTCGGGACAAATGCCTTTTAACCAACAGGAAATGGCACTTGTATTGACTTGTACGGATAGGGAAAAAATGGGGCGGACGTGGATGGAGATTTGATTTCAACTGCAAATCAACAACTGCTGTTTATTGTTCAGCAACAGAATTACAATTACTATCAGATTTGTGGAAATTATAGCTGAAATCCCCTCAATTTTACAATTTTATACAAATAGCGTTGCTGCATTTATGTATTGACTGAGACAAATAGAATGTTTCAGCAATAAACTATTGCATTGCTTTTATTAACTCATGGTAACAAAACAAATATTGCTTAAAAAATGCTGATTAGGTAATTAGATGGGTTTTTCTCTCTTTGCCTCGCGCTGTCTCCTAATGAAACTTGAGTAAATAATTAGAATTTTAATAGAAAAGGCGGCAATGTTTATTTCAACTAAAAAAATAAGTTCTGTGAAAAATGACCTTAAAGCAAAATATTTCATACCGCGAACAAATTCGCTGAATTGCTTTCAAGAGTGATTTAACATCTGGTTTAAATACATTATTTTTTGTAATTTGGCTTACAATTCAGAACATCGCCTTTATTGAAACGAAAGTTTCAAAGACCCTTTTGTGACCTTCTGTGACTTGTTACAATGAATCTAGTTTAATTGAATGGAGGTAAGCGAGAGAATATCTCAACGAGTTGTTCGACATGAAAATACGGGCTCATCGAGCAGTTAAGACTGTACAAGAAACTTTAGCTCTCGGAAAGATCAATTCCATTATTTACAAAATGAAAGAAGAAGGAAGAACCAGCCATTTTGTAACTGAAGAATCAAAAATGGAAGAAGTCAATTCATTGACGATACATGGAGTGCCTAAAATCTTCACAACAAAGTCATACTTCTCAAGAGTGCTGTGGGCCTTATTATGCACTTCAACAGTGGTATTTCTTATATACTTCATGTTGGACGCAATACGAAAGCATCTGAATTTTGAGATTTATATAAAAGAGGAAAGAATTCCAAAGCATGAGATGAGCTTACCAGCTATTACAATTTGCAACACCAACTTTTATTCTGGTGATGATGATGATTATGCTGTTAATCAAGTTCTGCCAAAAAACTGCTCGTACACTGATGCAGAGTATTTTGAAACGGAAACTAATAGAAAGTATTTTCTGAATATCTGCCGCTGGTTCCATGGTTAGACCGGGCTACAGTGGCGGTAGGTACCACCTCAGGGCGGAGAAATTCAAATGGATATTTTCAGGTAGCTATGGGTCTGGTTACTTGGAAAAGTGATGGTGAACGGGAAATTGTTGGGGTTTAAGGGGTAAATACGGGGGTTAAAGTTCGTCATATTAGCATATTACCTCTGCGGAGGAGCCACTGTTTTGTTTACGACTTCAGAGCATGGCAAGTGCTTGTTATCATAAAAAAATGATCTAGAGGGAGTCTTTTAGAGCCTCTTCTTCAAATTCCGACATATTGCTACAATAAGAGTAGTCACGTGACCAATTTTTACCCCTTACCATATTTGCAAGGTGAGCTTTTTTAACAGAATACCTTTGTTCTTTTTTTTGTACCACGTATTCTTTTGTTTGATACTCTTAAATGTTAAAAGATGCAAGTTAAGGCAAAGATACCTGCATTTGTCATTGTTTATCCATTTTAGGTTTCATTTTCACTTTCTTTATCATCTCCGAAGGTCACGTCTTCTTCAAGATCCAGGAACAAGTCAGTCAGTTCGTCTGGAAATGCTTGTCGTTGCCAGTCTATAGTCAGATTCCCTTTCCAGCCAAAAGTAGAAAGATCTGTCAAATTTATGGACCTTTCACCCGATGACTTCCAAATCTTTGCAATGATGTTTGATCGCAATATTTGTAGCCTCAGTGATGATTGACATGTAGGCAAGAGTGAAATGTCTACGGCTTTGCCTTGCCTTACATACTTCTTGTCAAATAATTTTTTCCTCACATCATTGACATTTTTTTGCCGGTATCCATATAAATGGCAAACATATTCTTCAAGGTTAACAAATATTTGCTCATCAAGTTCCCATACCTGCCCAAGTAGGGAAAATGTGTTAACAAATCTGTTGTTCTTCTGGACAACCTCCCAACATTCTGATTTCCCTTTGCGGAAAAAAAGACACATACATGTAGTTATTCCCCGTGAATGCATGAAAGCCTATCAGGCATTTCTTCAACCCATCTTCCATCTCAATATCAGACAAAAATAGTCCTTTTCTATTCAAACCAACTCCAAAATCGAGATATACTTGACTGCTCTTTAATAATACTTAATAAAATTACCAAGATGTCGAGGTCTGAGGATGGAGAGCGTACAACAACTTTTTTCGATGGATGCCAAGTTAAAGCGTTTCTTTTTCCTTGTAAACTCTTTGTAGCAGAATTCATGGTATTAAAATTCTTTAGCTATGAGATCAACATCTTTAATTTCATTATAAATGTTCTGATCGATATTGGCTTCAGCAGCTTCTTTTACGTTAGTTCGGCCTGCTTCGTCGTGATCGTTATTGGTACATGATGTTTCTGTTGACTCTTTACCCGGTACTTTTGGCAAAAATTACACACCTGGGGATAAACATCTGGTCTCTGAGTAGCTGCAGTCTTTAGTCTTTGTGGACGCTGAATAGCTTCAGTGCTAGTTTCTGCGAGGAATTTCTAATGGGACAGGATCTTTGTAAATTTTTTATAACAAGGTTCTAAGTGAACTTCGTGCTTATTTGGATCAACCTCGTCAGGAATGGAGCTGCATTGTTCTTCGTGGAGATTTTTGCCATCAAGTCGTAAACGAGTAGCCTTTGCAATTTGATCTTTATTGATGTCAGACAAATCTTTGATAATACTGTACAGACAATCTTTGCTCGGGTAATGAACAATACAGCTTGGGCCTTGCATGTTTAAAAATATAAATAAAACAGGACCTCCTCAATACTTTAAAGGTACACAGAGTATCCAATTTTTAGAGCGAAAATAGCAACTTACATATATTGAAAATGACGCTTAGAGCAAAACAATTCTTTCTTGGTAATGATGCACACTGGTATTTTTGTTCTGCTACTTATTTCCGTGATTTCTTGAGTTCATTGCGTTACATATTCGTGTTACTATTTGTACAAATATTTTCAAAGCGATGAATTGCGGAAAAAGTTGCCCAGCATCTGAAGGAGTTGTGGAGTCATCACGAAATAACCAAATGCGGATGAAATCAAACGGACCTAATAAATTATCATGTCTTCGCAACCATTATTCTACACATAGTCATAGTTAAAAACAGTCATAAACTCGAAGTTATTCAGGGTATCTATCAACAACAGCTCGGTTGTAGAATAATCTTGATGATTTGTACATTATTGTAACATTTAAGAGTATTAAACAAAAAAAATTCGGGTATTCTGTTAGAAAACGCTCACCTTCCAAATATGGTAAGGGGTAAAAAACTGGTCACGTGACGACTCTAATTGTAGCAATATGTCGGAATTAAAAGAAGAGGCTCTAAAAGACTCCATTACTTTTTTATGATAACAAGCACTTGACATGCTCTGAAGTCGTAAACAAAACAGTGGCTCCTCCGCAGAGGTAATATGCTAATATGACGAACTTTAACCCCCGTATATACCCCTTAAACCCCAACAATTCCCCGTTCACCATCACTTTTCCAAGTAACCAGACCAATAGCTACCTGAAAATACCAATTTGAATTTCTCCGCCCTGAGGTGGTACCTACCGCCACTGTAGCCTGGTCTAGGTGGAGTTATGGGCGAATTCAGTCCCAAAAATATATCATTCCCACAAAATGCGTCATTTCTGCCAAATTTCTGGCCATGCGTAACCCTGAACAAGAACAAAACGATGGTGCAGAAACGAGAAAGCCTGAACTCAGGGCTCAAACTTCTGCTGGTTTATGGCGAAAGGCCAAATATTACAGTTCCTTCTTATGCGAATGAAATTTTTGAAGATGAGAGACAAGGATTGTTTGTTGCAGCTCATGACCAGAGAGAGGTCATTCCGGCCTTTTCCGGGATCTTCCTTCCACCAGGGTATCATACCATTGTAAAACTTCGAAAGAAGGTGATCCGCAGGAAAGAAAGTCCGTACCCTTCCAATTGCATTAAATCTGGTCAAAAAACTGGTTTCAATGTCTTTCCTGGCAAGGCTGGTAGAGATAACTGTTTATTTTCCTGTTTAGCATTACGAGGCTATCAGATCTGTCATGGTGTTGATGAAAGATGGCGTCCATTTATGAACAAGAAAGAGTACCCGAATACCTTGAATTATACCGATAAGAAAATGTTTGATTGCATGTTTGAGGTTGTTCAAAGTGTCGACGCCGTGAATTGTAAATGTAATGTCTATTGTGACGAAGAGGTCTACGAGACTCAAACAAGTCGGGTTCCATGGCCGCAACAATGGAAAGCAGAGGAACTTACGCGCATTTTCCCAAATTTCACAAGTTCAACAATAAGGCAAACGTTCATTAAGCTGACTATTTACTATGAAGAAATCAGCGAGTTTAGGTACACAGAGGAAGAGAAGTACAGCATAATGAATGTTTGGACTGATTTTGGAGGACAAATGGGCTTGTTCATTGGCGCATCTTTGATCTCTTTTGTTGAGATTTTGTTGTTGCTGCTCGGTTGTCTTAAAAAATGTTGGAAGAAGAAAATTAATGTAGTTTAATCTTAATGACTGTCTTCTAGTCGTAAAAGGACCAAGCCAAGATTTGCTATTCTTTCCCTTGATAAGCACTATAAAAGAAGAGAGTATCTCAAACTGTTTAGGTCCTGCGTCCTCCAGTAATGTGTAATAGGAATTCATGTTATTATCATACCTAATTATTATGCTAACCTCGCTTTCGTTTGTATATAAAACTTAACCTGAACTCGAGTCGCTCGCTTTTTGTCTTCACTCTCAATTCGTTGACTATTCGGAGTGACAAGGGTTTTAGAGGAAGTCTAACCCCTGTTACAAATGGAATAGAGGGCCAATCAGCGTAATGCCATTGAATCGGTATCGCAGCTGTGGGTGATTCCAGTCTGTAAAAGTAACCAAAAATATCGGAACATAACAAGGGCTTTCTTTATATAGAAAAACCTATGGCACGACTTGTGATTTTTAGCGAGATTCTTCATCTTTCTAATCTGTTTGCTACACAGATCATGCTGACTGATTTTTATTTCTGATCTGTTTACTATGATAAAGCTACTATGACAACTGATACCCTTCTGAGGTCATGGCAATCTGTGTCTATTTTACGCTACGATTTTCAGCATCTTGTGTCCAATGATATGAATAACCCTACAATGCCATTGTTGATCTTAATTGCTGAAAGTGTTTTTTTGAGTTTTACGTTCTATCGTTTAAACATTTGATAGAGGAGCCACTTCTATAATAGCAAGTAATTTGTGTATAAAATACGGTTCTTAGTGCTCTTATCGTGGATTAATTTTCTTATTCGGGAAAAAAACACCAATACAAATAAAGGGCAAAAAGCCTCCTCAGAAAAACATGCCATAGACAGCAGAAGGTCAGTCATGAGGCTATGTTCCCACATCATCGAGAGCGAGTTGGGATGGGACGTTGGTGCATCAGCGCAAATCGCTCAACCTACCATAAATCTTTAACAGAAAGGGGTTACTAAGGGAATTTACACAATAACTCCCAAATTTGATTGATAATTGGGAGGAAAAGAAAAAGTGAAGGTTTTAGAGATTTGAACAATGCCGTAAAAATTCAAATAACAAAGCTATACCGAAAAGGCATTTCCCAATAAGACAAAATGAGGGAGGAATGGCTGGAAAATAAACCACATACTTGTATTGAGGTTTCACCAACAAAGAAAGCTCCCCATGCTCAAACCTTAAATACCTCTAGATTAACCAAGGCAATAAAAATTCCACGAACCACACATCTTACCATAAAATTACAAAACAGATCTTCAGTAGGCCGAAAGACTCCTCGCATTGCCCATAAAGTAGTAGATTGAATACAAAACAAACATCGTGACACAAAACTCATACCGTTCTTATTCTTCTGTTTACTTCTTTTTGCTGTTATAATATCCGATGCATTTAGCTGACCCATGTAAGCTTTTTGTTCCGTCTATGATCTCATTTTCAATTTTACTCTAGTTCATTGAGATATCTTCTCATGACTTTTGCATGTATCTGATTTTCTTGAAATTCACCTTTAAACCATCTTTCAAAGGTTTTTATGAAAAATTTAAACCGTTTTAGAACAAGCCAGATACTGTTTCAATGGGAGATCTTGATGCAATCGTAGGTCAACAAAAAATAACGAAATATGTTTTCACAAAATATCAAATATAAAATATTTTAATGCAAAAATAAGCAAGTAAAATCAGAATCAAGGGTTGAGTGTGGGAAGCTATTGGTTAGGAAAAAGAAAAGATGTAAAGACAATAGGATTTTAAAGACAAAGAAACGAATAAGAAACATAACTCATCAACTTTTCTAAGAGTTTTATCTGAATGATTTTCGCGAAGGGTATGCTTGGGAAAAAAGGGCACAAGTGACCTGCAAAGAAGAAATTATTCGACATGCTGGAATTGTTGAGACGTAGAAATAGGAAGCTACGATTGTCTAGATAAAAGCTGAATAGGCTAATACAAAAATAAAAAGAACAAAGAAGTTTAGAAGGAGCAAAGCATATGGAAGTTTTGAGGATGTCTTTGAGAAGAAACAAGAGTGCTAATTTTCCTTATTAGGGCCTAATGGGCCTAGCTACATGCTCATCAGCCTTTCCATAACATCATCAACTAAAACAAAATCAGCCGAAGAAATGTTTTGAGATTTTAGAAGATAAAGATTATGTTTACAGTTCTTATAAGGGGACGATGACTGCAATTCACAAATGTGCAAACTAATTCAAGCAGGAAATAACAAGCAGGAAAGTTTCAAGATATTCAATATTTGAAGGGGCCTATGGAGGTGGAGCAACCGTTAGAGAAAGAAAAGTTGAACGACGTGCAGAGTTCTGTCTAGTACGTTTCTCTCAGATTGGACAGAAGCCATATGCCTCATGCCATTGAAATAGGAGCATCTGTAACCATCAAATCAAGAAAGTGACATTGAAATATCTCTTAAAAAAATGAAAATAGAATGGCACTAGTTTGAGACGAAAAGAGTCTTCTATATATGCAGAATCAGTTGCATATGTTACAAATATACTAAACAATGGCCACATGAGCACAGGCCCGTTTCCCATCAAGCCACCGTATTTATCTTTCGGTTCGTAACTTTATCTCTAATTTCACCTATTTATCAACATATGTAGCTGAATCTCCTTGTTTAAATGTATTCCATGGTGTTCTTTTAGGAAATGTGTTCAAAATTCAAATACTTAGATATAGGCCCCGTTCACATTGCTCCAGATTTAAATGAGAACGGATAAAAAAGTATCCGTTTTTGCCTTGCGTTCACACTGCTCCACCTTGAAAACGGAGACTTTTGAAAACGGAAAAGGATAAAAAGGATAAAAGTGAAAACGCAAAAACGCAGTGTGAACACCGAAAACGGATACTTTTGAAAACGCTAACATCAACAACAACACAGCAAGATTCTAAGACCGCGGCAATTTGAACAACTCATCTTAACATGGCTGATTCACTCGAAGTTAGTACACTACTCGGAGGAATATTAGTGGCAGTGAGTTGTTTAAAAAGTTTTTTAGCAGTCACGAGTGCTGTAAACCTGTTCGTGGCGTTTTCCTTTTTATCCAGAGCGGAGCAATGTGAACGCGTCATCGTTTTCATACCGTTTTCAAATGTATCCGGAGCAGTGGGAACAGGAAAAACGGATCGATATGAAAACGGATAAAAACGAATACGGAGCAATGTGAACATAGCCATAGATTTTTGATGACGTAACCCTTTGAAACACTTATATGAAACTTAAATGGGATGAAAAAGACTGGTATGGACAGAGTGGGAAGAATGAGATGAACGTGGATGGAAGAGGATGGTGTTTGGACTGTGACAGAAAGGATGGCCAGTGACAGTTTGGGACGGTCGACGCTAGCACGAGGAAAAAGTTTCAATGGGCAACTTTCACTGCATATCTAAAGTTGCAGATTATTTTTCAAGCAACAGAATTAGGATTATCATCGGATTTGTGGAAATCATAATTGAAATACCCCTCAATTTTCAATTATTTGTAGAAAAAGATGCTGCAGTTTTATGCATTGACTGAGATCATTCGGACCCTTTAACGTTGAAAATCTGCATTGGAAAATTAACTCGTGATAACAAGACAAATAATGCCTCAAAAATTGCTGATTAGGTAATTAGACGGGCTTTCTTCTCGTGGTCTCGCACATTCACAAAGTGAAATCACATTCAGAACTTTAGGTCAATAAAAAGCGTTTAAAAGCATAAATCAGCAATGTTTATCCAAACTAAATTAAGATCTGCGATAAATCACCTGTTAGCAAAATATTTATTGGCATCAGGTTTCATCACGATCTTTCTTATTGTAATTTATTGACATCGAGTTGCTTGGCATCTGGTTTCAATGCGATCTTTCTAATCATAATTTGACTTACGATGAACATCGGTTTAATTGAAGTGAAAGTTACAAAGAACATTTTATGGCCCACCGTGACCAGTTAAAGCAGTTTAATTGGAGTACGGCTAGTTTTATTGGAAATTTAATTAAGAAAGGGCGAGATCATCATCATAAAAATACGGGTAAATTATTCAATTATTTACAAAATGAAAGAAGAAGGAAGAACCAGCCATTTTGTAACTGAAGAATCAAAAATGGAAGAAGTCAATTCATTGACGATACATGGAGTGCCTAAAATCTTCACAACAAAGTCATACTTCTCAAGAGTGCTGTGGGCCTTATTATGCACTTCAACAGTGGTATTTCTTATATACTTCATGTTGGACGCAATACGAAAGCATCTGAATTTTGAGATTTATATAAAAGAGGAAAGAATTCCAAAGCATGAGATGAGCTTACCAGCTATTACAATTTGCAACACCAACTTTTATTCTGGTGATGATGATGATTATGCTGTTAATCAAGTTCTGCCAAAAAACTGCTCGTACACTGATGCAGAGTATTTTGAAACGGAAACTAATAGAAAGTATTTTCTGAATATCTGCCGCTGGTTCCATGGTGGAGTTATGGGCGAATTCAGTCCCAAAAATATATCATTCCCACAAAATGCGTCATTTCTGCCAAATTTCTGGCCATGCGTAACCCTGAACAAGAACAAAACGATGGTGCAGAAACGAGAAAGCCTGAACTCTGGGCTCAAACTTCTGCTGATATATGGCGAAAGGCCAAATATTACAGTTCCTTCTTATGCGAATGAAATTTTTGAAGATGAGAGACAAGGATTGTTTGTTGCACCCCATGACCAGAGAGAGGTCATTCCGGCCTTTTCCGGGATCTTCCTTCCACCAGGGTATCATACCATTGTAAAACTTCGAAAGAAGGTGATCCGCAGGAAAGAAAGTCCGTACCCTTCCAATTGCATTAAATCTGGTCAAAAAACTGGTTTCAATGTCTTTCCTGGCAAGGCTCGTAGAGATAACTGTTTATTTTCCTGTTTAGCATTACGAGGCTATCAGATCTGTCATGGTGTTGATGAAAGATTCCGTCCATTTATGAACAAGAAAGAGTACCCGAATACCTTGAATTATACCGATAAGAAAATGTTTGATTGCATGTTTGAGGTTGTTCAAAGTGTCGACGCCGTGAATTGTAAATGTAATGTCTATTGTGACGAAGAGGTCTACGAGACTCAAACAAGTCGGGTTCCATGGCCGCAACAATGGAAAGCAGAGGAACTTACGCGCATTTTCCCAAATTTCACAAGTTCAACAATAAGGCAAACGTTCATTAAGCTGACTATTTACTATGAAGAAATCAGCGAGTTTAGGTACACAGAGGAAGAGAAGTACAGCATAAT